AACCACTAACATAAAATCACAATTTCCAAAAAAGCAAACAATCTTAAATATGAGGGATCGGACTATGTTCTTTAATGCATGAAAACTACTAGGGCCTACTAATTGAAAGTCATAATCATAATACATCAGCAGCCACAATATGCTAAATAACTTTCATATCACAAAGTAAACAATAGCATAAAGCAAAGTAATTATAAAGCCAGGGAATTGTGGATGCTAAAATCAATACAAGTTTGTTGGAATACCTGGGGGAGAAAATTATCTGGAATGGCCCACCAACATCCTAAGATATAAATGCCCATGGGCGCACTTCCCAAGGCTATGAGATCAGTATCTTCAACAATATATGGAGAACTTTATTTGTGTGCATTTAATATAGTAATGTGTTGACTAATAATGTAAGCCTATAGGGCCGAACATTTAAAACAGGCTATAATTCATGTGAACTGGTACACATGGCTAGTGAAATAAATAATGAAGATTAGACTGATAATTAGGCCTACTTAGGTTAGATTAATTGATTCAACACCAACTTCAAAAAGAGAAATAAGCAGATCAATAAGGTAAAACTCCATTTTAGCGTATTTTATTTCTGTTGCTTGTTTACCTCCAGCTGAGCGTATTTTATTATAACAACCGAAACACATCAAAACATTAGGAGAAAAGGATGTATTTGTATTGTATTTTTGTTTTAACAAATGAATAAAAAAAAACTAAAGAGACTGACTTTGTTTTAGATTTTGATAATTAACTTATGTCAAAACTTGAGAAAAATCCAATTTTAGAATATTGAATGTGCTAGATCTATGTTCGTGTGTCAGTTGTAATAATTGCAAGGCGGTTAAGTTTGTATTGTTACAAGTATTTCCCAAGCATGATACTATAAATAAACATTTATGAACTTGCAATGGCCCCAAAACTAAGGTCAACACAATTTTAAACAGCTATTGCCTAGTCTGGCGCGTTGCTTAGATGGTAGGATTGACCTCTGACCCTGAAACGCCACGCGTCGTTTTCTGACGGTTTTTACGTTTATTTTAGGGGTCCACGACAAATGAAAAAACTGTTTATATCGCAAATTCTCATCATTATTCTAATGCAAATTGGTAATAAAATGGATAATATGCCTTAGAAGGCCAGAAAAAAATCGCAAGATTCGTGGTTGTAAACAATGAGGATTTCTAGTGGAGCACTCTCCGTAAAAACTGAACCGCCCACAAAAAACGACCGACTAACGGCTCGACTAACTGTACATTAACCATTAATGTCCCGTAACGCCCGCTGCCGCCCGACACCGTTAATGTCCCGTAACGCCCGCTGCCAATAAGCATAGAAAAATTAAATTTGTTTCATTAAAATTTGGCCTACAAATCCTAATTTTTAACTAAACAGGAAGTCGGATGGTTTCAGCATCCTTTTCCGGTCTTGTAATTTCAATGGCGCTTTTGAAAGATAAAAAATAATAGTTTCTTTCTATCTCGAAATTTTCGACTCATCTGTCGTATTTTTAGTAGATTTAATATTAAAAATAAAAAAAATTAATGCCTCTAAACGGACGTATCTAGGCATGTATTTTATGAATTATATATGTTAAACATAACCAAATTGATATTTAACTGTTAAATTCGATGCATAGTTGTTAAGACAAAAATAAATAAAGTTGACTACCGAAAATGACCTGTTTTGAATTTTCTCAGACATTTTTTATTTTTATACTGTACTTTTACCGAATATAATATATTCTATTTAATACTGTTGGAAAGCCAGGTTTATTCCCAACATTAAGCAGTACTTTTTATCTTAATTTTCAATTTCATTTAGACAAAAACAAATATTTTGTGAAACTATTCACTTGATCATACAGAGTTATGCTCCTTACATTGGGCCGTCATGGGTGGAGTTTTGGTAGAATGAATGGGACATTAATGGTTAATATATAATTGATATATTTATCATGTATATTTACAGTATTTTTGATTACTTTTTCCAAAATCTCACTCGAGGATGAGGTACCCACGCTGACATTTCTATCCGCTATTTTTAGTATGACGTCATTGTTACGCTAGTTACCTCACAGAAACAACTAGTTTTTGTTTTTTTGCGGAATGAACTGTTAAATCTAGTATTTTAATTATAATTCAATTGTAGCATGTGCGGAAAAAGTAAAATTATGGACATTATAATTGTATTAGTAATTTTATTAGTATATTGATTTTTTCTTCACTGTGGGCAGACAGTTGCTGCATTTGTGACCGGTGGTTAACCTCGTCAACGCTGTGTGGCCTATTCGTTTATATAATCAGTGATGCTCGTTCAGTGGCCTTTTTCAGAGCTAGGCCTAATAACGGGCGATTTTTAGACTTAATTGATTGGCCGTTAGCCTTTTTCATTTAAAAAAATGCTCGTTCAGCGGCCTTTTTTTTTTGGCGCTAAATAATCTGTTTACGGGCATTTTAAGCGTTAATTTATTTAATCTGTTAAGCTAGACGTAGATCTAGTTAAAAATTTTTTTTTTAAATACAGCTGGCCGTCTAGCATACCTGATATGTGAACTTTTAAAAAAATGACCGAACTTTAAAAAAAAAATGACAAGAAGTAGGGAAGGAGGTCTGTTTTCCAATTTGCTTGGAAAAAAAAAAGGGGGGGGGGGAGAGAAGAGAGAAGTGAAGACACCGACCATCTCGTGTACGCGTGTTCATTCTATGACGTCTACTGTAGGCCTGCTGAAGTCACGGTGACCCGCGACCATGGTGGGATTTTTCATCCACAGTATAGTAAATGTAAGCAAGCAATCACGCGAGTGACGATGTTTGGAGATTTTATTTTTAAAAATAATCACATACGTCATGTTTTCAAGATGAAAAAAAAATGTAATGTAAAAAAAAAAAAAGACACTAATACCATGTATGAACCTCAGCTGCCACGCTGTTGACTCAATATAATGTGAATTGAGTGTAAAATAAAATGTATTTGTATTTATAAACTATCATAACTATTACTATCATATTATTTTAAGCATATTTATTATTTAAAATTAGAATTTGAAATAAAATATTTATTATGGTCATTTGATTTATGCAGGTGTTCATTACTTCTTAAATTGGTATGAATATCATGTGGAGTAGAATTTAATAAATAATAAAATAACTAGATCTAGTTTGATTATCAACGAGTTGCTTTTTGTTATTTTCCGGTGAGTAAATTACCATGGCGGGAATTAAAAGCTCGTGTACACAAGTCCACGACGTCATGTTATGCCGGTCGAGGGCCAAGAACGCTGTTTTGTCATTCATTTTCCACTTTTGATTAATTTTCAAATTCTCTTTTTTCTCGTCAACCGAGTAAGCTAGATATTTAAATGTGGTATCAAATGTTCTCTTAAGGCACTTAAGGGGTAAGGAAGTTAATGGTGTATTTGAAATAACAGAATATTTTATTTTAAAAAATCCATAATTCAACCTACGGGAGAATGTTTACACCAGTGTCTGATAATGGAATCTTCTTTAAAAAGGGGGTGTTAGGTTACTGGTAGTTTACTAAATACACACATGGCTGGTTAATGTCATTGCTAACCCTGTCCCTAACCCTAACCTCAACCCTGGTCCAACCATACGCCTAACCCTAATTTCTAACCATAAAATTAGTCGAGAATACAATACTACTAACAACCTGACACCCCTTTCTTAAAGAAGATTCCATTATAAGACAATGGTATCTATAATCATCCCAACCTACTATTGCCCGAGCTATGACGTATGCTGATAAAGTCAATGTGAACTCACGGTGAACCCTCGACAGTGTAAGGATTTTTCTCCCGCTGACAATCACACGATATTTAATTGGAACAGCTCTAATGCTTTTTTGTTTTTTTATTTTCCATTTTCTAATTAAAAAACACATTCATAACAAATAAGTAGATCTAGTGTTTAGGCCTACATAATACATAACGTTTTTGTGTGTTTCGGTTGTGTTTATAATAAAACACACTCAACTGGAGGTGAACGTGAAGCGGGGGAATAAAATACGCCAAAATGTTTTACCATCAATAATCTAAGTCTAGACTTTGGAAAGTAAGATAGTGGAGTGGAGAGGCAAACCATGGGCTATCGAGTCACAGAGATCGTAATCGATCGAGGTAGAACTGACAAACCATGGGCTATCGAGTCACAGAGATCGAGGTAGAACTAAATAGTAAATACTCTGTGTCAAACGAATAATGCTATATTTTAATACAATAACATCCCATCTATCTTGGCCTTTAGGCACTTCCCTAAAGTCAAGATGATTTATCAGTTATTTTGATTTTGAGAAATGTTTGACACAACAAGCAATGGATGCAACTTGCAAAATCTACTTTCATTTTCACGGCATCCTTATAAAATGTAATATATTAACAAACACTAATTAGCACATTAAAATAACAAAATTTATGTATGTAAAAGATATCCTCGTTAACAAATAATCAATTTTAATATTCGATGGCATTTTAAACAAAAATATATCATTAGATTTCTTTCGCTTACCATATTAGTCTGTTTACCCTAAGAAGTTCAAGCCTGGAAAGGGACCGGAAACGTTTCCGGTTGAAGTATCGAAGAAAGAGCAATTAAATTATAAATTTAATAAATCTAGATCTATAGATCTATATTTTTTTTAATCTAATAGTTCGTCTATTGATTCAACAATAATTTTAGAAATAAAACGTTCACGTATCGACGAATTCATTTTTCTAGACTCATTGAATATTTCTCTTAGTGCGGATTATTTGACATAGAAACAAAAATAACATTTATATTCATACACACATTGATCTTTGCTTTCAAAATTTAAACAAAGCTATGGTTTGAACTTTTGAATGTAATAATAGTTTTTAAACGTTGCTTTTAAAATTGGCATGGCTACAAATTTACTGGGAACTAACTAAAAACTAATATAGTGAGAAAGCTTTTTTTCTTCGCGGAATGTGTTAAAGCGTCTTTTGGTGTAACTAGGCCATATCAATAAGACTCGCATTCTGACATGCAATGCAAAACGATATCCCCTCTCAGTTTAATTAATTTTTCATGTTAAATAAAATTAACTTAGTGTGCTCATACATTCTAAAAATCGTAGGCATAAGAATAATTAAACCATATTGTATACCTATATTAGTTATCTTTCAAAATACTAAATACCTTGGCTTTTGTTATTTTATAAATTATACACTAGGCCACTTTACAGTACTAGTACTACAAGTACTAGTACTACTAGTACTAGTACTACGCACTTTCTACTCTAAAGTTGCTAAACTTATAGTTAATAACCATGCCTAGATTATATATATTTATAATAGATTTTAAATAGATCTAAGGTGCAGCTGCCAAATCACCACAGTTTGGTTAGATTAGGCTAATTATGTAATTTAAGCATGTTCTATTAAAAACACTCAGTGTACAGCACAGTCATTTGATTTTACCGTTAAGGCCTATATCTATAGGCCTATACTATATATAAAGTCCTTTGTTTAATATTTACTACAAGCCGGCCCGCAGCATAACATACACCGCTATTTAGTTGTTGTTTTTTCTACTTTTCAGTAATTCATAATTTGTGAATTCGACAGTACCAACGCAGACACTGAAAATATTTCTTTAAAACACTATAAGTAGCTCGTTAAGGACCATAACCCCCCCCCCCTTCCTCCCCCCCCCCCCCCCCCCCCCCCCCAACGTTTAAAATCGTTTCAAACTAAATTATCTGCCACTAATAGCCGTCACTAAACCCGACTCCACGAAGGTAAACATAGCGTGAACCACAGCTCACTAAGACCATGTAGGGGTGGGGATGTTAGGGAGTGCGTTTACAGCTTGTTTTCTAGCGTCTCCCAGAAGAGAATTATATACATAGGTTTTATTGAATACCTTTTAACATTAGCAAACTGATATCATGTAATTTCTATGTAATTATTATTATTGTAGTATATAATTCATATTCACTGATCAAACCATAGCCTCTCTGCTCAAAGTTATCACTTCAGACTATAATCCTTAATCTCCCCTTGTCCTAACTACCAAACCTCCCAAACCTCGCATAAAGCTTAAAACTAAAACTTAGCCCTACTACTAAGTTACTACTAAGGTTTATATTCAATCCTTCTACTAGATCTAGTTCTACATTAAACATTAATTAAAAAATGAATACAATTACAATAGTTATTATGTAGAGATTCTAAATACTATTTGGGCCATACAGGATTGATTCAATGTAGTTGTTCTGCCTGTATTTTGACTGGGAACAGGGCATTACCCCCCCCCCCTCCCGTCTATTTCCCCCGATCATAGCTTTAGGTTCAGCTAGGGTAAGGATTAGGGTTAGTGTTAGGATCAGGGTTAGGCTTAAATTAATGTCTAGAGTTGGTTTTCGGTTAATTTTAGGGTGAGGTAATTCTTAAGTTTTTCATGTATGTCTTAAGGTTAGGATTAGGGTAATAGAAAGGTATAGAGTTGGAGTTAGATTTAGGATTCTACCGGGGGGGGAAGGTTGTAATTCCACAGATGGGTCATTGACAGGGGGTAATTGCCCTGGAGGGGGGTAATGTCCTGTAGCCATTTTAACTAGTCAGAATTAGGCTTTGGGTAATGATGCTGTGAATAAAAAACATGTCTCTAATAACATTTTTTCAAAGTGTATAAAAATTATGTTTACTGTACTATACAGTGTTCTTAAATGAACCTAATAAAAAGACTGAGTTTACAGATAGTTATATAGCCAAAATTATCAGACAGAATCACACACAAAGTATAAAACTATTCAGTTTATTTATAATACCATGTAATACAATTATTGATGTATAATAAATCATTCCAAAGATTATTTTTAAATAGAGAGTATTTACGTCACCATTGTGATATATTTTTTTCTTTAGAAATAATGAACAATCAATAAAGGTCTATACAAAACAGTCATACTATCATGATGCCAGGAGAAGATTACTGTGAAGACGACTATTACTGCCTAGTAAGCTGTTACAACTAATTTATAGATATTACTAGAAGCTGCTGCTCTTGGAATACTTTTTGCTATACAGTTAATTTTAGCCATAGAATTTCAAGAGCGGACATGACCCTAACCTTATGAAATGAACTTTTTCTTTACAATATTACTTTCTCTTTAGTCTAAATTGAAGTTATTAAAAAACAAAATCATACATTTACTCAATCTTTCTAATAACAACTCCTAAATCAAACCCTTGTCTTAACCTAAGCTCTAAATTTAAACTTGATCACCACCATTTCCTCCCTGTTTTAGATGTAACCTAATTAAGACTCGGGATTAATTAGATGAACTTTAAAATCTATAAAGTACTGGGTGTAACAATTTTTTTCAGAACCCATATGACAGCTTTATGAAGAAACACTTGCAGCATTATGGGTATTATACAGGTATTAACAGTTTTATGTATATAAGATAAGAAGTATATGAAAATAAATGTTTTCTAAAACCATGTTTACACTTATGATATGTACACTATACATTTCTAGAAAAAAAAAATGTGCATTAAGGTAATTTTATATGAAAACATTTTGCCCACTGAACATGTACACCTTCTTGATGTGAGGTTTTTTTTCTAGACAGGCAAAGTATACATGTCATAAGTGTAAACGGCTATTTAAATTACTATCAATTAGCCTAAATTTATCAACTCTATGTTTAATATGAGATTATTTTTATTGCTCAGTTACTCTTTACATACTTATCTGTTTGAAGATTCATATAAGTGTTAAATGTGTATTTATTACTTTGTTGTAACTGAGTAAGTTTTTTTGTGTACAATTAATAGGCAGAAATCAAAATTATAAGAACCAATTCCAACAATATTCTGAGTGGGATAAAACTTTTGGCTACAACTTAAGCACCAGCAGTTGCGATTGTTCTGACTCAGAAAGTGATGAAGAAAAAAATGCTGGTAGGTAACATGTCTACATTTTCCCCATTGGTATTTCTTTTTAATTTATAAACTGAAAATAATTTAGTACCTGCCGACTAAATGTCAATAGTGCAAAGTGTGTAATATTTCTGGGACTGTTTATTGATGTAAAACAGGATTTGTAATTTAAACTGCTGCAGGTAAACACCAGTAGTAGTAGTAGTACTACTGTTGTTCTGTTATATATTTTGTTTCACTCCATCTGATGTATATTTAACTATATATATATATATATATATATATATATATATATATATATATATATATATATATATATATATATATATATATATATATATATATATATATATATATATATATATATATATATATATATATAGTAATATGTGAACCTCAATTTCAACTTGAATTCAATGTCATTTTTTTAAAAACAAGATAAGTATTTACTTTTGAATATTAATAAATGTTGGGGGGGGGGGGGAGGAACATGGTTTTTTTTCTGAAGTTGTATTACAATGAAACTAAAAAAATATCTGATCATTATATTTTGAGCTATATTCATTTCTTTTTTCCAATTTTAAAAATTTTTCATGCATTTTCCTTTACTATTTGTGAAACTCTTTATGATTTTTTCTTAGTTGCTGTTAATTGTTGGTATTTATGGTGTTGATGTTATTCTTACAGAATTGTCAGATTTTTCTTCAGAATCTGTCACAACCCAAGAAAATATTCTGCCACAAGGCAAACTTTGCTCTACTATTGAACAAAAACAAAAGGGTCTCTCATTGCATTATTATCTCTCTTAGTAACTAAAAATCAAGCTTCCAATAAAGTTATAACAAACTTTTTTGCTGTATATTTATAATAAAATAAATTAATTTGAACTGAATTTTTTTTAAAATCTACTTAGTTTTTCACCATGAAAAGTATTGTTAGAAAATAGCTGATAGTTTTACTTTAGCTTCTTAAATTTTAGAGGCTTATTAGGGTAGACTAAACCTGTGTGCATTTTCTCTAATATTTTATTTTGTCTAAATGTCTATCCCATAAGGAGAAACTTAAAATGCAAGAAATGATAATAAAACAGGGTGAAGGTTACTGTCCTAATAGCCTGTAATTACAGTCTGCTATTGCCAAGCAAATGGTAATTTAGCAATCACTAGTTGGCTGCAATTCAGAATCTCATTCTGGTGTAATTACTGATGGAGGCAGTAAGAGAGAGCCATGAAATATTTATTGGAGAGTGGTGTGAAGAAGGGATTGGCTAGCAGAAGTGTTCTGGTTCTAGATGAATAATTAAGGTCATGGAACCTAACAGTGTGTTTTCAGAATTACTTAGAAATGTCTCATTCCACAGACAATTTAAAAATTAAATTAGCTTAGTATAGTCTGGATGTAAGCTTAAACATCCATAATGCTTTATTTGTAGTTTCTCTATTTTAGAAAAAGTCAATGTAAAAGTGGATTAGAAATAAATATACAAAAGTTATAACCATTTAATTAAACATCTTTAAATCACAGCTTTTTTAAAAATACAAAATAGATGGATAACTATCAGAATGATAGTCTTAGTCACCACACCTATACCAACATATATATTTTTGTTAGATGGTTGCTTTATTTTAATTGAATTGTAACAATTTCAGACATTAGATCATTTTCTCACTTTCAAGTCCAGTGCACAATTAATGACTATAGATCCTTAAAAAGTGACATCCTACATGTTAAATAGGTCAGTCTGGAGGAGAAGGTGGCCAAGTTTCAATTAAATGTTTTCCAGACGATTCATGACTAATTGATTCTAGCTCACCACTTTTAATACCTACTTCAGAGGGGAAAAATTTGCACAAAAAAAAAGCTCGTTCATCACGACATTTGTGCAGGGTTTTATTTGTATTGATTACCAGTTCTATAAATATCTAACCATCATTGTGGATGTTGATTTAGGTTTTTTTTTCTACTTTCTTTTTAAATTGGATTCTTTACTCTCTGCTGAGCATTTTACTTTATCTGTGACTGAATAGGACTGTACTTGGTTTCATTTTTCTGTCAGGATTCTAGTTAGAGTGGAAACTTGTGTTTATGGATTTTTGTTTGTCACAGCCAGCTCGTATCTATTTTTTAGTCAATGAGAACATTCATTTTATTTATGTGTTGATAAGATAGTATTTATTGTATAGTTAGCAGAGTATTTAAAAAAAAATAACTTAGCAAAGTTTTATTTATCAGACATTATATTTTAATTTTTCAAGTGGTTATTCCTAGGAAATTATTTAAATGTTATTATTATTTCACAGATAATTTTTTTTTTCTTCAAAATTTATATTGTATAATAATATTAAATTAAAATTTTAGATAACTTTTAAACAGATTATCACTTAAGTGCTAAAGTGGTGCTTTGTTAAGCTCTAATTATGTTTTAGATAAAGTATCAGACATTGATTAATTGATTCTGTTAGTTACTCTGAAACAACGATGCAGGGGCGATTTGGAAGTATATATTGATTTATTGAACACTTGGATTGGCATGTTTCCTCCTTGCTGCTAAATGTTGCCTTTATTCTCACGTGTTTATGGCTAAATGTCTCGTGATGAAAATTTTAAGTGGATCCAGGATCTTGAAATGAGCATTCCACTAGGGCCAGTATAAGATCACGGATTAGGATATTTCAGTTTTTAGTATTTAATTTTATTAGTTAAGATAATTTATTTCTAGAAAAGGTGTTTATTTTTGTTAGGATTACTTCTGAATCGTTCAAATTTCATAAAAAGTGTAAAATATGGAATTTAAAATCTTTCTTATTTCAATATTGAAGAGTGATATCAGTTAGTCATTCCATCTGAGGAGATTATTGTTTGAAAATGGATGATACTAAAAGCAGCAGTGATAGCAGTCCAGATGGGTGTAACACTGTCAGCTCTTGTGGAAGTGTAAACATAAATAGTATCACACTGGAAGGTGTCAATTCTATTCAAAACACCTACACAAATGATACAGTTACTAGTGGCTGTAATAGTGTGATTTCACCAAAAAACAGTTCACAGGCTGTCTCAAATTTTATTTTTGATTCAAAAGAAAATAATTTTTTGGAGGATACTAATTTAAAATTAGCTCAAGAAAATTATTTGGAAACGGGGCATGCTTCAGTGAACAATCAAAATGCTGTTATAGTTGAGGAAAGTACAAGTTTAAATACAAGCCAGATGGGAATAAAAACTATTTCCCGATCACTTAGCAGAGGCAGTAGTTTGGCGAGTGAAATCAGCTTCATTACAGATGAAGATAATGATGAATGGAGTTCAGAGTCAATTAATCTTAGTGACTGGAATATTGCTGATAACTTTCAAGAAAGCAATGCCTCTACACAAGCTAGTATAAATAAAAACCCCTCAGACAATGGCTATTTAATAAATAGCAGCACACCAATAAATATTGTTATAAATGGTGCCAAGGAATACAAGGGGAACAATACATCTGTACAAAGGTTTATTAAAAGCAGAAAGTCTGAAGAAAATTCTACAGAGTTATCTGGACATAACTCAGATAATAAAACAATGATAACAAAACCTAAAAGAAATTCTTCTGAAGTTTGTTCTGAAAATGGCTCAGTCAGTCATCAGTCTGATGAAACTACCGGCAACTCTAGTTCAAGAACAACTAATACAAGCACTAGTCATAAAAGTTTAACATGCTCTTCAAGCACTGAAAGTACAAAAACAGGCGACAGAACCTCTTCAAAAGCTAGTTCAAATTTAGATGAAAATCAAAGATATTCTTCAAGTAGTCATTCAGGAAGTTCAAAATTAAGAGGCAAATTGAGGAATGTTTCTAAAGGAAGTAGCAGTCTCTCCACACACAGCAGAAGTATTACTGTCACTCCAATTAGTGATATTTTATCACAAAGAAATAAGAGTAGTATAAGTAGCAGTTCTATTGCTCTCATCGAAGGGCGAAGCTTTAGCAGTTTGTCTAGAAGTGAACAAAGTAGGAACAGCACTGCCTACAGTTCAAAAAGTAGTTCCAGCGGTGGAACAAGTGAAAGGCTCTCTGTAGATACATTAACACTTAGTTCATCATCTGTTCGAAGCTACAACAGTACCAACAGTAAATATAGCTCACCAAGAAGCTCATCCTCTGTAACAGAAGAAAAAACTTCCCCACGTAATTCTAGTTGTTTGTCTACAGGAAGTGAATGTAGCAGCCATTTTAGTTCAAATATAAGTACAAGCACACATACTGAAGAGCGAACTGCTAGCTCTTCTTCCCGTGCCACAACCAACTCCATTCAAACTAAAAGTAGCCTTAATTCAAAAGCAAGTTTGACAGCATCATCCAGTAAAATCTCTAGCTCCTCTGGCAGGTCTACTTCTGATTCTACTGCGTCTGCTAGCACCACTTCTGCTGCTTCCAGTGAGACTGGCAGCATATACTCTGCTGATGACACCACTCTGACCAGTGCTTCTAACATGCAGGACTCAGAGCTGACCAGCACATGTGTTGAAGAAAGTGACACGGAAAGTGAAAGCACCACCACGTACATCACATCATCCACATCCTCAGACTCCAGCTGGTTGGATTACGATTACGCAGCATATATTCTCAAACCCCGCTATGAGAAACACCCTACATGGGTTAAGTCCTTGCTTGAAAAGTTTTCAACGACAAACAATGCAAGTGATGCTCATAACTCAGATGATACTGAGCAATTTAAATCTACAGGTGCAATGCTTTATTATTATAGTGCTCATTATTATTTTCTTTTACAAATCTCATCCATGTTTTTGTGTTTTAGTTGTAATTTAATGTTTTTCAGTTTTATTCTGCATATGCAAAAAATAGCTGATAGTTTTCATAATGAAATATTTAAACAAAAATAATCACATTGTATTAATTAAGATTTAAAGTTTTCTCATTGACAAACAGTACCAAACGTATAAAGATTAATTTTTACTTATATTTCTTTGCAAATTTTTTGTTCAAAATATTACAAAAAAGTCGAGTAAGTTGTTTACCAGTAAACACTAGGAACTTACCATGGTGAAATATTCAGCCACATCTGAATGGTACCCATGAAAAAATGCTGTTCAGAAAATGGTCTTTAATGAAAATAGTTTTATTGATTAATTGTCCAGACTTTATTGGCCTTTTTTTTTTTATTGATTCCCCTTAAGTGCTACACACATTTATGATTTCCCCCTAATGGATTTGCCTGTTTTTCTTTTCAACTAATAAAAAGTATCAGGTTTTCCCATTTTTAGCTGTTTTTTTCTTGTAGCAAACTTGGAATAAAAATATTTAATGGAACAGTTGGCTGCAATTATACATATACTAACAGTTTTATAATATGAGGAAAGTTTCCATAAGTCAAAATAATTTCAAAGTGAATGTTTTTTACTGTGAATCATACACATTTATTACTTTTAATATTCTTATTACAAAATGTAATGTAAGTACCATTTGTATTTATGAGCTTGCTCTAGTGAGCACAATATATTCATTTATTTATGTTATATTACACAAAAAAATATATTTTTCAATCTATAATCAATAGTTTTTTTATTAAAGTGATTATTAATTATTATATTAATTTTTATTTGTTTTATTGCTGTTTTAAAACTGATTTGTTAATTTTGATATAACAATTTTTTTCTTTTAAATTTTCAAATGCATCAATGAACTTTAAAGCATTAACCTTTTTTTTAAATCTTATTAATTTTTAAAGAAATGGTTTGCAAACAATATTTACAAAAAGGTTTTTTTTTACTTAATTAAGATGATTGCCTTAAAATCCAACTAAATTTATTACTTTTATAAATTTGCTTCATTCACATATTTTTAAACGTAATAAATGAAAAAAAACATCTACTTCAAATAAATAAAAGAAATGTATAAAGTGTAGCAATCAAGTACTGACATATAACTTGATGTTAAAAATACTTTATAAACAAATTGGTTAAGCAGTTAATTCATTTATTTCATTTTATATTCGTTTAATTTCTTAAGTGATTTATTATCTACAGAAAAAGAAACCAGTTGATTATTTTTTAGTGTCACAAAGTTCATTAAACTAAAAAACTTAATTTCAGACAACAAGCTACAAGAAGACTCACATAGAACTACCCAGCTTATATACAGCTGTGGCGAGTCTGGAAAAATGGTAAGAAACCATTTAGAAAAAAAAATTTAGGTATCAAATTACCAAAGTTAAAGTTTATTCCAGTACATTACTGCATGTTTAAAAATTAAATGTTTTTAAAATCCAGTTTAAATTAGATGATGTTTTTTTTGCCAATGATTGTTAGGTTCCACGGCTTAGGGAACCAAGAAGCCTGTATGCACTTAACAAAGAACTGGGTCCACAACAAGCTGCAAGATGGTAAAATCACGCTGATTTTTTTTTTTCATTTTATCCAAGCATAATGTTTTAATTCTATCATGTTGTAACATCTTCCTCACACTTCTAAATGAGCATGTATCTCCCCTTACGAAACATTTTGTTTTGATAAACATGTTGTGTTCTCACAGCTATTCATAAAAAATACCAAAGAAAATAGATTTTATTGATAAAAGTACTAAAAACTTTTGCTCCAACCACCTCGGCAGTTTACTCATATATATGTTAATTTTCTGTAATATAAAATTCCACTATCAAATGTTTTATTTAATTCATTAATATATAATAAGAAAATTAAGTATTTTAATCGTAAACAAACAGTAGCAGAGCAAAAATGCTTCTTCTTCCTTGCCTTGTAGCATTGCTGTACCACTGGTGTCCTTCTAATTGTGTTCCTCTATTCGACTATGTGTTTCACCATCCTAAATGCCTCTTTCAGTTTCAAACACATCCATTCCCTGATGTTGTTCTCCCATTTCTTCTTTGGCTGCTTTTTCTGTTTGCTTGAAGCTATTCCTTGTAAGAAGGTTTTTGCGTAAAATCTTTTCCAAAGAATAATGTAATGACATTCTTCTTAAGATAATGTTCTGACTTTCAGGCCCTCGGATTTGCAAGTAATAAATGAAAGAGTGCATCACATACAGACAGTTCCAACAGAGCCTGAACCATTTTATAAACAAAGTAGGTTAAATTATGCACACAATTTAGAACAATATTTAAATTATTGACCTTATATGGTTTCAATCAGTTTTACTTTGATGATGCAGTAAACATGGCATGTTATTTCTTAAAAATAAAACTGAAAACAATCTAATTGGTTTTATTCAGTTTGTTTAATCATTTTCTCTATAGCTACTAGATCTAATAACTTTAAAAATGCTGGGTAAAAAAATTCATCGCTATAATTAATTAATTTTTTACAGCTGGCCTTGAAAAATGTCCAATGGCTAGAGGTGAAACAAATGGTGGGAGAGTTGTCTTCAGCTATGAAACAAACTCCAGCTTTGTAAGAGCTTTTAATGTTTGTTTTTGTATATCATTCAAGGATTATAATAGTAATTTAAATGAAAAAAATGATCTATTTTACTAATGTCAATGCATTTTTTATTTTTAAAAAACATAAATTTAGACCAAGAATAAAAATATAAAAGGTTTAGAGTTTCAACTTTAGAAAACTTTACTAAAACTTAATAGGATTCTTTAGGAGTATTGTTGATTTTTATTTTTTATTCCTGCAGTTTATGAAATCTCGAGCTGGGGGCTCAAAAAATGGATGTGATCCGTGTGCTGTGCCTTTGCAGTTTGAGAATGATACAACTCTAATATTTGAATCAAGGTTTGAAAGTGGAAATTTGGGGAAAGCTATTCAAGTGTGAGTTGAAACATTTATATAGTCTTGTGACATTAAGACACTTTTTATATGTATGAAATAACTTAAGAATGCTGCTACATTAGGCACCAGAGCTAAAATTATTTCAGCTATGCTCAAGGCCAACAAAAACACTGACAATGAATATGTTGTGCTATTAAACTATTAGCTTTGAACAATTTAATCTTCCTTATTAGTTTTTAATTTTTTAGCGAGATACTAAATTATAATGTATATTTCTCATGTACCTTAATGATTTTAGATTTCTCACAAATTTCCCATTATCCACTCATCTATTGAAAAATAAAAACAAAAATTATTTTTTTTCATTTTGGAGAACATGTTTTGATTCTATTCTTTTGCAAAGAAATAGTTTTAAAGGAACCTGTATGTTTAACAATTTACATTTCTTTGTAGGGGTGAAAGAGAGTATGAGCTCCATCTGCGTTATGATTTGTATACCAACAAACACACACAGTGGTTTTACTTCCGGGTCTCAAATACTCAAGCAGATGTGGAATACAGGTTCACTATTGTCAACTTTATGAAAGTAAGTTACTTCCTTTGTACTTATGTTTGGTGTAAAAAAAAATGTGGTTACCCATTCAGACATGGCTCATTGATTTATATGATCTCTGTATATGAAGGGATGGTGTTGTAAGTTCTATGCCCTGTCACCTTTAGTTTCCCTAATGTGAGTCAGGTACCTATCAGAGCTGGGTGGACTCAGAGACATCCTACTGACTCGAGTCTGAGATCCAAATTTGAGACTTCCTGGTTAGCAGTCTGTTGTCCAACCTTTTAATCTAGAATTTGATACCAATTTTAGCCATTTACCTCGACATAATTATTTATTGTATCTTAATAATGGAAATATATACCAACTAATAATGTTATTTTAATTTTTGTTTTGTTTTGTGTTCCTGACCAATTAGCTTTTTGGGCTTTTTAGATTTTTTTCATCTAAATAACAAAACATATTTCTCTACTCAACAGCCTGATAGTCTGTACAATGATGGAATGAAGCCAGTGATGTATAGTGAGAAAGAGGCAGCTCTCAACAAAGTGGGATGGATCAGAGCAGGAAATGACATCAAGTACTATAAAAATAACCTAAGGTAATTTGCTTAGTCAAAATATGAAATATATTCTGTATATTAAAACAGTTAAGATGTGCAACACAAAGGCAAATTTGATATGTCTTAGTCCTCTTTACTTGTTGTTTGGTTAATGTTATTTTCAGATTTTAAGTTAGAAATAGCAAAATATCATTCCAACTAGATTCTTCTCCTCTTTAATTAGTTTTAAAAAAAACAGCTTAAAAACATTACTCAAACAGAATAATTTAAAACATTAATCAATTTTATTTTTATTTTTGTAGATATGAAACCAGTAAAGGTGACCGCTACTTCTACTCAATGACATGGACAATCAAATTTAAGCATAATCATGACACAGTCTACTTTTCTCATTGTTATCCTTATACTTACACAGACTTACAGGTAATGATCACTTGCCATTAAATTATCTATAATGAAAATGTTTTTATTTATCACTTAGAAATAAAAAGTGGTTGTTTTAGTTATCACCTACCTGAACACTTAGTTCTTTTCATTCTTAAAAAGTCTACTTGTGAAATAATAATATATTTTTTTGGTCATTTCGATCATCATTTTTTTATGCCAAAATTATATATCTAGCTCTATTTAATTTTTTTACTGTTATCAAGAATTTCTTTCAAATGTGAGAAGTTTCATCATTATTAAATCTTGAATTGGCTTGCCAAACTAAGGAATTCAAATTATTTATCTATTTTTAGAACTACCTTCTGGAACTTACGAATGACCCAATCAAATCTCGCATTTGTAAACAAAGAGTTTTGTGTAGAACATTAGCTGGAAACCTTGTGTATGTCCTGTCCATCACTTCAGCTTCCCAAAATCCTGAGGACTTGAAGGTAGGATCTCATTTACATAAATCAATTTTATGTCTATAAACTTATTTTTATGTTCTAGTATGCCTAGAAAAGCTTTTTTTATATGTTAACATTTTTAATATTTAATTTTCTTGTTACATTTAAATTTTGTTTTATTTTGAATATAATATGCACTTAGATAATTTGGTACTTAGATAATTGAATTGCTACGTAATCTACTTTAATTAATAGCACAAGAAAGCAGTGGTAGTGACATCTAGAGTGCATCCAGGAGAAAGTAACTCTAGCTGGATGATGAAAGGATTTCTAGACTTTGTCACTAGCAACTCTCCAGATGCTAAGGTAACACACTGAACAGTATTAATCTCCTTTTAATTCCACTCTAATTGTTTAGCAACAATAATTAATGTCATATTTTTTTGTTTAAATTACAATTAAAATATTGACCAAATGAAAAATTAGCAGTTACTAAGGTTCAAAGTATATTCATATATACAGGTTAAACCAAACCTTCATTTAAATAAATCAACAAATATTTTAACATTGTTTACTACTTTGTCACTCCAAAAACAGTTACATTCAGAGCATACACTTTTAATATTTTCAACATGTCTTTCAGCTTTTGAGAGACACTTTCATCTTTAAAGTAGTGCCCATGCTGAACCCAGATGGAGTTGTGGTTGGCAACTACAGATGTTCATTGACAGGGAGGGATTTAAACAGAAATTATAAAACAGCTCTCAAAGATGCTTATCCATCAGTGTGGCATACAAAAATGATGATACGCAAGTATGTAAATTAATATTTATACGTATTAGGTTAGGGTTATCATTTCAGCTGTCTAGTATCATAGTTACTAAAGTGAACTATGGCTATAGTGATCAGTATATCACTATATTGGACAACATTGTCAATTGCTTTAGGTTTGCAAATAATTATAATAGTAAAAATATAATTAAAAGATAATCATAATAGGTTAGTGTAAGTTTCATGTTTTAGTTACTATAATGCATAATTTTGGATGTTATAATATTTATATATCATTAATTACTAAAAAAAAGAATGATATGCCATTTCTGTGCAGACTTCTGCTTGAAAGAGAAGTTATTGTGTATTGTGACCTGCATGGACATAGTAGACGGCAAAATGTTTTCATTTATGGATGCGAACAAAATCAGAACCCTAACAAAAAGTTTCATGAGAGGATTTTTCCATCAATGTTAAGCAGGAACACTCCTGAAAAGGTGGATTGGTATTTGTTTTTTAGCTATAAAAGTTAATATTTTTTATGTTCACTTTTTCATAAAATGCAAAAAAAGTATTGTAGATGTAAATTAGTTGGTAAAATTATCCTCTGCTATATAATTCATATCATAATAAAATGTTATTTCAGTTTTGCTACAAGTCTTGCAAATTTAAAGTTCAGAAAAGCAAAGAAGGTACAGGAAGAGTTGTCATGTGGAATATGGGCATTATGAATAGCTACACTATGGAGGTAAATTTGTCATGGATGATGTTTCTATCTTAAGCTCATTTTAATTTCTACTATAACTCTCTTCCCAAGATCATTAATTCAGTTTGTTTTTTACCTTTTGGTCAAAATTTTATAATTTCAGAAATTATCATAAAGAAAATGTTATTGTTTGAACATGTGTCTGATGAAGTTTAGTTTTTAAAAAGTAGAATTTTAATATAATTTTCACACAAACCGAGTTATCCGTTTACCTTTGTGTTTATTTCCAGAAGAGTTTAACAGTTGAATTACAAGTATTTTTAATATATTTGGATCTGATTTCTAATATATTTTTTTTTCCTTTTTATTTCTAAACTGGATTATTAAAAATAGATTTTCACAATAAGTAAATGGCATCATTTGTATTGTTTTCTCTCTGACAAGTTTGTTTATTTTCTTGACACCAGGCAACCTTCTGTGGCTCCAGTCTTGGGAAAAAGAAAGGGTTCCACTTCAACCAGCATGACTTTGAGATGATGGGCTTCCATTTCTGTGATACATTGTTGGATTACTGTGACCCAGACAGCACAAAGGTAAATTAATGTTTTATTCTATTTTGTAAAGTAAATAAGGGTAATTTTTTAAAATATATGTTATTGAAGAGGTTTTAGGTAACAGCATAAAAGTACCATCAAGAAACTCAAATCAAATAAAAATTAAAAGATTTTTTTACGTCATAGTTGTGTTAAATATATATTCTGTTGTATTAACGAGAATTACTATAACAAAGATTTGTTTAGAAATTAAATTTAAGGAATGTTAGATTGAAAGTAGAATGTTTTTGCATATTAATCATGTTTGTAATTATGTTACTAACATTAAATTTAGTTATATAATATTGTAGCTAACATTATGCATTGTTGTGTGATTTAAAAGATTAGAGCTTATGTTGTTGATAGAATTGGGGTGTACAATTTTTTATTATTTTAAAATTTATTTAAAGAGAATAGTTTTTCTAGTTTTACTTAATATTATCAAACAAAATGTTGCTATTCTGCTCCTATTATTCCCTGGCTATTCCCTGCTTACTTTTTAACACCTTGACCTGGATGCTGACTTACAAATGGTAACTAACACTTTGGAACATTATGAAACATAACCTTGATATTGTGTTTTCCTTTGGATTTTATGTTGTTGATGTAACCTCAAGATTTTTTTTTGAGTTGATTTTGGTGTCAGTGTTTGCATGCATTATAAAATTACTTTTATTTATCAATTTACCAATGCATGTCATTTTACCAAAATTCTAAAGTTGAGTAGCTAATAACTAAAGTAATTTGACAAACTAAACAACTGTTTGTTGCTAGTGATTTTTCTTTACAGGAAAAAAAATAGTACAAGTTTTTTGTGTCATTTTTACTGTAAGCTTTCGTGTTGTCATTTTAAAAAATTCTTTGTTTATTTGTTTTTATTTTCCATACTGTATTTGTATCTTTTAGGTTAATAATTTCAACACTTTAAATAATAGCAATCCTGAATTATTTCCATTTTCTGAGTAATATATAGAAAAACAATGTTGAAACTATTTGGGAGCAGTATAAATTTATTTAAATGCATATTGTCTTAAAAATTATTTCTATTAAACAATCTAAACATTGATGATCAAAGAGAATATTTCTATGTGAAAACCATTAAAACATTTCATTTTGTTTTAATGCAAAACTCAAAGTAGTAAAGTATAAGATGTTTGTTTCCTTTGTATTATTGATTTAGTAATAATAATTCTGACAAAGAAATTAAATACAGCTTTTAAATTTAGCAATACTCAAAAATTACACGTAATGGTTTATCTAAAAATTTTACTGTGTAAAAATGTTTTAGTTTTATGAATTGAATCTTTATTGGCATCGAATCTTTAAATATATTTTGTTTAAATATGTTGTGCCTAATAATAGTATTTCTTAAGGCAAATACATTTCATCACTTACAACAAATCTAATCACAATGTAATTTTATAAAATATTTCGCAATCTAAAAAATCTCTTTAAATTTTTAAAACTACTTTACAATTTAGCATAGTATTTAAAAACCATGCCACACAATAAGTAAGCAGCTCATTAACTTGGATTTTTAAAACATTTGGATAATTAGGTTAAAATTTAATTTGTCTAGATATTTTTGAATTATTCTAATTCACAAGTGCTTTATTCCTTATATGTTATTCCTTATATCTTATAACAGTTTTACAAAACTTGGCTTGATGTGACTGAAATACATAAGTTGACAGTCATGGCTAAAATTGCTGAAAAGGGGCTTAATCCTGAGGATGTTGAAAACTTAAGTGACATTTCCACGGACACAGAATCAAGGTAAAGATTATTATTTATTTTTGCCTTGATGTTTAGCATTATATATACACACCTACTCACCACATACACCCCACATGTCATACAACACACACCAAACCCACATAAAACAATTACAAAAGTACATTACATAAGTAATAAAATATTCATCAAATTTTTTTTCAAAAATATTATCCCTTAATTTAGTGATGGTGGATCTGACAGTTCAATTTCTGATGGCCCACCACTACACCTGCCATTCAGTTCCAGCAGGGTATGTAACATACCTAACATATTTCCTTTTTAATTTGTTATCTTAACTCTAAAATTACACACTGTACTAAGAAGTTTTTATTGTGAAACAAATCAAAAATATCTTTTTAATAAAACACAAGTATTCAATTACTCTTCAACACCAACAAACAATACCATTAATCTTAACATCTCAATCTATTGCCAATAAACTTTATTGAATATTCTCTAAATTTTTAGTATACTTCTCCTGTTATACATTGTTTTTTTTTACAGATTTTAAGCACAGTATGTTATCTTTTTATAAAATTTACTAATGCATAAATTGCTAATAGGTGTATTTTTTAAATTAAATTATTTATTTTTTGTCAGTCATCTGTGTATTACTCCATTGATTTCATATTACTAACAAATAGTTTCTTTTAAACATTTCTTGTTATTTTTTTATTTTTTCAACTCTTTCTTTTGTTTTTGCTCAGCATTTAAAATCTTCATTAAAAATACCATTTCTCACAAAGTAACTAAAACTTAATATATTAAAAATGCTCATATTGAATGTTGAATAAAGACTTAAAGTAAAGCTTTTAAATTTTTAATATTTCATCTGTAGTGCGTTATTAATATATAGGTGCAAAATGAATTAGAATTTTTTTTTACAAAACTTTTTTATTATTTTAAATATTGATTAACTATTTGATGAGTGATCAAATATAAAAGTACATCCTTTTCTTTTTACTTTTATTTAACCTTTTTTTAATTAAATTTAACTTAAGTGTACCTTGCTTTTTTTTAAAAACTATTTGCTTTTAACTTTCTGGTATTCAATTTTTTTAGCGAATGCAATCAATACATTTTTTGTGAGAATAAAAAATAATAATGAGGTAGCTGAAATGTATGAAATATTGCCAGGTGCATACTTTTATAATGTGAAAATACTTTTTTTCTGTAAAAATCTAGTTTTTTTTATAGCTAAAATCTACTGTTCAGTTGTTACATAAGCCATACTAACTACCTAACATAAGTGTGCTTTACTCATGTTGACCAGTTTTATTGTCCTGATTATGATTTAGAATATAAAATATTTTAATATATGCAATTTCTAAATATTACCATTTTATAAAATTAACAAGTAGGCCCTATTTTATTTATTGCTGGCTATAAAGTGAAGTTTTTTTTTTTAATTTAAGGAATTATAATAAGATTTTAAGTTTTATTCTTTCGTAAAATAATTAGAATTAAAGTATTTTAATATTAATAGATTTGCTGGAATGTTATTTTTATTAATGAAAAGTTATTGAAAAACTGAATTTTTTCTCAGCCTAAAAAGAAAAAACTGAAATCTAAGAAAGACAGGGATAAAGTTCACAAAGATGAAACTAAGAAGACATCTCCAGTCGTGAGTGAAAAGGTCCTCTTATAAGTTACCTATTGGATTAAATACCATGAAAAAAACATCTTTTGTTAAAAGTTTAAAATCATAAAATGTATGTTACAGGAGGATAAAAGAATGAGAAACAATCAAGTTAAACCATTGCAACAAGATTCTTCCAAGGTAATGTTTGTAGCTGTTTTAAAAACGACTTAACAAGCACACAGTTTTTTGTCATTTTATACTTGCAATAATTTATGATTTAACATTTTTCAGCTTATGAATTAACTTCAAAAATTGTTACTGATATTATTAGTAATATTTCTATTTAAAAAAATTAACTGACCCCTGTTTTTAATAACTTTAAGACTTAACATTATAAAACTGGATTTCTAGAACATATTTTGTGTGTGATTTTCTACATGAATTTTTTTTTAATGTTTAGAAATTTGATACATCTTTTAAAAAATTATACTATTATAATTTTTCACAACTTTTAGCCTATAAAAGCAAATGGTCCAAAACGTACAAGATCATTAGATGAACGAACCAATTCTGGCATTCCAGTTTTTGTTCAAGAAAGATTTGAGGAAAAGAAACAGAAGAGGGTATGAGTTTATACATATAATTCTATTTATTTTTAAAATTTAAACATTTTAAAATTTGTAATAATGTTATCTATTTTTTAAAGAAATAATAGATTCTCTAACCATTAAAAAGTAATACCCATTCTTAAATTCTAAAATTAGAATGAGTATCTTGAAGCATTGACTGCTGCATACATCAGCAATAACATACCTATTTCTACTGACCCAGGTAAGATTATAAAAGATCTTTTTTTTTTTACATATTTCAGAGTTTTTACATAATAAATGTGTAGTTGATAGTTTTAGAAATTCACTAAAGACTCAATTAGAGAAATTCATCACCAAAAAACCATCTGATCCATTATACTAAGAACTGAATACTATTTATTCATGAAATTATTTTTTTAAACATTCAAATGTACTGAATCTTAAAAGACCATACATTTTAAAATTCTGTTAAATTCAAAATTTTGCATATTAAATACAATTATAGAATTGTGGCTCTTCAAACTTAAGGAAACTTTTTATAATATTTTTTGCAAACTAAAGGAATATAAACTTGGACTTGAATATAAAAATGTACAAAGTTTTTAAAAATTTGTACTGTTTTTGTCAAAAACAACAGCTTTTGTAAAATTGGATTGCAATCAAACCAAAGGTATGGGATGTAATTGTTTCATATTTTGTTGGTGTTGCTTTAACAGCACCGTTACATGTTCATTTCATTTTCTGATTAAAAATTTAAGTTCATTTACTCTACAGAATATGGACTTAGTGAGCTTAGAAAAAACTATTTAAAAATTGAATAATCAATAAGTAATGCAGGTTATTGTTACAATTGGAATTATTCATGAAACTTAAAAACCCAACAATTTTTAGTTTTTGCTTTCTTTATAAAAAATATGTCATAGTATTTTTTTTTTAATTTCCTTTTGAAAAAAAATTGTAAATTGTTTCAACAAAACTAAACTTTTTGGATAGTTTTCAACTATTTTAAAAGTTTCACTTTTTTTTAACTATAGTGTTTCAATTCTTTAAATCTTTTTTATGATATTTAAAAATAAATTTTATAGATACATTATTCTCTAATAAAAAATCTGTAGTTCTCCGTATAACTTGCTATAGGATTCCTTCTTTTATTATGTGTTAATTACAAAGATACTTTTTCGTAAAAGTTAGATATTTTTTATTTGGTAGTGTTTTTTTTCTTCATAATTAGATCTACTAGAATTTGTAAAATAGATGGTTCAGTAGATAACAGAACTAGCAACATTTCTGTAATAAATATTAGTCACTAACATTATTGATTAAATTGTGTTGTACTGCAAACAGTTGTAGAAAATAGGAGAATTTTCTACTGTATAATCTGTACAGTTTAAAAAAATGTTTAAATGGATGTTAGCTATAAGTAGCTAATTTTTTTTATTAATTAAATAGTTTTTTCTTATGCATTAGGTGAAACCGAGATTAGTATTATCTCTAGTGGAGATAGCCAAACTTTGGAAAAGAATGACTCTTGTAAAATGCTTTGCTTTTATATTATTAAATAAATCTTTAACATTGCAAACATATTCATCTATCTCTAAAATGTTACATTGTTTGGAGAAATGTATTCAATATAATTTTTACAATAATTAAACAGTTTGACAGCACAAAGATAATAACCTTTTTGATTTTGAAGCAAGTTTCATTGAAAAGTTAACATTAAAAGTAATACATTTTTATACAAAGTTTTTAAAAAATACTTTAAGTTTAAAAACATATATTCACTTAATTTATTTATTGCAATGGATAGTATCATTAATTTTTGTTTTTAAATTCTTGTTAATACTCTGTAAATTAATTGCATCACCTTTTTCTGTTTGTTAATGCAATTGAATCAACGATTTTTACTAGTGATCTGTATTTGTTGTAAATAAATGGTTTACATCATTTTTTAAAAATGATTCATTAAATATTTGCTTTTTTGTGTAAACAATAAACTAACAATTTTACTTCATCTTTGTAAATGAAATTACTAAATAATCTTTTTATTAGAATTACACACATTACATAATATATGTAACTAAATAGGTGCTGATACTTATGACTTTAGAAAAATTAAAATGCCTGTTTAGACTAGATCTGGATGAAAAATTCAAATTTTAGTTCATATTACCAGCTTCAAGATTTAAATTTTATAGATAAAATTGCCTAATATTCCTACTTTTATGACCAAAAGAATGCAAGTGATATTTCCTTGAAAGAAAATAATTACAATCTAAACAAGCAATAGAATTTTCAACTTTTAAGTTTACTTTTTACAGTTCATAATTCTTATTTCTTTTTCTTTGCTTTCTAATGTAGCTTTTTCTATACTAATGATTGCAAGTTGTTTATATTTTGAATTCAATAATGATACATTTTATTTTGAGGTAATAAATTTCTAATTTTCTAATTTAAAAAAATGATAGCTTAAAACATACTAAAAAACTAAAATAATTTTGTAACAACAATATAGTATTAATTTAATGGTATTGATTTTTTTTATATAATTCAAAAATATACTTTATGTAAATCATCTCATAAGTTAAACTTTTTACAATTATTTTTATTTATTTTCTATTTAAACACTAAGTTAGAACTTCTTTAGTTTAGACATTTTCATATTTTTAGCAAAAATATTTTTTTTTCTTATATTTTTCTTTCATTGTCACGTTATTTTAGTTGTACATTTTCGCTACTCTGGCACCACTTCAGACCGTCCCAATCAGCAACCTCTCAATGGGTTGCCTGCTCTCCGTGAGCAGCCCCTCCCATCAGTTACCCACCCTGATGGGGAAGGTAAATTGTGTTGGCTCTTTTGAATGCTTGTGATTTAACGTAGAGGTGTTCTCATAACAAGTACAATGTAAAGTAAACTATTTACTCAAAACAATGCTAATGATTTTAGCTTTGTCGAGAAGTTTGTTGTATAAATGATCTGATTTTCACTTGACATAATGGTGACAGGTTCGTAACCAGGATTGCTGTTTCTTCTAAACAGTGGTGTAACTACTAAACATGCTTGCAATTTGAGATGTGGAGCTCATCTTTTAAAAAGTTTAATTTTTATTATTTTAAGCACAATTAACTATTTGTTCAAGGAGCTAATACACACAAAAACTGCTAGTCCCTGAAAGCTGCACCACAAATTAACAGTGTTTATACTCATTTTAGTTAGTTCTTTTTTTAATTATGTTACTAATTTTAATGTACACATTACTGTCACGTCCCTGCCTTTCTTAAGATTCTTACTGCACATTAACCTCACTTTCTCTCCCCCCCCTCTTCCCCCCCTCCCATACTTTTTAATTTGTCAAATAAAAATAACTAGAATAACAATTGTTGTAGTTTTGACATATAAATTTCTGCTAGTATTTTAAAAAAAATGCTTCTTTAAAATATATTCTTTATCAGTGTGCAGTATCTTTAAGCTACATGCCTTTGAAAATAATAACATTTAGATCTAAATTAGCAATATTGATATGTTTTCACATCATTTTTCCACATTGCTGAAATTTTATTTCATTTTTAAAATATAAATGATTCTAGAAGAAATGTTATAATGATGATAGGTTTTAGATGTCTGTTACTAAATCATGTATAAACACACTAATAGTTTTATTAATGTTATCTGATTTCAATTAATTAAAATAATCTCAAGGTAAATTTTCTACGCATTTTTTAATTTAGCATATGCAGATTCCACACACATTAAGTCAGTGTTTCATGATCTTGAACTGAGAAGATTGACACCAAAATGGCTGCATGATGCAGCTACCAAATTGTACCGTGGTGGTAGTTCAAAAAGAGGTAGTCAAATCCTAGGCTGTGCATGCATTTTTTCTCTTCATCATGCCTTCATTGCCTTTGATTACTTACTATAGTTCCCTTCCATTCTAAAATATATCCAAAACAGTTTAATAATCCTGGAATATGCTTGCTTTTTTATTAAAATATTATTGTGTGTACATTAGCAAATACTAATATATTCCATAACATTACTTATTTTCTAAACTTGTTAGTTTTTCTTTTCAGTGTTTGTTCCAGTTTTAATATATCTTATTATATAGATAGAAAAATAGTTTAATAAAAAATCATAATAGGCATGTGAAGTTTATAATATTTTTACTTATCTGAATTGGCTGGCCTCATATTCTAGAAGTGATATACTTTTATTGAATACTAGTTAATTTTTTTCCTGTATTTTTAATGATTTCTTTCAGTCACCCTTGTTTAAAAAATGCTCTACAAACATTTAAAACCGTATAAATTTTATATGAAATAAGCAAAAATGTTTTAAATTAAAATGTTTATATGCATATCCATTGTATGAAATTACATCCACAGGCTGGCATTTGTTTTATAGTTAAGATTTTTTTCAATGGGTTCTTTTTAAACTGATATTATACCTACCCATTATTCTACTAGTGTTAAAGAACAAACAAATTAACATATTGATAAACCTACACTACATACATTTTACATAGGCCCAACTAATAATTTTTAGTATAGGCTACTAAACGCAATAATATGTTTGGAAACCTTTACTTTTTCTGCACTTCTTTTCAATTGCACAAATTATTTTTTTATGATTTAGGTGATTCACCAATTAAGATATCCCGTCTCTTTGGGAGAAGGGAGTTGAAAACACGTAAGGTTCTTGGATGAACAGATATACATACATCTGTTTTTCTACTGGCCAGGGGTTCAAAGGCTTTTACTTTCTTTACCATAACGGATTATTTTAACTAACTAGTTGAAATTTAGTACTATTTAAACTTAATCTTTCTGATGCTTTTTTTAAATTTTGTTTTTTTTTGGACATTACAGATATTTTAAACCATCTTCAAATTCGCAAAAAGCAGTTTGAGTTATTTTCATTTTGACCTTGCTGTAGATTAGAATTGGGCTTATAACTCCAATTATTGTTAATTAACACATAGATTTCATTGAGTGGGACATGGGAAAATGTAGTAAATAATTGTACACAAATCCATGCATAACCGAAATTAAAAATTCTCGTTTATATGATTCATTTGAACTTGTTTTAGTTATTATTTAACCAAAGAAAATTGTATATATCTGTCAAAATATCTTAAAGTATGCTTAAGAGAAACAATTCTGTATATAGACCTAGATGGCTTGAGTTGATGAATTTTATGGTGAAGAGGATAGACAGTTTTTCTTGTTTTTAGATTAGTATAATGATAATAAAACTTGTCTACAAACCTGGGGAATTTTTACTTTTAGGACAAGGGAATAATCAATTAAGTGTAATGAAAACATTCCTTGTCTGGCTTAAATTAGTAATGCTTATTTATTTTTTTGATAACTAGATTCTAGAAGTTTATCTAACATGTAATACATTTTAAAAAATAAATCTGCATAATTTAGAAGCTATGGAACTGTATTGAGATCTAGTCTTGGCTTTAAAGTTTAGAAGCATTATTACTATCAAACATTTCCTTTTCTTTATTATAATTTTTCTATTTAGTTGAGCTATTTTTTAAGCTAGAAAATAAACTTAAAATTATATATGAGCATACTTTATAAGATGTAAAACTGTTATTTTCTAAGTTGTTAAGACTTCAGACTTCAGGTGCCTTGTGAATTTTCATTTGCTTATTCTAATTTTTAAACTTTTAAATTATAAAATACATCTTTAATTTATAAGATCTGCAATTTATTTATATTCTATTATTGTTTTATTTAAGAAAATAATTTGAACTTCCTAAACTTTGTTCTAATGTTATAGAAATGAGATATCTTTACTAAAAGACATGAGTAATACTTTATTGATGCTGTCGTTGTTTGAATATGTTCTTAACAACCTTTACAGCTGATGCTACCAGCATGGAGGAAATGTTAAGATCACAACTGATCCAGCAAGCTTCTGTAAACCCAATCAATAGAAAGCACAAGCCGCATCTCTTAGAAGTATCTGCTGCTCAACAGAGACAGACTGATGCCCTGTCACGTGATAAAAACAGTCCAATGAAAACCGGTTCAAATATAAATGATGAAGTAGAAGAATCCAACAAATCGAGTAGGAAATTGTTCATTATTTTTAATTTTAAAATTAGTTAGTTAGTTGAGTAGGAAATTATTCACTATTTTAAACCTTCATTTTTTAAATATGAGCTATGGAGTAAGAGTCCATCAAAATGAGTTGAAAAACTTTTCTCTATTTTAAATCTTTAATTTTAAAATTAGTTTTGCATATTTGTCCAGCAGGCATGGGCACTATAAGGATCATGTTACAAATGTGTATTTAAAAGTCTGTGAATAGTTTTCTGAAAGTAACTCATGTTTGTCTATTATTTAGGCTTGACAGACTCCTCAGAAATTGTAACCAAACCTCCTGTGTCAAGCTACACTGTGAGTACAGTGAGGGTGACACAGACATCAACTCCTACCAGTTCAGAAAAACTTGAAGAACCAAGTAGGTTCCTACTTTTGTTTATCAAGGGAACAAATATTTTCAAATGCTGCAATACTTATTAACACATATATTTACGATGTGTTGAACATTTCTTTATACATATTAAAAATACATATTAAAATATATGAGCTGCAAAGTGAATATGAGATTAATATTTAAAACATAAACGAAGTTTGTTTTACTTTTACTAACTTTCAGCTTTTAAGTGGGGATATACCAAAATATGCATTTGATAAAGATGCTTGAGCAAGTTAACAAGGATGACAGATAGTTATTATTAATGGATATGTTCACACAACATTTATAAAGGAAAATAAGTTTGCTTGTTGTTATAATATATTTCATTTATTTCAGTAGCAAAGAAATTTGCACACAGACGTAGAGAGAAAAGTGGCAGAAAAAGTAGAAAAGGTGTGTTTGTTTATGTAGTTTTCTCATAAGCATTTTGTATTTTAAATATTCACAAAATTCCATGTTCCTAGAAGTAAAAAAATAATTTTTGTTTTCAAAATAAAAATACTAGAAATGAGAGAAGAAGATGAAGAAAATGATCGTAGAGCCCAGAGTACCAGTGATCTGTCAAATCCTAAAGGTATTTTATATAACAATTTAAAATGTTTAAAACATAATGTGTTGGCCTTTCATGAAATAACAGCTTTAAAAAGAATGCAGTAGTAATACAATTCAAGTGTCTTACTGCTGATACCATTAACAATGGGAAATTAAACAGATTTAAGTTTTTTCGTGTTTGTAATTTCATGTTGTTTTTTGCCTGATGAATTTAGTTTCCCAAGGGCAACCCATACGCTCAAGATCTGCCAACACTAACCATTATAAGTCCACCCAGCTCAGCACCATTGAGGAGATTCAGAAATCATTGCAGTCACCAAGAAATGAGCCAAGTGCAGTAAATACAGCTGGGTGAGAATCTGCTATAAAAATAGTTTCATTAGTAGGAAGTAGTAGTAAGTTTTGTTGCTGAATAAGAACTTAAAGTAATATTCAACATTTTTGCATATTCTGCATTATATAGTGTTATTAGTGTTAGTTTAATATTATAAACATAACTGTAATTTAAATATATTTTCAAATCAGTGATATTATTAAAAAACTCATAAAAGAAACTAATGAGGAGATTCATGACCTGACTAATGAAATTCAGGAAGATATTGAGGTAAGGTTTTAAAATACATAATGCTAATTTGTGAAATTATCAGTTAGATTGCTTTTTAGAATGCTATACATTTTATTGTTTTTATCTTTATTTTACTAGAGTATTTATTAGTTTAACACAAATTATATCAGGGGTGTAAATACAAAAATATGTGTGATGTTATAGCATTTGTAAGCCTACCTACATCCTTCCTATTGGTTCCTTTTGGTTATAATATAAATATTTTTAAGAATATAAAAAATATCTGATACCTTATAAACAAACATAGATGTTATCTAACATGGTTGCTTTGATATATTTTAATATGATTTGTTCAAAGCCACAATAAGTTAATTTCTTCTGATTTGAAATAGGATTGTTTCATTCTGGTATGACACTTTGGTTTAAAACTAAATTTTTTATTTACAGAATTCATATATTAAATTAATAAGTATAAATATTAACCTTTTTTTCTTAATTAAATTTTATTTATAATTTAACTTTTGGTTTCAAATTATTTCATAATTTAAAGATATTAATTTTGTAATGTTAACTAATATTTGGGGAAATTGAATAACAAACTTTCCACTTCACTATCTAGAAAACAATGACATACAATTAGAGGAATACTTTTACATATACCTTAAACTTTTACTGTATTCATACCTGATAAAATGTATTACATAAGGTTAAATGTGCACACACAAAAAATTGAAAATACTTTGTTTTTAATTTTTTTAAAGTTTAGGCTATTTTACTATAAAGTAACAACATTTTATGTTAAATGTATTGTTTTTGTTTATAAACTTTCTGAAAATTCAAAGACTTGTGAAGTCTCTTTTGATTTATTGTTAATTACATTTAGGCATATTGAAACAAACACTTTTTCAGAAAAAGAATCATCAAAAATCTAGATCCTTTGCCAATCAAAAACAGCCAAAAGAAACTGAATTGTCTAGGGCAAAGCCATTCAAAGATAGCACAGGGACTGTTGCTGTACCATTTCATGCCACGCCCATCTCCAAAATAAAAAGTACAAGTCCTAATTCAACAGTACCAGAACAGAGAAAAAACAGCAGAGAACTTGCAGATGATAAAACTGAGCTCCCAACTATGTTGTCTCAACCATCAGTTTTCAATTTCTCCAACCAGATCAAGCCAGTTGAATCTATGACTTACTCTTCATCATCCCTGTCGACACTAGACCCAATAAAATACATAACAGAGTTGAGATCAGACACTGTAAACAACAAATCAAAAGAGAACTCTTCTAAGTCAAGAAATTTACAACGCCATGCAAGCTTCAATTCAGCTGCAACAGGTGTGAATAAAATCAACCCTGGTAGAAACAACTCCAACCTCTCCAACTACACAGCCAGCAGCAGTTCTCTACACATGTCTGCAACACACAAATCTGTCTCGCCGAGCTCTGATGATGCCAGCCCTGCTGTATGGTACAGGCAGTTAAGTTCTATCAATGCCAACCAATACAGCAGTTACGGTCATAATCCTAAAGGGGTGAAGCTCAACAGGCAAAATTTGGTGTTTAAAAATAGTGAAAATGCTGAATTAGCAGATCTTCATGTGAGTGATATAAAGGAAGCAAGAAGCACTGCAGATCTAGGGGAAACTGGAGAGGTAATTGTTAAAAATCAAGCCATGTACAGGCCTTTATTTTATACAGCTGTAGTTCTTAATGTAGTGATAACAAGGGACTGAGCATTTAAAACAGATGATTTATACTTCTACCAAACAAAAAACACCATGATCAGTTGTAAGGAGTTCATAACTTCATTTTTACAAAAGTTACGAACTTTCATTCAGGGTGACTAACCTAGAAAGAAAGCATGCTGTAGTTAAAGCAATGCTAACATAACTGACTCATTAATGAAAATAAAGATACACTCAACTCAAGTTTTTTTTAAACTATGACCCTAATTCTGTAAAAAAAAACCCATACATTCTAAAATATAATTTAGTTACTTTACACACTGTAATTTATATTTTTAAATTTGTATAACCAATTTTTCATTTTTCTAATACAAAGCAATTTATTATTAATTTTTTACCCTTCCTATCATATTTTTTTATGTAGCCACATTAATCGCTAATTTAGATGAGTCTTTCAAATAAAATTTCTTTCTGTGCTTTAGCAAACTCGTGCCAGATCTGCTAGATCTAGCAGTCGTCAAGTAATTGGTAAGACATGGACAGCTGAGAGTACCTGTTATTTTTCTCTGTGTGTCTTGCAAATTTTGGTATTATTTATTTCAAAGCATTGGAAACTAATTTTTTTATGCATGTGGAATTATTTTTAATTGTTTCACGTCATTATACTTCAAGTTTTTAAGTGTGCCTGTATATAAATATTTGTTGTCTCCCACCAAATCACATTATTATTTACTGTATTTTGAATATGTGTTTAAATATTTATTGTTTGTATTTATGCATGAAATCCCTATATAGTTATTTCCACTGATTATATAAAACACATTCTATATGTATGTCATTTATAATTTAATAGAAATGGTGTAAAAAAAACTTATTAAAATGTCTAATTAAAACTTAAATTTTAAACTTTTATTTTAAAAAACATTAAAGTAATCTAAAACATTGAATAATATTAATATAACTGCAACTAAGTAATCGCTTTATACTGTTTTAATCTCTTCTTTTTTTCTTTGGCTTAATGCATGTATTATATAATAAAAACATTTTGTTTTGCGACTAACAATTTTGTTAATTTTATATTAAACATTTTCATGTCTTTGCATATTTATCATTGGCAGTGAAACAGTATTATCACATGTTGTTTTCCAGTTCTGTCTAGCTAATTCCATTGTTTAACATGTGTCCCTAATAATATAAAATCTATTTCACATTGAAATAACCTGTGTCAATGTTAATGTTTTTGACTTTGAAGTTAATTGAAAATTCCTGATGCAGTTTAAATTTTCTAACATATTCCTGGAAATAGTTAAATATAAAATCATAATGTTTGTTCATCAATCAATCAATTAATCTAAATCATCCCTTAACCCTGGGGGTCATTGGGGCACCACAGTTGATTTTTTTCATAATTTTTCTGCTATCTGTCTCAGTCCCCTGAGTAGTTCTACAACGGACAGCTCAGTCCAATCTTTGATTTCATCCATTCACTGAATTTTTGCCTTTCCCTTTTGGCACAGTGACCTGTATTATTGTTTTGGATAGGCAGTTGGTTTACCAACTTAGTTTTCTTGTTCTGACAATGCAGTATAAATATTCTTTCAAAAACGATTTTATTTACTGTTTATTTTTTGTAATTTTAACCAATTTTTATCTATTGGCACAACCCTAATTTTTATTTTGCTTATATTTTAATTATTAACACAAATGTTTACTTTATCTGTGCATACCTTATTAAATTAACTATATATAATATATATATATATAATATATATATATCCTTAAATACTATACAACCAATACTATTGTTTGATATATATTCCTGCAAGATAGTTTTAATTTTTTAAGAGAACATAAATCGGTCTTTTTAATACGTTTTTGTCTTGTGAACTAAGATACAGAAAACTATCAATATTGGTTTTAAATTAGATCAGTTGAGGGAATTGTCATAAAATAGTGTTACTATGTCAGAGGTTCGCACATTAAAAAAAAAATTTTCATATTTGTTCCAGAAACTGTGCCAACCAAAATCTCTTTGATGATATGCCAAGATCACCAGGAAAGCTCTGCCCAGTTTCTTTCTCATTCCAGGCAGGGACAAAGATCATCTGTATTCAGCAGACAGCAAACTCGAAAAAAATAATTTGAAATTGGTGATGCTGTATTTTTAAAAATATTATTTCAGTTCTTGGGGCTTTAGCTGTGTTAATTACTGGGTTAAGAGTTGACTAAATAACTAAAGTAAATCTACTAAGTGAAACCAATTAAGAATAAAAATATAATTATTTTCACCAAAACTTGTTTATTGCCTACATTTTTAATATTTATAATAAAATCAACTTTTAAAATTACGAGAATTTTTGCTGTGATAATCTTTTAAATTTTATATTCTGTACATTTATATTCCTTTATAATATGAATGTGCTTGTTGCAAAATCAGTTTTTTTAAATATATATACAATATTCTCCACCTAAAATATATATTATTAAAGAAGCTATTTTTCAAACATTATAATTTGTTTTTAAAAACGATTGCATGTTTAATATTCAAGGAGTCATTTGTGATATGTATCACAGGTACAAAGTATGGACATGATTTGTTTTCCTGTTGTTTTGTGGATAAAACCAAAATAAAAATGTTTCAATTGCTACAATGATTTTTCTTGCATCAATTACTTTGTATTCAGTTTCTTTTTATCATTAAATTGATGCTACCTGTTAACTTAGGGATTATTAGATTTTTCACAGCTAGTATTGATGTTATTGCATCTCATTTTTATAAATAATGAAATTTTACACTATTTACAAGGGACAAAGTCAATCTTGCCTGATCGTAATGGTCATTGTATAAATGAAAATGGTAGTTTACTTTAAAAAGAAATAATTTGGCTCCCATTTTTCTAAATCATAAATGTATCCAGCCAGCTGAAACATGTTATCACTACTCCCTATCTTCACAAGATGTGATTCTACTAAGAAAATAATGCACAAGACAAAAAAAATTCGAGATAATTTTAGCCATTTTATTTTGATTTCACAACATAAATATTACATTAATGTTATTTGACTGTAAGCAACACAAAATGAAACATTTTAACCTGAAAGCACAATAAATACCAGTGGAAATATTTTCAAGTTAAAAGTCAAACTTACTATAGTTAGTTACCAGGTACTGTACCATTTTCCCCCTTGTTCTTAACCCTCTAAAAACAAAGTTGTTAAATTTTATTTTAATTGTAACAATGACTATTAGAATATTAGGATGTTATCATACATAAATAAAAATTATCTTGTTAAAACTGATACCAACCCCTCACTGTAAAAAAAAAGTATAAATCTTATGCTTTAATACTATACATAACATCAACAAATTATAAAAAGCCTTTGTAAGATGAGAAGAAATAATGCAGATTTTAAGAGTCATAAAATATAATTTGATTGTAGGTATTGAAAAAAAAAATGTTCGAAAACATTTTTAAATTTTACATACAAATTCAGTTCAATGTTGAAATATTTACATATTAATTTCACTTCATTGGACACACTATATAAAATGAAAATGTTGTGAGTCAATTAAAATGATTATTTTGAATATACATTTACTTACTGACTAACTTATAAAGAATGGAGACTAGCGAGAAAACAAATTTCAATGCAGGTAAGCTACTTCACCTTCACACACATCATGTACATGAATTGAATACTTTTAGCAAATTAATACAATTAGTCCATTACTATTTAGGCTGCAGTTATTTCATTAAGGTGTGGAGATCGTGAACTAAGCCTCAAATTAGTGCTTAAACATTTTTTTTTATTAAATTAAACATTTTTTTTTAAAGCTCTTATTCAGGTGTATTGCTGACTTAAAAAAAAAATTAACTACTTTCAATTTTTTGTTGTTGCTTTTACTTAATGTTTTTGACTGGCTAATGAAGGCCTTCATACAGTTTATCCTAAATATGTATTTATTAATAGTGGTTGCATGGCTAGGTCATGATACACTAGATAGATCTTTTTTAAAAGTATTCTAGCTTTGGGTTTAGGTCTATAAACCACAAAAAGAAAACCAAATAAATTTTTTTTAAATAAAAAAATGTAAGTACTGCTGACTGAAATTCCGACAAAATCTTAAACAGGCTTGTTGCCTAATAGGTCTAAATGAGTTTAATTTTAAAAACAAAACAAATAAAAAAAAAAAAAAGAATGACAATGATACTATAGGAGATTGTGAACAAAATCAGCATACAATAAACAGACAAATATTGTCTGCAGAATAGTGCAGGACACATTATAAAATAACAGCTTAAAAATTGTGCCAAGCAAATGGCAAACAATTTAATGCCCTTTGAGACATCTAAATTGTATACTATTGATCATATTATTCATCAATTGAAAAGCATAGAATGTGTTTTGTTTTGTAAAAATATGCTATTTAACAGAAGAAACTAATCTTGGTACCATCACAATGTACACACTCCTATTCTAAAATCTCAATGTAATCACCTTGTTTTAAAATAAAGCCCTGGTTTGCCTCCTACTAGATAGATCTTTAACTCCTGTAGACAAAAAAATGCTTACTTAAAAAAAGCTGATAAAATTAATTTAAACTCTACTGTACTGGATTTGGTTACGTTTAGAATGTTAAGTATAAGATAATTTATGATGGGGAAAAAGAGTGGTATAAATTATATTATCAATATCATAATTTTTAAAAATTGCAATTTTCTGAAAATGATAAAACAATACTACTCAAAATGTAATACTTATATTACCTGCTGCGACTTCTCCTGCGAGGTGACCCTGAAGCACTTCGGCTCCTAGATCGTCTGCGAGGTGAGAAAGACCTACAAACAAAAAATAAAGAATTTTACAAAATAATTCATCTGTGAACAGTACAATGATGCTGTTTTAAATAGTGTGTAATAGTTTCGGCTGGAGAGAAGCAGAAAGCTATGACCTTGAACTTGAAACAGTGAAGAAGTAATTGCTGTTACCATTGAGTTACAATCTTACTTACCTGATAAAAAAAGATTTACTGCATATAATTAAAATTACAACAAAAGAAGAACAAATATAACATTGGAAGTGAAAACACTTAACAAGACGAAAAAAATGGCATATTAACATTTTATCTTCTTGCTTCAGGAACCGGATGATTAAATAAGAAAAAAATTGCACACTTGAGTTGAATAGCCTTTAAAAAAAGTGGGTAGAAGAGAAAACTGCAGTCTCAACTAAGGAAGTAGAATTCAAGTCACATGAAAATATAGAAACAAAAAAAGCAATGCAAGACTTGCACAACATACATTTTAACCACTGTAGACAATAGTAATGGTCAGAGATATAACTTCATGATTAGATATTTTGGTCAAAATAACTCTTTCATCTAACTAGTGAGAAAATTAAAAACAGTATTAATCATAAAGCCAGAAAGTTTTTTAAGTAACAAAAGTAAACACTAAACATTGTGATCATACCATTGTACAACGAAGAAACCATAGGTGGCTTGATTGTTGGTTGGCTGAATTTTAAAATGAAGATGAAGATGGTGGTAGCTGCGGTAGCAAGTTCATACAAAGTTGCACTTTTGAAGACCCATTTCATACCAGATACTATCATACCCATTAATAGTTTAATGTGGACTATTAACTGTTATACAACAGTTATTCATAAAAAGCTGACTAGATTTTTAAATACTTTATTTAAAAAACTAGATCAGATAAGCTAATTATATACTAAAGTAAAAGGGACAAGAAGAAAAATGACTAATTTTGTTCTACTTGCATTTTAAATCTTATATATTGGGTAGGAATCATGGAAGGGCAATGCAGAATATGGCAATTGTTGGTGGTTCCAGGCCCAATATCAAACTCGGTGTTTAACTTTGCCAAACCAACGAAGCAAAGGCGAAGACAAAAATGCTTAGTTGGGGACGCTGACAGCAGCTACGAAGTTAGCCGGAGTTGGAGAAGGACTAGCCACTGCCAGAAGAGTTGGTTGAGTTGATGATGTAGTTGGGTGGTAGTAGTAGTAGTGAAGAAGGTTGTGCTAGTAGTGGTTGTGGTGATGTTGAAGCTAGGTTGGCTGGCGATGATAAGCCCAGCTGATGATGATGATGGGGTTCCTGAAAGATTTTTGCCAGAGAAGAAATAAAATCATTACAATTATAATTAAAACATCCAGCTAAACAACAAAACATGAAATTACAAACAAAATTTCTATTTTAACATTTGTAATGCAAACATCTAAAATAAATAATTTTATAAAGAAAATTGGGAATTATCAAAACTAATACAAAAATTTAAAAGTTAAATTTTACAAAATGAGTAACTAGACTTAAAAGAAAAATAACTCAAAAGCAAACTTAATGATTGCTTCAAATATTACCAAATATTATAAAATATGAAATTGCCAGATGGGGTGGGAGCGCTTTTAAAAAAAGATTTAATTTTTAAAAATAAGTAAAAAGCAATAAGGCAGTCAAATAAATGTCTTGCATTTAGAGCAAACTAAAGCATGCACATTTTTTGTATCTACAAACATTAATTATGAATATCATGTGTATACTTTAGAAGTATTAAACAAATACAAAATTAATACTTATAATAAATTATAAACCACTCTTTATCATGCTATAACACATAAAACTTTATACCTGGATCTCTTGCCTCCAGTGCTCCCACCACTTGCACGGTAGTTGTCATTTTGCTGTCTACTTCCACTACGGGGAGGCCCTCCTCTATTACCCCACCTGGATCGACCTGATGACATCTCTACTCGTACGCGCCTACCATTTATTTTTCTACAGAGCATAAAAATTATCAATTACTCGAGTGGTCTAACATACAGAACTTATTACAAAAATATCAACCTCATGAAACAAATAAATGCAAGAGGGAGACAAAATAATACCAAAACTTATAGCAAAGGCGTCAATAAGATTAATGTCTAAATGTTTCTAGCTGTATAATAAAGCTTACGATCCATCTAAAGCTCGAACAGCATCTTCTGCATCTCGACTATCTTCAAACTCAACAAAAGCGAATCCAGGGGGTTTGCGAGCTACCCATACATTTCTCAACTGGCCATATTTTGAAAATTTCTCTTCCAGCTCTTGTTTTGCACAGCCATATCCTAAGTCACCAACATAGACCTTGCAATCTAAACTCCAGTCTCTCATGGGTGCATTTCTTGACATAATGATAAATTATTTCTTGAGCAATTGATCTGGAAAAACATAAATAGAGTAAGGAATAATAAGACATTTTGTCAAGGGCGAGTGTGGATTAAGTCAACTGACTATAGCAGTGCATTAGGTGATCTTCATGTTTAGGCCTAATCAACAGTGGACACATTTTATTCAATTTAAATAACCCTTTTATAAATGACTAAGCAAAATTTATCTATCAGTAACCCTAACTAAAAAAACAGTTTATTTAGGGCCTATTTGCCATTCAATTTCACTTTTAGATTATTACAACATTGTTTGGCTTAACACACAAATTCACATGCTTTGGTTTGTAATGTGTAGTTTACAAATTATCAAAAATAGGCCTAAGGCATAGACCTATCTAAATTATTCGTCTAGATTAGGCCTAGGCCTAAATAATTTTTAAAATGAATTTTCAGTAGGCCCCTTACATAAAGCCACTTTTAACAAAAAAAAATCTTGCACGTTCCATTAAAATAAATGTGGTTGTTTGGTTCTTAACATTATTACTAATTAGAGATTTAGGCCTAGGCCCCAAACTATTTGACTTTTTTAGTATTTTGGGTAACAAAAAAAAAACATTTTATTTTTGTCATCATCATGTGATAATGGTGGACACACATCATACTGCTCAATAGGCTAGAATAAATTATATGGAAATATAACATATGCGCAGAGAAGTAATAGATCTAACAATAATAATAATGTGATAGCAGTAACAGACAAGTCACAATATCAATGATTCAATATGGTCAAGGTGGGTTGGCATGGTTGGGTCAGCAAATCTCATGGTTAGCTGCTAAACCAAAATGTTCTTATTTGCTCACTACCGCTGTGTACCGGGCAACAGTAATCAATCTAAGAGAGAAAACTACAAAATCACACAACTGCTGCCTTGTTTGCTCATGGATGGACAAAGGGCGGCTTGACCCTGGCTATCGAAGCAAATCCAATAAGAAAAGCATGTTTTTAAAATATTTCATTTCTGATTTTTTGCAAGCGTTAGCTTTAGTTTTTTTTTATATGGTGCTTGTGAATGCAAAATTTACAAAGTTTTTCTTTCTCCATAGATCTAACTAGATCCCTAGAATCTAGATCTATCAACAACACAATTCATTAGGCCTAATAATTTTGGTAGGCCTAAATTAACGATTAATGACTGAATGATCGGTGGCGTTTTGTCGTTTTGTCAAACGACACACCGTCGCCAAGATGCAAGCAGTTGAAGCAGTGAGTGTAGCAAGTTTAATTTGACTTGATTCGAGGTAAGTCTAGAACTCTAGATCTTATGGTGGTTAAGATTAAAGATTTATGATGTATTGAAATATTCGGTTTCTTCTGTACGCCTTATCTCTTAAACCTATACGAGCTGCATTGCGCTAACTTAATTTAGTGAAAACAGTTTGCATTGCTCTACCTGTGCAACCGTGTCGGAAGTAATCTTAACATGCAAACCAATATGGCGATACCGCTAGCAGCCAGATTTTTAAAGCTGAAATGTCTATCTTCATAGCCAAGGCTAGGGGCCTACCATCACTACTCACTAGGCGTTCAAAAAATATTAAATGTGTCTTTACTCTTTAGCTTTTACAAGTTTATTCTAGATCTAAATCTAACATCAGATTATTAATTTATATTGTCGGAAAAAAATAGAGAGTATCCAAAGTAGATCTATAATTTTTAAAAATAATTTAACATTATGATTAAGGCTTAATTTAAGCAACGTTAAAAAGTAAAATTCTGTTGTAGGTTCTAGATCTAGATCTAGATCGATCTAGATCTAGATCTACGGATCTAGAAATCTAGTATTACTATTAGATCTAGATCTACTTCCCGAATGAGAACATTTCCTAGATTGTAAAAATGAACACATTATTTAATGAGAATAGACCGTGTACAGTGGAGGAGTTAATGAACATTATAACTGCTCCAACTGGTGGTAATGTTTTATTACCAAGTTCAGCATACGATGAAGTCTATACTGGAATATATTTAGGAGAAGGGCAAGTCATTAACTTTAGGCCTATTTAAAAGTATTTAATATTTATTAATATTTAATGCCTTAAGTTTTTTTAAGTGAAAATTAAAATCATTAAAAATAAAATGAATGAATGTTGAATGAGCACAAATATTCAACATAGACATTGCTGTTGAATAAACAAATTTAGTTTTGAGGGGTGGTGAGGTGTGATGTCATTTTAGACAGGGGGGGTCTAGCTTTTTGTGCAGATGTGTGCCTAACAAGTGTAACATCTTTTAATCTTTTATGGATGACAAGCAAAAAGATACATCCAACCATTATAATTATTGCAGTAACTTATTTTTAAAAATAGGAACAAAGAAATCATATAAAACTAAATTTAAATGTGTAAAATATCAATTTAGTAAACTTTTTACGGTCACTAAACTTAAAATATTTACTAGGGACTCAGCTAAAAGTGTAAATTGTATGAAACGACTAGGAGTTACACACGTGCTAAACTCAGCTCTTGGTAAAGATGCTTATCATGTCAATACAAATCATGTGATGTACAAAAAAAAGGACATTGAGTTCCTAGGAATTGAGGCAACTGATTTTATCAACTGTAACTTATCAAAGTATTTTAACACTGCATCAAACTTCATTCAGGAGGGTGTCAGTGGTGGGGGTGAGTTGAATCTACTTATAAGCATGATTCCCTAATAACACCTTATTTAATTTAAAACTCCATGAACCAATGGTATTTTTAAAAAGTTCATACATACAAAAATTGCATGTGATTTCATTAATTTAAAAAAAAAATTCTGAATGGGTCATCCTTAACTTAGGTGAGAGAGTAAGGGGGGGGGGTGTTAAAATCAGTGGCATCACTAGGTCGGGTGTAATCCAGTGCGACACCGCATGGTGTGAACCCCGCCCCCTACCACCACTAAAGAAAAAATGTATAGGATATAAAATACATATATATATTATATAGGCCTATATTATAACTATATATATATATATATAACTGAGAACACGAGCTCAAAAAACAGGCACATTTTCTGTCTTTTCTATCCCTTTGTTTATATACTCACTTAACTTCTTCATCTTCTCAACGTGATGCTTGGTCTATGTGTTTAGGTAACTATTTATGTTTTTATATAACCATTGGTGTTGTTACTATAATCCTTGTCCTATACCAACCAATGAGCCCATTTCTATTTATTAAATTTGTAGTACAAGTAGTAATAAAAGTAAAACACCTTTTCAGACCTGGAGGTCAATAGGGTAGATGAAGTAGAGTTTGCCTGTTTTTGTGACCTTGTCTACTGAAGAGGTATAGTGGTCAGTTCTAGGCCTAGCCACTTTTGCTTTCCCGAACGTGTCAAGTAACATTCAGAGCTGGGGTGCACTTAAGGATTCTACAGACTTGAGCACAGGATCCAAACCGGAGAAATTTGAGTTAGCAATAATGCACTCTACCACCTGACCACACTGTCCCATAACTTTGTGTTGGCTATAATCGTATTATTATTTAAAGTGAGGTTTTTTTTTTTTTTGTTTACTATTCTATCCACTTATTTTAAAAATAGGAAAAGTCTTTGTGCATTGTGTGCAAGGTGTAAGCAGATCTGCTACTTTAGTCATTGCCTATCTGATGATCAAACATCACATGACAGTCCAGGATGCTTTAAGACTTGTAAGATCAAAGCGGGAAATTTGTCCCAATCCTGGGTTTCTTCAGCAGTTGTGTGATCTCAATGAACAGCTTAAAAAATCTGGACACTTTAAGGAGAGGCTAGTGGGGGACAACCCAGGAGAAGATAAAGATAGAATTGTCAAAACCATCTCGGATGATGGCTATGTGGAAAATGGGTGTACAGTAAGTGAGTTGGAAGCTATCCTGACTGATTCAACAGGAGGATTGATGATGTTGCCAAAAACTGAATACAACCAAATCAATGATTACATATTAATAGGAGAAAGGTAATTACACAAATTCATAGCCAATTTCTTTTACTATGAATTGACATGGGATGTTTTTTTTAAAAATAAAATATAAATGTCTGTTGGCATAATACATATTTTAGAAACTTGTTATATATATTGAAGACTGCAAAAAGTACACAAGTCACTTAATAAATATTTTTAGAAAACAAATCCAAATTCACAAATTTAAACTGGTTCTAAAAGCTAACATTATTATGGCTGTTTGAAATTGTTTTTTTTTTTTTCAGTGCCTTTATAAATACAGGTAGCAAAGAAAATATTAAACACCATCAAATTACTCATGTCTTAGATGCCGCTTACAACAAAGGGAGTGTATCAAACTCTGATGTATATGATAAAATAGAAGTTAAATTTCTTGGAATAGATGCACTAGACACATTAACCTTTGATATATCTCCATATTTCTCAATTGCTGCTGAGTTCATTGATGATGCTGTGAAAAATAAAGGTATGTAATAATCTACATATTATCTGATGAACTTTTAGTACCCCTCATTGTTTAGCTACTTTATGCACTCAACTAGATTTGTTGTTCATTTAAGCTACCCTTTTGTTTTTACACCAGTAGTTAACAACACTATGCTTAAGGTAAATAAATTAATGAACAGAAAATAATGTCTTTTAGCTTTATGCATTAGAAACGTAAATTATGTGATCAAATGTCGTGAAAAGCTATTAACTAGTTTTATAAATTTGATATCTTTTTCAGGCAAAGTATTTGTACACTGTGTGCATGGAATAAGTAGGTCTGCTACTCTTGTTGTAGGATATTTTATGATAAAAAAAGGAATGTGTCTGAAAGACGCTCTCCAATTTGTGCGACAGAAAAGAGAAATCTGTCCCAACAGCAACTTTTTACAACAATTGTGTATACTAGAAACCAAACTTAAGCTAGTAAACATTAAGAAATGTGTGTAGCACTGAAATTAATAAAAGCTGTTTTCACTTCTTATTTCAATATTGTTATTCTCCATTTTTCATTTATTTTAAGAATCATAATGATACTATGTTTTAGGTGACAGGAAAGAACTTCTTTAAGAAGCGCAACAGAGCGGAAAGTTGCACGCAAAAAAGTGTAGTATATTGTAGCATAATACAACATTATTACACAAAATATGACAAAATTGAAGTGTCTTTAATTGATTTGTATTAGTGCAGTTTTTTGTTTGCACAGTTTTCTGGGAAAATGTTTTAACTTCAATTGTTATAAAAAAAAACTAAGTGAACACATGTGACAATTCAACAAAATTTATTTCTATACCTAAAATATTTTAAAGGTTTACAGAAAAATATATTTAACTTAGTTACTTTAACATTCTTCAAAGTTGTTAATTTGAATTGTTAGGTATCAGACAAATGTTTGGAAATTCCAGTATTAGTTTATATATGAAAAGTTAACATTATTATATAACTGAGAACATTTAACCCCTGTACCTTGTGTCACGAGTTAACTCGTTATATAAAATCTTGGGCTTAACCGTACATCACGAGTTAACTCGTCTTCATATAAAAAAGTCGTCTGTGTGCCGTGCGTCGCGAGTTAACTCGTTTTGATACGAAAATAGCATTGGAAATCAATAACAATGTAGAGGGAGGCTAATCTAACAGCCAATTCAACAGCGTATGATAAAAATAGGTCATCACGTGATGTTGGTTCTGTGCTTTTGAATTACCTTCTTTATATTTACCTCACAGATTCTAAATGTCAACTCATTTTCACTCAAAATGATGTTTTATTTTGTCAGGACAACATAACAAATCAAATAATGAAAAAAAAAATACAGTTTCCAAAAAAAAATTTTTTTTTTTCCACGGTAAAGGGGTCAACATAAAATTTTTTAGAATATTAGAAGTTCTAAATATTATCAACCTGTGATTCCCTGTTGTATTCATCGCAATGCTGCCTGTAGTTTAGTGTAATGAACCAATAATTCACATAACTAGCCAAACAACTTCAAAGTTGAGCAAAAACAAGTTAAAGAGCTTTGTTAGTGTATGAGCCTATCTAAACATAGTTTTGATGTGTTGGTGGTTTTTTCAAATTAGTTTTACACCATACATTGCAACTTACAAGTACATTATTATGCTAGGAAATGAGTTTTATTAGTAATTTTAAGAATCAAGTCATAGATATAAATCACATTAATAAAAAAATAAGCCAATACTGCACCCAAAAGGTGAAATTTAAATTGGTTAATACAACACTATACCTATTTATAATTAACTGTCATGGGTTATAAAATGACATTACACTTTAATTAACAAACCCTCACCCTGTAATTTTTGTTGTAGTAAAATTGAATTTCTTTTAAAAATAACTTTGCTGTTTTATTAAGATAGGTACATCTTTTGATTCATTTTTATTAAATATTTAAAAAAAAAAGATTTCTAAGTGTATTACTGTAAAATATAGGTTTTAAATGCACAATTTCTATAGCCCATTCCTCTATTACAAAATTCCAACCCCCATGTGAAATCATTTGTGGACAGACTTTAAAATTTAAATAGTTTTAAACATTATTTTAAACAAATAAATCCAATAAGAAGGTTGAGCACAATATTCTAACAGTTTCTCTGGCTTGGCAAAGAGTATGACGTATCTATAACCTGAGATTCATCAATTCTGTTGATTACTTTCACTTCTTTCTTATCACAGAAGTTAGTAATTAAATATAATAAACTAATAATATCAACGTACACCCATTGTGAGAGCACAAAAAAAAAACTTTAAATTTATAGAAAGACCTTGGTATTTTTAAATTATCTTGTTGCACTCTCCCCTACAATCTCAACATCTGGAATGAAATAATAACCTAATGTTCTACAATACTGCCTTTGTTGGGCGCACTCTAACCCCTAAATGTTGAAGTATATCCATAAACACTAACTGTCTCCTTTTCTCACTGTTTGCAAAAGTTGGAATCCATTTCTGAAGGAAAGGGTCCTCATCATTTAACAGTTCCACTGGAAATTCTATGTGTACACCAGATAAAACAGCTTTGCCTTTGCCTACAGAACATTTCACAATTGCAGCTGGCTTGCTGTCTAAAGAACTATAGACACCAATTTTCTCATAACTTGGATTTATAATTTGCCACGTATTCAGTCCCAGTGGCATTCCACCATCTGCAGAGTTTGAAATAGAAACATTTTCGTTGCCGACGTGAGCTGTCGATTGAGCTGTCAAGTTTACTTTATCAGTTGAAGTGTGAGACTTCCTATATAGAGTAGGTGTAACAGTACTGTTAGAGTCTGTGTAAGGAATAAAGTAGCCACCTCCATGCATATAAGCATCAACTGTGCAGGTCTGATTATACAAAACTGGAACTGCCTGAGCACCTCTTTTGGAGTTGTACCGAAACCCTGGAAAAGCAGGGCCGACACAAACACCTAGAATCGGAAAAAAAAAAATTACTTCTAGTCTTGAAATATTAACACATCTATAACAACATGTCTAACGGTAATAACAAACACACAATAAGTTAGAGGATAAACTTTCACTGCTAAAAATTAAAGCCAAGCTTCCTTCATGTTAATACAGATAGGTAGACCGACTAAATATAAGTAGTTCAATTCATTGGTGTTTATTACTGGTACAGAAAGACAGACAAGGGAAAATATGTTGGCCCAGTTCAAGGCCCTTTGTTTTTCAACTAGTTCCTTTCACTGTTTGTGGGTAGAATCTACCTGTTTATTTTTTAAATTTTATCCCAAAAATTGAATAAACAGGTTTTACCATAAGGATAAATCTGATAAGAGTGCTTCTTATGATAAAAAGACTAACAAGCAGTATCTATATAGTAAAAAGAATGCAGCATTTGAGACTATTATGGTTTAAAGGGCTGGGGAAAATTAAGTCTGCACAGTGCACTATATATTATAGGCCTAAAACCATCTTTGCTAAGTACTATGGTCATGGGCATGTAAAAAAAACACCAATGAATGTAATTCACATACCAGGAAAAAACTTCAGATATCTTTCTCCCACAACTTCCAAAGGTCCACCCTTATCAAATTCAATGTAATCACAAGCCCAGTAGGCCCCAGCACACAATCCTAAATACGAGCCGCCATTTTTTACAAACTCCTGAATTATTTTGGCTCCATTTTTACCAACAGCAGCCTCAAAACCTAGATCATAACCTCCACCAAACACCATCAACTGACAATCTTTCACCCAAGAACCTGTTCAGAAATAGTGAAAATAATTTATTGTCAGTTTGCTGGAAAGCAAATAAACATGTATACATACGTGTGTCACAAAGTCAAACATATCTTTATCTTAAAATTGCAGTTTAAATTACAGTAATACAACAAAACTTAATAATTAAAAATATTTTAAAATATAATAAAAGAAGTTTCTTCTTTTTTTTTTGCCTGTTTTCTGATTTATTCAGCTGTGGAAGTGTACCACATTTTTTGTAACTGTTTTAATTATACATTTTTGTCTCATTGCAAAAACCTGCACTCTTCTGATTATACAGGTGTAATAAAGGTATAGGATATTGTTATAGGGATACATGTTACTTAAATATAAATACACTGAGCTGTTGGTTCCCTATTTTCATGATATTGTTATCATGTATGGATTTGTATCAGTAAATTGATAGCAATTTAATAACATTTACTTTTTTCTTACCAAGATAACAGCATAAAAAAGTGAGATAATCCAAATTCAGTAAAATGTCATTTAAATGATGATGTGCTTATAAAAATATAACCTTTCAATGACAGCAATTTTTAGGGTGAAATTTTTTGAAAAGCTTTGAAAAATCATTTTGAGGACTGCAGGTTTTAAACAGGCTTATTAGTTCAAGGGGTAAAAATAATAGTTAAAATGGTAATCAAGTTATAAATAAAAGTAAATACTATATCCAACCTTTTTTAATTTCAGGGGCTGATAGATAGTTGATTGCAGGAAATTGTTTGTCAAGTAATAAATAAAAATAAATACTATATCCAATCTTTTTTAATTTCAAGGGCTGATATATAGTTGATCGCACAAAATTGTTTGTCAAGTAATAAATAAAAATAAATACTATATCCTACCTTTTTTAATTTCAATGGCTGATATGTAGTTGATTGCATGAACTTGTTTGTCAACAGCTGCAGTCAAAGATCTGTGCAACAGTTTTCTGCTTTCTATATCACTGCCTTCTCCATCATAGATTAAAACTGAAGTACATGAGGTGGACTCCATGGTTACCTGTATAAACAAAAAAATGTAAATAGTTTAAACTATTATTTAAATCTAGTAAGATTAGTAGACTAGTACTATTACTCATGTAGATCTAGTGGGATTGATATCTGAACTTTACATGATTATCATTATGACATGAGTATGACATTGTCACTTGAAATTGTTACGACCACCTGGTGTTTGACCTGGGCTGACCCGTATGTTGGGGTAGCGATCTCATGCTCATCCATCAACCTGGCGGTGGTCAGAGGCTGACCAGTGCTGGCCGTGTGAACCTTTGGGCCGTGACGGCCATACCGGATTGGGTTCCACGCTGTGGGCGGCGCAGACTTGGAGTCTTCGGGACTCGGCTATTAACGTGGCCAACAGCTCGTGATTTACGGCTGGGAAAACCTTCCAGATCGCACGGCACCGAGGGGGCCGTCATGGACGGATATGACCTAGGGTCAGGCCTTAATTAAAATCGTTCCCACGGTGTAGAACGGGGGACGAGTACTTTAGGAGGGTAGACCGGGGACACTGGGGACACTCTCAACAGACACACTGGGGACTCACACACGGAGACGGACTCGGTTAGCTAGGTCTAGAGGAGACAGACATGGGTCGTCTCTGTGAGCTAGTGGAAAGCCACGACATGTACTAGACCTAGGCTAGATAGACAGTTAGGGACAAGTAGGGTAGTCGTACTAAGAACTTTAGTTGTTGTAGTTACTTGTGTATATTTCTGATTGTTGTACTTCGGTGGCGGGTTAACTTTAAGTGTTGTGATTTGTGGCGAATAAATAGAGATTACTGAAGTTGGCTTTTATTTATTTTTATTTTTCTTCTTCTTGGTTACGATCCCCTGACTAGTTCGAAAGGATTAGAGAAGGGGGTACGTAACAAAATAAATACAGTTTAATATAATTTAATACAAAAGTAAAGTATTGAGTCTACAACTGTACTCTGTCCTGTACAATATTAGTAGTAGTACTTAATTACTAGATAGTAAGTTAGACTTAGTACAGCCTTCCTTACTCCCTCAAACTTTATCTGTTAATAGGAGTAATTGCTAGTATTAGGCCCTACAGCCTAACAATTATTAGGTCTAATAACTTTTTACATTAACTATTAAGTTTTTTTGTGCTATGAAACCTTTTATTGCAATGCTAATTTCTTAAAAAAAAATTGATAATCTGACTTAGAATTAAAGATCAATCAAATATTGGCTCACTCTCACATATTTGGTTTCATTTTAACCCAGTCCAACATTTAAAAGTTTTACACAGCTCAAACAGTTCTTAGCATATTATGATCATCTACAGATAGCTTAAAATTTACATAAAAAAGGTACCCGTTTTTACTAGGTTAACATTTTGAATTATAACATTTTGATAGTCACATGAAATAAGCAGAAAAATCATCTAAAAACCGCGTTTACACTTATGATATGTATACTATACATTTTTAGAAAAAAACAATTCTCTTCAAGTAAGCATACATGGTCAGGTGGAAAATATTTTCATATAACAACTTTCTCCGAGTTTTTTCCTGGACATGTATAGTTTACACATCGCAAGTGTAAACCCAGTGTAATGCATGCACCTATTAAGTTAATTATACTGCTGATAGTTATGAGAATTGCTATTGGATAAAGATCTAAACCTTATTGTTGCTTTAGGCATATTTGGAAAATTTTCCTATTCCTTAGAATTGAGGTATTCACAGATCAATGCAGAAGTGTATGCCACTTATTAGAAAAACACAAACAATGTCATTCTATGCCATGAAGTATTTTTTATATACATTAGGTTTGCGCTTGCGTACAATTATTTACACTGGGCAAAATCCATCACCTTGTTCATTATGAATTTGCATTTGTGCTGCTGAAATAGCACCTATATCATTACACCCTCCCACCACCCACCCCGAAGCAAGTCCCCTTCAAATACAAAGTATATAGAAAATACATACTTTTACCAGGGTCCAACCCCTCCCAAAAATTTTAGACCAACCCCACCCCTGAATATTTCAAGTACCCCCCCCCCCCCCGGGGAGGAAAAAGTCTGAAAGAAACACTGGTCTATCTAGATATCTAATAGTAGAGTCTAGACTAGATTAGTCAAGTGACAGCTACGTCAAGTTAGTAAGTAATGGAAAAAGAAATTGGGGTAATCTAGGGCCTATCGTTTTAGGTGCGTAAAATCGGCAGAGGCTTGTAATGTGAAAAAAGTTGCTGCGTTAAGGTTGAAATTGAAGTATATTGTGGTATATTTGTGTCAAATATTATAGGCCTAGATAACTGAATAATAAACCAAAATCAACAGCTAAATATATCAATATAGTTGAATATAGGCCAGAAATTATTTAACTTTAAAATGCAGTATTTGCTAGCAAGACTTGCCATACATTATATACACTATACAAACAGCGGCCATCTGTAAATTAATTAGAGTGGTTCCCTATGAATCTCTAATTATGAGTTAACCAAAAAAACTTAAACAAGATGTGAAGATGGCTGCTATAGTAAATGAGCTTGATGAAAACATCGATAGTCTTTATTTTTTACTGAAAAGTTTTAATACAATTACAACAATTGGTTAAAAACAAACTTTTGAAACACTTTTGTAACTTTCAAAACAAATCCTCCTGAAAATGTGAAATAATTATAAAAATTTGATAAAAACCTTAGTTTAGCATCGGTTATTATTCCGGAATCGTATAGCAGTAAAAAACAGGAAAACAATGACAAAGTCTGTCACACAGTTCCTGAATCCACCGGAAGTACTGTAAATCATACTTTATTTGGCGTCATCTTTTATTTTTATAAAGAATGTTTAAAATTTGGATATATTTATTTTAATTGCGTGTTAGATACTGCTTTTGTTAATCATTTTGTATAATTAGTTATTTTTAAGTGTTTCAGCTAAATATTTCTGCTACTAAACATTGTTTAACAGGGTTCGTACGCAGTCTGGAAAAAGTCTTGAGAAAAGTGAATTTCAGACTTTAAAAAGTCTGGACGGGTCTACACTGTGGTATGACGTTTTTTTTTTTTGCTGGATAGCAGAAGAAACCCGATTTCTCAGTTAATACGTCAGTAAGGGAGGGGGGGGGGGGAGAGTGGCCATACAAATCTTGACCTCATTTTTTTTTACCCGCTATTATTTCTTAAGTTTGTCTGAGGATGCAGGCAGGTAGTCTTATTAAAAAAATTATGAGGGAAGCTGTAAGTGGTAGTCTACGTATAACTTAACTACCTGTATTTTCAATTTACTCTCCAAACTGTTTTTGAAATCTTTGCAAAGGCTGACGATTAGGGCTAGACTAACCCGCCCCTCCTAGTAACTAAGGTTACTGATTGCTAAACTTGTATGAATTCACCCTGACCCCAAGTACGTAGTTGGTGCTGTTTGGCTGGGGAGGGTGGGGGGAGGGGGAATAAAAGTTATAGTACAGTTCATGCTATGACGTATTAGACTGGGCTACTATGACCTCACAGTGACCCCTCCACCGTCTCTTGTTGTGTGGGGGGGGGGGGGGGAGGGGGGGAGGGATACCGGTAGTTTTTAACAGCAGACAAAAAGTTACTCAGCTATAAGCACAAATAATGGTGTGGTTACAAAAGTCTGCATGGTTTCATTTTCAAAATAGGGTACGAACCCTGTTTCTAGTCACTTTTACTATTTTTGTAATCTAGATTTTTTTTACTTGGCCTAGCAGCTAGCTAGATCTAATTAATCAATGCAAATTATGCTGCAAGCCAAATTAATGAAACAAATTATTACATTTGACTTTATTATTTATATTTATATATTTTTTTTATTTTTAGATCTAGGCCTACTAATTTAAATCTATTGTTGTATTTATTCCTGTTTCCTTTTGTCGATTATACTTAAAAAATTAAAACATAATTTACTACAATCGACTTTCACTTTATTTATATTTCATTTTTATGGTCAAATAAACTATTATGGTTTACCGTAATTAATTAGTTACCGAAAATCAACAAACATTACCCGATAATTTCGGACGCTAAACTAAGGTTTTACCAAAAAATTAATGAGTCAACTTCTTTTTCACATTACTAGATCTAGTACTAGATCTAGACTTAGATCTAGATTAGTCTCGGTCGATATTTTACGACACGTAGTTTTATTTTGACTTTTTTTGTGACTTAGGCCTAAGCCCTAATCAAACATTTTTTAAAATTTGTGGTCAGAGTTGTCAAACAAAATAAAAAAACGCAGTCTTAAAAACTAGATCTTGATTTAACCCCTTTGCCTTGACGATTTTAAACCATAAAATAATAGGCCCCCTATATGTTTTAAAAGCAATAGGCCCTACTTTTCTTTTAAAATGATTTGCGCTAATTTTTGACATGTGCGGGCTAGAGAATAGATGTTTCATTCATAAATTGTACTCAACCTCTAAAGTTTCTTATCCTAAAGTTTAGTTTTGTCTTGACCTTTAGTTTGCCAGATCACAATTTTAAAAAGTTGCAAGACAAGACTGCCATAGGGGAAGTCCATAACTTATGTCACAGTTTTGGCAAAAAATTGCATCCCTATTAAATTAAAACACATCAGCACAATCCTTCCCCCCCCCCCCATCTTGCAGTTATTCTTTTTTGGAAAAGTGCACCCTCTTACTAAAATATGAAGTGTTCTTTGTTTTCTTTAAAAAATGTAAAAATCATTTTGAAAATAAATTGGCTAGGTTAATTTAGCAGAAAACATTGCCATTCACTACTTATTATATTAACTATAACCAGTGGCGTAGCGAGGTCGGGTGTCACCCGGTGCGGCACTTAATGATGCCACCCCCCAGAGGCGTAGCGACCCTTCCCGGGGACAAACTTTCAAATTTTCAATTTGCACCCCCCCCCCTCAAACTTTCGATTTGCACCCCCCTCAAGTTTTTCTCTATTTTTTGCCTTGGTGTCACCCCCCTAAATGGTGTCACCCGGTGCGCTCCACCCCCCCCCCTCGCTACGCCTCTGACTATAACATAAGTATAAATAATAACTCTGTGTCAAGGTTAGTGTCATGCATCCATTTTCATTTCAATTTATAAAAAAGTTTTTCAAAATGTTGTAATTTAAAATTTAAATAAAAGTAGGCCCATGTATGAGTCTGCTGATTGGGTGTCTGACCCAGAGGCGTAGCGAGGGGGGGGGACATATGTCCCCGGGCGCCGACCTTAGGGGGCGCCAAAATGGGTTGGAAAAACAAATTGAAAGTTTGAGGGGGGGAGCAAATTGAAAGTTTGAAGGGGGGGTGCTAATCAAAAGTTTGATGGGGGGTGCAAATTTAAAGTTTGTCCCCAGGCGCCAGGAAGGGTCGCTACGCCTCTGGTCTGACCCTGTCCAGATAAGCCCTGGCAAATAGTTAACCCCATACACTGCCTAAAACAGATTTTAAAAAAAGGGATATGGAATTTGTACTTTTATTTTTTAACCCTAAACTGACCTTAACCCAAACCCTAGAGGTGGAGTTGTTTTTGTGGCGGGGCATGCGTTTAAATATTCAAATGTCTAGACATCATTTATAGGTCATGGTTGCGTGCATGCTGGTAAAAAGTGGAGTGGTACTTTTTTATTTGTAGCAGGGCTTATCTGGACAACATCACGGTACTTGATTGAACAGTCAAACTACCTAGGCGCTTTCTCCAGCGCCCTGACTCCCCCATGATCGCTACTGCGCCTACATTTGTTTTAAAGAATGTCATACACTAGGGATAGGGTGGGCAACTAAAATTGATGTCTAAATTGAACCAGCAGTGTTTTCTTGCACCCGGCAGTAGAGTACAGTGGTGCACAATTTTTAAACTGTGAGATCACACCTTCTTAACCCCTACTTCTTATCACAAAAACCTAAAATCAACTAGTAGAAGTGGGATATCATTTACGACAACTGCTTTTGAGAAATTCCCCACAGTTAAGTTTTTCAGTGAATTTAAGAAATTAATTATTATTTATCTAAAAAGCATATTTCACAATAAATGTCTGTATTGTCTCTGTCTGTTTACTTAATCCATGTCTATGTATAATTTAACTACTAAAAGTCATTATTTATATTTGAAGAATACAGACAATAAATAAAGTACCCTTACAAACCTGACAGTCTTAAAGTAGAGTTTATCTTTTTCAGTGACTTCGGCATATGAAAGCATAGTGTAGTCTGCACTATGCCCAGCCTCCTTTACTTTCCCTAATGTGAGTCCTAATTAGAGCTGGGTACACTCAGGGATATTCTACAGATTTGAAACAGGGATTCAAACTCAAAACGGTCAGGCTACATACAGACAATGCTAAGATACAATGGGCATTTGAGTAATGCTCATTTGTTGTTCTGCATAGTCCACATGTGACATAAAACAGATTAGCGAATTCTGATCAGTGTTTCTTTCAGACTTTTTTCTCCTAAGGGGAGGGGGCAAACCTAAATTTCCGCTGGTGTGGACACTGTTGCAAGTATATATTTTCTATATAAATTCCATTTTGGTGGGGGGGGGGTGGAGACGGGGACGACTCTCCTCTTGAGCCCCAGGCTATCGTACCAATAAAAATTGTGTATTAAAAGTAAAAACATGGTCTTCAATGCGTTTTAGTTACTGCACGGAAATAAGTTTGATCCCGTCCTCAGGGAGCATTAGTGTTTGAACATACGTGAAGAATCACAATCACATGTTGGTGGAATAATGTTAACAAGAAGAACACCCCGCAACACAGGCGATAAATCTTGTACGATGAACAAACGGAAAAACTATTGTCTGACAGGGGCAACCAAAACATTATCTATAACAAGGCGGTTTTCATGGAAACTCAGTTCATGTTAGCACCGGATGGTTTAAACGAACAGATATTTTTTCACCCCCCCTCCCCCCCCCCATATTTGGTACATAACACCTCTACTCCAAATATCACGCATCTTTTCTTAGGGATATCAAGGCATTTAAACAAGACGTGTTTTCACTGTCCAAAATTTAATGTTTTAGTCTTCGACCACACAGTTGTGCTCTGATGAAGATCTTGGGTAGAAAAGTCAATTGTACCTGTAATTGTCTTTAATTTAGTATTTGGCAATGAATCCTTATTTCACCTCTCTCCTTAAATCTCCACCCACCAGAAGGCAAGACCATATTAATTACAAAAAGGTTTCGATTTTATCGTCAATTTAAAACAATTTTCAAGAATTTGTGGACTAAATACAATACTATTGATAGTGAAGAGCTCTAACTCCCATCCTCCATTCAACTAACAAAAAAAACAACAACTGTCCCTTAATGGCATTCTCGTCCAATTGATTTCTTCCATGTCTAGAACCAATAAGTCATAAGTGAAATTAGACACTGTTGGGATTTCCCATGAATATAGACTTCAGCTGTGTTATTGTTAAGTAACAAAAGTAACCATTTTCTTAAATGATAACTTCATAATGTGATTAAAAATCATTACAGTTTCATGTGGGAGAAAGAGAGGGTATTAAATTGTTCACTTGTCTTATCTCACTACCACAGAACTCATCCATAATCTTCCTATGCAAAAAGCATTCAAAAGTTTAAATTATTTATGTAGTTTTTAAAACTTGTATTACTATACAATAAACAATATCTTTAATAAATAACTTTTCAATAATAAATTATCAGTTCAAACCCATTCAAAATCAAAATGAAAGTCATTTATTTTTAGCATTATTTAATTGATTCAACACAATTGTAAAAAAACAAGCCAAAAGACAGATGAAGATGAACATACAAAAGTTAAATGTATGAGATCATTCATTATACCCGTATCATTTTATGTGTATAAAAATACTGCAATATTATTTAATATTATAAAAGTTAATGATCATTTTAAAAACTAATACACACAAGGCTTCATACTGCTTAATTACAATTAAGTCACTATGCACTAATTTCTAAAACATTATATTTCATTTAAACATATTTGTAAAATAAACATCTCGACACAATAAGGTAAAGTACAGTATATGCTTTTATGCCTGAGAGATGTACATTAAAAAGTAAAGTACAGTATATGCTTTTATGCCTGAGAGCTGTACATTAAAAAGTTAAGTACAGTATATGCTTTTATGCCTGAGAGATGTACATTAAAAAGTAAAGTACAGTATATGCTTTTATGCCTGAGAGATGTACATTAAAAAGTAAAGTACAGTATATGCTTTTATGCCTGAGAGATGTACATTAAAAAGTTAAGTACAGTATATGCTTTGAAGCATGGAAGATGTTTGCATGTAAATTCAATTTAAAAAGTAAAGAACAATACATGCGCTACAAACAAAAGATGTATATAAAAAAGTAAAGTATATTTTGAAGTACAAAAGATCTGTATTAAAAAGTAAAGTATGTTCTGAAGCACAAAAGATCTAGATTCTATATTAGACAAACAAATACAGCAGATGAAAACCTCTGTGGCCTTTGCATATATGGGATTGTGTCACAAAGGCCATGTTCAACCATCCTTGCTGAGTCAAAGTAAATCAGGTGTCCCTTGGATGTTGGTAGTCACATGGATGTGTCAACTAAATGCAGATAGTCCCATGGATGTTAACTTTAAGCTAACTTCTCATATATTTTAATTTTGCTCTAACACATGCTCTGTCATACAAACACTCATTGTAATTTAATTTATCATTGTATTAAAAAAGTAATGAAAAATAATTCAATTAAATAGCTTTGAAAACAATTAAGCATACAACATTGATTGTATTAATACTGCATTTTCTAGAAAGAAATTTAGTTGTTTTTTTCCATTAAAATATCAACAATTTTTGCATATAATATTCTTAGAAACCATAAAGTAGATTGTTTTTCGGAGCACATAATTTTAGAATTATAATCTTGTGCAGGGATGAGCAAAGATTAGTGTTAATCTGAAGTCTGCTTGTATTTTTTTGCATTTGTGAGTTTGTTTAAAGTAAGCCCAGTTTGAATGACATATCTCCAGCTTGATCCATCTATGGCAAGGTGTTCCTGGTCAGTTACACCTGGGAAAGTAACAACAGATCAATAATTATATAATATTATTTATAATTTTAAACATTTTTTTAACAGCAAACAAATAACCAGGCCCTTAAATATGAAGTAATAAACTGAGGTTTTGATTGTTTTTTTTATAACAAATTAGACAAAGTGGATAACACAATTTCTATTAAGGAATTTAGTTTTAGTGCAATACATTTTGAAAATATTGGGCTTGGGATTTTAGTTTTCAATTCACTTTTATGATTGAATGTAAATACAATTTGTCATAAAAAAAAAATTCTAATGGGGAATGAGATCATTCGAAAATTTAAACACTTTCGGTCTGACATTTTTAATAAGTATTGATTTTAACTTTAAAAAGTGGATAACTCAATTTCTATTAAGGAATTCAGTTTTAGTGCAATACATTTTGAAAATACTGGGCTTGGGATTTTAGTTTTCAATTCACTTTGATGATTGAATGTAAATACAAAAAAATTCTAATGGGGAATGAGATCGTTAGAAAATTTAAACACTTTCGGTCTGACGTTTTTAATAAGTATTGATTTTAACTTTAAAAATCAATTTCCAAACCACAAAAATGTGACTGCTGTTTGTCCCAAAGTAGTTATCATATTATAGTTTTTTTAATTTGCTAAAAAACAACCTTTCATACTTTAAGGGGTCTCTAATAAATGGCAATGTAATATTTAATAGAAAATATAAATCCCGGCTACAAAAATTGATATGATAATAGGAGATAATTATTTAAGATCCTAAAGTCTTAAATAATGGAATGTTATAATAATCAACATCATATTGAGTACAATTTTCTTCCAATTTATTACATGTAGCTTACACTTACTCAGTCTTTAATCTTCCTCACTACTGCTGCTTCCAATGTCTATTCCCTTAGCTTGGAGTTTTTCTTTCCATGATATATTTTCAGCTTTTTTCATCTTGATAACTACTTTATCTTTCTCAACCTGAAATAATTTTTGTAAGTAGTATGTATTACTTGTTTGAATAAATATAGAGACATTAGATGTTGCAAAGAAAAACAATGAGCATGAACAAAGTAATCAAGATATTTTTTACACTTACACACTGGTAGAAACTTTGAATAACAAATATAATTAGATCTACATAATTTAACATTTTGCAATACACTATCCTTGAAAAAGGATTTTTACTTTTAAGTTTAAAATATGTTACTAAAGTCTTTAAAACCTTTATAAAATAATATCAATTTAACTACAGTAATGATATAAGAAATGAAGATATTAATTTAGAAGAAATTGAAACATCATACATGCCATGTAGAGTTTGCTTCGATAATATTCCCAGGCATTCTCTTGACTACCCTTATAAACTCAGTATCTTTCTTTTCTCTTTTGTCCTCTACTGTAATCCTTATGTCAAATCCCTGAAGACTAAAACGAAAAGTGTTATAGTTTTATCTTAAACATATTACAACAAAAGAAACCAACACCTTTAATATAAAATATGTGACAAAAAAGAACATCATAAAAATTCTGTTCTATTTTGCAAAAGGTGATAGCAAGTTTTCTCCTGTTATTGTTATTAATTCCTATTGGGAAATAACACTGCCTTTCCAGCCTTTACTTTCAAATACTGTTCTTGAACTTGAATACAGAACATGTCACAAAGTGTAGTTTCCAACATGAAATAATGATAAAATTGGGCAGTGAGAAGCACTGATTTTTCATCTTGTGCTTACACTACAAAAAGTAACTGAATTAGATCCAGCTTCAAACCCTGAAATACATTTGCAAAACCATTGACTGAACAAGAGAATAGAAATAATACATCTAGTAAACGTTTATCATCTAAGGTTTTTTCAGGCAGTAAGTTCTTTACATTACAAAATAGTCCTTTTTTTTTAATAAGGTATTTTAAAACAGTTTGTAAATGACAAAAAAATTACAATTGCAAATGTTAACACTGTCAAGCTTGTACAAGCTGTACTTATTACTTTCTTGTATACGAAGTATAGAGGAAGTATTGTAATTGTGCAAAAAATCGAAATCAAGATTTTCACAAATCTTAATGTTTTACACCTCCCTGAGTTGGAGAAACTTATTTTGGAATTTTGTCCATAGGTCTGTGTTTGCGTGTCTGTGAACACGATAACTTGAGAACAGTTGCAGCTAGTTTGATGAAATTTCATAAAATATTATATATATCAAACTTGTAGTTCTGTATCAACTTTTCACATACAAGCAAAAGATCTAATTCTCGGTTTTCTATGAAATTTTGAGTAATTTCCGGTGACCGGAAAAAGTAGTTTATGCTTTTTCAGATTTCTCAAAAAACTATTAAGAATTTATTTAAATCTTGATTCCTCTGTCTATCTTTATGAAGTACTAATGTTCCACATTATTATACACAGATTATTTGCTGTTAATTTGTTGTGCAATTATTTCTTCGAGATTCCATTCTATTTTAAAAATCTAAGCATTTGAAAATTGATTTTTTTAAAATGTCCATATCCCGACTGCGCTTGAGTTGACATCCCCATTAGTGTTATCTAAGAATATTTGAGAGAGTTTCGGGGAGATTACTCCCGCTTTATTTCTTACTGAACATCTGACAGATTTATAATATCATATAAGCTATGCAATTTTGTTACCAACATATTTTTTTTTTAAATAAAAAATTCTTATGTAAATATGCATCTTTATTAATAAAGACCAAACCTGTTGAGCCAATCAAAGTATACTACTCCATTTTTTGGTTCATGGATATTATTGCCAGGTTCAAGACCATCAGCCATTATTTCAACTTGTACAGTCCCATCATCAAGGTCCAATGATCGACCTGTAATATATAGCTTATTTTAGTTTCCTCTTATTTTGATGGCATTATTACACAGATTATAAATAAATGCAGTATATGTCCTATTAAACAATAAAGAGGAAAGTTTGCAGGTATTAGAAATGGTAGTCTTCATAGGGTTTAGATATTGCTTTAGGATAAGGCTACGTTTTTATATTTAGGATTCTTCTTTGTTCTTTTTTAATGTATCTACATTGGAAGATCATACTAGTCCAACATTGCAAATGAACTGCAGGGCCAAACCACAAAGGATGGTTCAACTAGTACCATCTTTTGTTTTGCAAAAGAGATCAATGATTGAATTTAAAAAATTTTAAAAAGTAGATTTTAAAGTCAACTCATTAAATTTTACACAGGTCAAAATGACAACTAAAATATAACACATTTAAAAAAAGGACTATTGAAGTTGCTTACATCTAGCATGCCTGCTTATCATTTCCACCTCTGCCATTGCCATGATGATGAATACTATTAAATCTGGAAAAAAAAACACTAGAAAATTACTCAAAGCACTATTTTGAACAGTTGATGGTACCAAGCCCTGAAGCCATAACCCTAACAAACCACTTTAGACGTGGTCATATACCTATAAATATATTGTTCTATCAATATCAACAAAATCACAGAACAATGTCTGGTTAAGAAGATTATCAGTGAAGATTAAATATGCATTTTGCTGTACAAATCTGTTTTCCCCCATATAGATCTAGATCTACCAATATTCAATACTTTGAAAATTCACCCTAAAAGTAGACGTTTAAAATAGATCTAGGTCTGTTTTCTGCCATAATTCATGAAAGTGGTTTGAATATTTCACACAAGCTAGATTCTAGATCTAGATTAGATCTAGCACACTACATTTTTAAAAACATCTTTTTTTACGTAACAGGGCTTATCTTCCTAATTTGAAATTTCTTTCCTACCCACTGAACGCAGGGTAAACTCATACGCGATACTGGCGATAGGCTCAACAGTAGGAAGCTAACTAATAACTTAAAATATAACACGTCACTCAGGTCAAAATAATGCATACTGACTGATAGAGAAATGAATTCTGAATAAGAATAATATATTCCTCATTTAACGATATTCAAAAAAGTCGACAGTGGCAAGAATGGAACCTTCGCCACGGCGCTGGGTCTGATGCCCAAGTGCCTGTCCATATTGTTTCTGCCTAACCTACTCTGTTCTCTGATGAGTGTTTTTATCCTGTTTAAAGTTGTTTTTCTTTATAATAATTTTAATGAGTTATGAAAATAATATAAAATATATTTTTTTTATTAGGCCTGATGATTGTGCATGGAACTGGAGAGCCACATCTGCCATCTTGACAACAGGTTGCCGAGCCCTGTTAGATTTTAGATCAAGAATCTAGCTAGATCTAGTACTGTACTAGATCTACTACTAGATTCTTGATTCTAAATCAAATAATAATCTATATAATATATATATGATTTTCTTCTGGGAGCCGTTAGAAAACAAGCTGCAAGCGCCTCCTTGCAGTCCCCTCTCTTTCTCTCTATCACTATCACTACCACCCCCACCCCACCCCCACATTGTCTGGTGAGTTGTGGTCACGCTAAATGTTTACAAAGATAAATGTTTACAAATCGTAGAGCCTTAGAGTCAGGTTTCTATTAGGGGCAGATAATTTAGTTCAATATTAAACTTACAGGAAGTAACTAAGAAATAACTAAGAGGAAGCTGCTTTCACGGGGGGGGGGGGGGGGGGTGTAGGGAAAAGGGGGGGGGTTAGTGTTTTAAAGCAAATATTTTCAGTGGCAGCATTGGTACTGTCGAATTCAGAAATTATGAATTACTGAAAAGTAGAAAATACAACAACTAAATACTAAATAGCGGCGTATGATACGCTGCGGGTCGGCTCGTTTATAATAATAATCAAATTCTAAACTAAGTAGATTAGTAAGTAAGTAGAATCTTACTTCTTACTCTGAGTGTCTCTAGGCCTACCGGCAATCTTTCAAAAATGTTTAGGCCTAAGACTTTAGAGTAGTTTCCCTTGAAAAATTCGCGTTTTAATGATTTTGTTGTTATTTATTTACTGTACTGAGTTGTCTTGTGTAGTATATAGATCTAGATCTATTTATTATAGATCTATTAGGAATAACGTCATGATCTACATTTAAACAATTCAGAAAACTAAAGCATATCATTGCTTATCTATTTCCTTCAAAGAACGTTACACTTGAGCTGACCACCTCCCCATTTTTTTTATTTCATAGGGGGGATAACCATTGAAGCTAGGATGTTTGCTGAAAATATTAGGGGTGGCTTCCCTTTTCGTAAAAGTACTCTAAGGCCCTATAGTATTTTTTTTTACAAAAAATTTCCAGAAAATCCAGATCAATACTAGAATGAAATAAAAAATGAAATAAAGAAAAACTTAGAAGGAAACAAAAAAACATTTAATAACAGTGCTGCTTCAAAACGGCCCAAACATAAGACTCTTATGTTCATTAAGAGCCCCATGAAACTGACCTCATAAAAACGGCAGGCGACAAATTAACCCTGTCATATAAGCTTCCATCATATAGGCTCCTGACAAATATGACATGAGCCTAAATGTCTGGGCTCTTTTGAACAGGTCATTTTGTCGGTGTACAAAAAAAAAAAAATTCCAGTGATGTGACATCACACTTTCTTACCCTTACTTTAGATATACAGTACAGGATGTATTAAAATGCTTGCTTTCATTCTCACTACCTGATACTCATTTATGATCATTTATGATCTTCCTGTGGTAGCCAATCTTTAAAAGTAGAAGATATTTTTGTTTATCTAATTGGAGTATTTAATAACACATAGTCAATGAATCTTTATAACCAACTTTTCAGTAAGAAAAATATGTTCAAAGTTTATTAAAATTTACAATGACGGAAACACATTTTAAGCATTATTTAATTGCTTCAACACAATTGTATAAAACAAGTCAAAAAAGACAAATTAAGTGGAACATACAAAAGTGAAAACTATGAGAAAATAATTTACAGCCAAATTGTTTTGTGCATGAAAGTGAAAGTACAAAAATGCTGTAGAATTAAAAAATATTATAAATATTTTATAAAAGTATTTTAAAAACTAAAATACACGAGGATGATGGCTTTACATGGCTTAATTGCATTGAAGTTGTTATGCACTTATTTCAGAAAAATGAAATTATATTTACACTAAATATATACATAAAATAAACATTAGACGTATAGTAAAAAGTGATGAACAATAGCTTTTCCATGACATGACAGATGTATATTGAAAAACTTAGAGCAGCATCTGTTTAGAAGTATAGAAATGAAAGATTTATATTAAAAAGTAAAGTAGGGGTCAGCGAGGTCAGGTCGGTAATGCTCATGGTTGCTTAACTGAACAGTCCTGAGTTAAAAATTCCCAGGCAGATAAGGCCTGATACCTGGGAACAGCAACCCATCTTGGAGAGAAAACTCCAGAATCAATAACTGCTACCCTGTAGTTTTTTCTAAGATGGACAAAGGCTAAGGAAACAAATTCAAAATAAAGGCAGGCTGAAATTGTATGGCGCATAAAAAGATGACATGTAATAAGTGATGGTGTTGGAGGAAATTATATCCAGCATTAAAATGAAGAATGAAGAAGAAAAAGTAAAATACAGTATCTTTTTGAGGCATGAAGGATCTGTCAAAAAGTAAATGTAAAAAAAATGTACTTAATAAATTTGACAACAATTTTTGACACATATAACATTTATACTACATTTTATAAAAAGATACACATAAAATGGAATGAGCTATCTTAAACTTAAACATCTACTTTTGAAAAACACAAAAAAACAATCTTAAATCTATGTTTTGCAGAGTGTATATTTTTGTAGTCTGGATTTGTATTTTCTATTACAGATTATATATCCGTTTTATTAGAGAAACCTTGAAGTATGTTAGTAAAAAGTAAAGTAGAGTTAAAAGTAAAGTACAGTTAAAAAGTAGAGTACAGTATTTTTTTTTAGGCAAGGAGGATCTGTTAAAAAGTGTAACAAGCTATTTGGTGAATTGTATTTCGAGTGAAACGTGTTTGAGAGTTGAATACCTGGCCAACGGAAGTGAATGCGTGAGCAATCAATCACTGTATTATGTATTTTGTATGCTTCGTGGAAATCGCTCACTGACTGAAGGGAGTGAATGTAGGGCTATATAATCGGGTATATGAGATGTTCGTGGGACCACATACATGAATGCAAGGGGAAGCTATGTGTGTTGACGGTTAGGACTTGAAATGTTTTGATTACTGAATGAAGTGTATTCTTTGCTGTTGTAAATAAAGTTATAAAATGAACAGCAGTCTATGGTCTATTCTTGAAAGAAGGAACTCTCAACAACAACATATTGTCGCATCGACATCTACGTATTGTTACAAAAAGTAAATGTAAAAAATAATAATTTAGTAGCTTTGAAAAAAATAGCACATAAAACATTCATACTACATTCTATAGAAAAATTAAAAAAAAAAAATTAAAACGTCAACTTTGATTGGTATAAAATATTCTTAAAAACCATAAGTAGTTTGTGATTTTGCAGCACTTCATGTAGACCTCATGTCTGTTCTCAAGTTATCATCCTGTGCAGGGATGAGCAAAGAATTGTGGTAGTCTGAAGTCTGATCAGACCTTTTGCATGTAAGGTAAGCCCAGTTTGAATGCCACATCTCCAGCCTGATCCATCTTTTGCAAGGTGTTCCCAGTCAGTTATGCCTATGAAAGTGAAAATATGTCAAGGGTAACTCTCTTAAAAAATGTAACAGGGAGAATTAATGCAATAATGAAGACCATAACATTTTAAAATCATTCAACTTTTTTAAATAAAGGAAAGAAAGATACAACAAGAAAATCCAACCATTTAAAGACCATGGTACAATGGTAGAAAGTACCACATTTAAAAAAAAATTTGAAGTTTTCTGTCTAGGCTTGTATAAAGACACACTTACTGAGACTGACATCCTTAGAAACTTGAGTCATCTATCAAAATGTGCTTAGAGGCTTTTAATGTGTATTGACTTTAACTTATAAAAGTGTGACTATGCTGTTAGTTCCAAAGAAGTCTTCATATATAGTTGAGTTTTATAATTTGCTTAAAACAAACTTTCATTAAAAAAAACAGAGATCGACAAAACACACTATAAGGATCACTAAAATATCTCTAGGCACGGTTGTAGAAAATAGCAGCTTTCTTTGTTAACAAAACACCACCAAGATTTTCTAAATTGATGTTAGCAAGTTTTAGATGTTTGATAGTTCAGCAAAAAAAACAACAAGTAATTAAAAAAAGTCTAGTGACAATTTTAGCGCAATTTCCTTGTGTTATCTAAAAATAGCTCTGTCGTAGCGTAAATCAAGAGCAGGGTTAGTAAAACCATTGGTTAGTTGTTAAAACGTTTTTTATTAATTTTTTTTCAGTATTTTACATGTTTTATTTACAATAGAGTAACATGACTAAAAACCATTGCGCGCCCAGCTACCGAACGTGACGTCGCAGCCATTGAACGTGATGGCGCAGCTATTGAACGTGATGACGCGTGGTGTGGTTGCATAAAATGCCTACTAATTCGGTCCAAATTTTAATTAATTCAAAAAATTATTTGTGACCGAACGAAAGGATATTTTTGAAAACTTTCTTCGGCAATATTGTTCTAAATTATGGCAGGAATCGATTGGTACATGTTTCAAGTCGCTAAGTGGTCTGGTTGCCGAGATATGGGCCAAAAACTGCATTTTTTCGAGGTTTTTTGGCTTTTCCGGGAAATCCATGAAAGAAACCCGGAATTTTTATGGCCTATGTTCATCCTCGTAACTTGCTTAACATAATTGCTTTAGGAACTAGTCCTCGATATTGCTTCGTTGAGGAGGAGATATGACTTAAAGCTGCGGACACACATCCATACATTCCCAGAAATGACGAGTTAATAAACGCAATTCTCCAGAATGGAAATTGCGCTAAAAAGCATGTAGCATGTTGGCAAGGTAATGTCAATCTGAACAACTTGCAGATTCGTCATTGCTACTACAAACACTTTTGGACCTTTATTATATGTATGGAATTGTTGTGAGCTGCCTTAATGGTATGTGGGAGATTGTTGTCAACTGGACTACAAGAGGAACACAAATACAATGTATTGTACCAGGACAAGGGGATCCAGTGCGCCGGGAAGTGTGTCATCACATCGGTTTTGTGTGTGGATTGTATTTTGTGAACCAAGATAAGTACCACCATTTTGTTTTAAATTTCATAAGCACATTTGTGGTAGGTTTCTAATATTATTGTAATATTTGATTTAGGAATAGCTTGCAGTGTATAGATTTTTCGTGCATTAGTGAACCGGGATTGTAGTTAACCTGGCTGTAACTACTTGTTCAAAAGGAAAAAAAAAAAGAGTGCCGGGCGAACAAAGCTTGCGTGAATTGGGACAATCTCTAGACTATAAGGGTGGGGAGTTAGAAACATGTGTGAGTGAACAATCAAGGTTGCTAGAAAAATTATCCTCTATTTCCACTGAATTGGAAGCATAACATAGCATAACAATAAGCAAGCTTATTTTGGTGTAGCCCTACAATATCGCAATAATTGTAGAACCAGCTATGTATAAATACATATTTATAACATATAGGTACACAGACTGAGGCATTCTAAATATATGTTCTTACTTTTAAATGCACGATTGGTTCTAGAGACTTAATTATTTCGACAAAAAATATTTTCTTTGTGGGACAGTTGCACTGTTCCAGCCAGCATTGGATCACATATAAATAATTGACACAAAGACTGTTTACCTGTTAGGAGCTATGGTTATTCTGTATTTCAATACAGCCAGATCATTTTTGACAAATTGTGAACCCCTGCACTCTTCTGATTAAATGTGGGTTTCAAACATAGGTTTCAAATGTGCATGTTATAGGCATACAGGTTACTTATATTCAAAGAAGCGTTGTTACCCTAAATTTTAATATACTTATCAAGTCGCTCTTTCATCAGAAAAGTTTTTATGATTTTTTTCAAAAGATTGAGTTTGTGTCATACACTTTTTGAGATGAAAGAAAATGGAGAAAGATTTGCTGACTTGTCTGCCACAAGTAATTTAGTAATTGGAGGGAGTCTCTTTCATCAAAAAAGGATACATAAAGCTACTTGGGTAGCACCCGACTTGTCTACAGAAAACCAGATAGACCATATATGTATCATAAAAAAGTTCAGGAGATCACTTCAAGATATAAGTGTCAAGAGAGGAGCTGATGTTGCTTCAGACCATCACCTACTTGTTGCTAAAGTAAAACTCAAGCTGAAGAAAAACATGTTGGAAAACAAAAGGAAATACAGGTATAACACTGGCCTGCTTAAGGACCCCTCTAAGCTAACTGAATTTTAGCTACATATTTCCAACAAGTTTCAGGTCCTACAAGAGCTAATAGAAGAAGAGACAATTGAGGAAAAATGGGAAAAAACCAAACGCATATTTATGTCAACATGGGAAGAAGTGTTAGGCCCTATAAGGAATAAGGAATGGATTTCAGCAGATACTCTGAAAATTATTGAGGAGAGCAAAAGGAAGAAGGCAACACTAAACAACAGTCGTACACGGGCTGCTAAATTAAAAGCCCTGGAAGAATATACTGAAACAAACAAAAAGTGTCAAGAAATGCATAAGGAAATACAAAAGGAGTTATTTAGAGCTGCTGCCAGTGAAGACCAAAGATAGAAAGACAATACCTGATGCGGAAGGACAGAGGAAGAGATGGGCAGAAAATTTTGTAGAACTACTGAATAGACCAACACCAGAGTGCAAGCAAGATATACCAACAGCTGAAAGTGATCTCCCTTTAGAATGTAACCCACCTTCAAAAGAAGAGATACATAAAGATTTATAAAGCAGCTGAAAAACTGGCTTCAGGAATAGATGGTATACCGACAGAAGCACTGATAGCACAGATATAGAAACTAGCACCACACTACTACACACACTCTTCAAGAAAATGTGGGAAGATGAACAAATACCAGAGGAATGGAAGGATGGACTACTCATAAAACTTCCAAAGAAAGGCAATCTTAGTGCATAATCTAACTATAGTTTAACATTTTTGTCCATCCCAGGCAAAGTCTTCAACAGAATATTATTAAACAGAATAATGGAAGCGATAGACCCACAGCTTTGAGATCAACAGGCAGGCTTTAGAAAGGAAAGGTCATGAGTAGACCAAATTGCTACCCTGCGCATCATCATTGAATAGACCCAAGAGTGGAACACATCTCTCTATATTAATTTCATAGACTATGAGAAGGCCTTTGATAGCCTGGATAGACAGTCAATGTGAAAATTGTTGAGACACTACGGGGTGCCACAGAAAATAGTCAACATTATTATGTCTTCATATGAAGGTCTGAAATGTAGAGTAGTGCATGGCCAATAGACTTTGGAGGCCTTCCCTGTACGGACTGAAGTAAGGCAGGGTTGCCAACTTTCACCATTCCTGTTCCTACTGGCCATAGACTGGATTATGAAGATGTCAAAAGAGAAAAGGCGAAACGGTATACAGTGGACACTGTGGAGCCAGCTGGATGACCTGGACTTTGCTAACAACCTGGCCCTTCTTTCTCACACAACAGCAAATGCAAGATAAAACCAACAGTGTTGCTAATTTTTCTACATGCCTGGGCCTGAACATCCACAGAGGGAAAAGTAAAGTTCTCAAAGTCAATGCATCAAGAAGCACCCCTAAAACATTGGCAGAAGAAGCCCTAGAAGAAGTGGATAGATTCACCTGGAAGTATTGTTGATAAGCAGGGTGGGACAGAAACAGACATAAAAATAAGGACAGGCAAGACAAGAGCAGTTTTCAACCAACTAAAAATGTTTGGGGTTCTGGAGATTTAACCCTTGGAATAAAACTCCGGCTCTTCAACACACTAGTAAAACCTGTTTTACTCTATGGAGCTGAGACATGGAGAATAACTGCTATAAATAAGAAGAAAATACAATAATTTATAAACTCATGCCTCAGAAAGATCATGCGAGTTTGCTGGCCTAAAACCATCAGAAATGAAGTATTATGGCAACAGACAAATCAACTGCCAGCTGAAGAAGAGATCCTCCTTAGAAAATGGAAATCGATTGGCCACACACTCAGGAAGCCTGTATCAAGCATAACAAGACAGGCCCTCACCTGGAATCCACAGGGCAGGAGGAGGAGAGGCGAAAGACCTGGAGATGTGACCTGGAGGGAGACACCAAGAAGATTGGATACTCCTGGGGACAGTTGGAGAGACTAGCCCAGGACAGAGACGCCTGGAAAGCTCTTGCCAGTGGCCTATGTCCCAGGAGGGGGCGAAAGGCTAACCTAACCTAACCATACACTTTTACAGGTATAACACTTCAAACATGTAGAAAAAAAAAAAAATAACCAAAATTTTAAAACGTTATATTTTTTTTACATCTTTATATCTTGAGGTATATGAACAAATTTGGTATCAACTATCTTAGAATATTGAATTCTTAACATGGCATCTTTCAAAAAAGCTCTGAGACTGTTTTAAAAAATCATTTTGACATACCTACTTACACTTACATAGTATTTAATCTTCCTCACTACTGCTGCTACCCATGTCTATTCCTTTAGCTTGGAGTTTTTCTAACCATGATATATTCTCGGCTTTTTTCATCTTGATTACTACTTTATCTTTCTCAACCTGGAATAATTTTTGTAATTTATACAAATATATAGAAATTAGATGTTGAAAAGAAAAACAATGAGCATTAACAAATTAATCAAGATATTTTTACACTTACACACAGGTAGACACTTTGGATAACAAATGTAACTGGTTTTACATAATTTAACATTATTCAATACCCAACCCTGTGCCCGCGGGCGCCATGGCGCCCTCCGAAAGATTCGTGTGTGCCTGCCTCTCACTATTCGACAGAGACAGAATTTTTTTTCATAAACATTATTGAAAGGTTGAAGGGAATGGAAATCAAAAGTTTGAGGGGGGGGGGGGTGCAAATCGAAAGTTTAAGGAGGGGGGTGCACATCAAAAGTTTGACGGGGGGGGGGGGGTGGTGCAAATCGAACGTTTTGTCCCCGGGTGATGGTAAGGGTTGCTACGCCTCTGGAAGGAGTTTGTCGATTTAAAATAGGTGGTGCCCGCCACCCTACCGATATTTTAGAATGTGCTCTAAAGTAAAAAAAGGTTGGGAACCCCTGCAATACACTATACTTTTTAGTTTAAAACAAAATGTAACATAATTTTTTAAAACCTATTTAAAATAAAGTAAGATTTAACATTGATTTTACAAATACAGTAATGATGTAAAAAATGAAGAAATATTCAGAGTGTAAAGAGAAATTAATTAGGAATTGAAAGCATCATACATGCCATGCGGAGCTTGTTTTGATAATTTTCCCAGGCATTTTCTTGACTATCATTATAAACTCAGTGTTTTTTTTTGCTTTTTTGTCTTCTACTGTAATCCTTATGTCAAATCCCCGACAACTAAAACAAAATATGTTATGGTTTTATCTTAATCGTAAACATAATACAACAAAAGAGATCAACACAATCCATTATTATAAAATATGTGATACACAACAACATAGTGAAAATTCTGTTCTATTGCAAAAGGTAAAAGTAAGTTTTCTCCTGTTATTGTTATTAACTAACTCCTACTGGAAAATAACACTGTCTTTCCAGCCTTTACTCTCAAATGCTGTTTTTGAACTCAAATACAGAACCTGACATATTGTGCAGTTTAACAGCTTAACAACATTAAACAATGATAACAATGTGACTCCCTGTCAATCCCCCCCCCCCCCCCCGAACTAAAAATAGTGGCCTGCTATTTTCTGCTCCTGTGAGAAGCACTGATTTTTTCATTTTGTGGGTAAACTATTAAAGAAACTAAATTAGATTCAGTGTATACATTCAAACTTCACACCGAAATACATTAACAAAACCATTAGCTGAACCAGAGAAGAAGAATAATAGATCTAGTAAATGTTTATCATTATCTTAGGTTCTTCAGGCAATAATTTTTTTTCATTACAAAATAGTCCTTGCTCATTAATAAGGTATTTTAAAACAGTTTGTAAAATTCAAATAAATTACTGTAGCAAATGTTAACACTTTGTCAAACTTGTACAAGCTGCACTTATTTTTTAGTGTGACTAGAACTTCTACTTTGTTCTTAATTTTTAATGTTGGAAGTGATTCCCCCCAACACAATTAAGTATTACGTGATAACTTGTTATGCGCCATAAAGGCTGTTGCTCCGATTTCAGCCTGTTTTTCTTTCTGGATTTGCTTCTTTAGCTTTTGTCCAACCAAGAACAAACTACATTGCAGCAGTTGTTTGATTTTGGAGTTGTCTCTCCTAGAAGAGTTGCTGTCCCTAGCTATTGAGCCTTATCTGCCCATGGGTTTGAACCGTGAACTTTACCAACTCAACCATGCGGCCACTGTGACTAGAACATCTGACAGAATGATATAAGTTACACACATTGTTTTTTACCACCAATATTGCGTTTGAAAGAAAGGGATCTTATGTAAATATTCAGATTATTAATAAAGATCAAACCTGTTGAGCCAATCAAAAAACACTGTCCCATTTTTTGGATGGTGGTCATCTTTGCCAGGTTTTAGACCTGGAGCCATAATTTCAACTTGTACAGTCCCATCATTAAGATCCACTGATCGACCTGTAACACTTGATGTTAGTTTGCTTTTATTTTGATGTCATCATTACATAGATTATAAGTTAAGACAGCATTTGTCCTATTTAGCATTGAAGAGGAGCTGTGCATGTATTTGAAATGGTGACCTTCTTTAGGTTTAGGATAAGGCTAAAGTTTGATATTTAGGATTCTTATTCTGAGTGTCTACTTTTGAGGTTCATACATCTATTTTAACATTGTAAACAAACTGCACAATTATCTTCAACCTAGCAAGCACCGCAAACAATTTTTCTCTGAGTGGAATGTTTTGAGTTTAGAGTCCAGAAAGCATCTGTTGTAAAACAAGTAAGGTATTTTCAGAGGTAGCACCCTAATGGCATGTCTTGCTGAGATGGAATTTTTCAAAATTCGATGTTTAACTTAACTTTTATACAGGTCAAAAGCATACATAAACGACAATAAATATATAACATATTAAAAATGTACTATTAAAGTTGCTTACATCTAGCATGCCTTTGTATTAATTCTGTCTGTGCCATGAGTGAGAAGGCAGTGGATTTTAATGAAATGGATGCATTAAAATATTTTTATCTGAAAAAAAAAATTACTAGTAAATTCCTGGAGCAATTTTGAACTGTTAAACAAAAAAAGTAGGTGGAATAAAAAATTAATGTATAATACACACAGACCAACATTTTTAAAAAAAAATTAAATAGCCTATATAAAAAAAATTAATTTCATTAATTATTTTTAAAAATAATAATTTCATTTTTAAATTCTAAAACTTAAGTATTCTGAAAGGTAATTACTTCAGTACAGAAACACAACGTATGTCAACAATCATCTACCCTCTGAATTACATCACCTATACTTCAAGAAGACAGTAATTTCTACTTCTGAAAATAAAATATTGTTAAACATTATTCTACCACATCTCACACATGATAAAAAATCATAACAGGGGCAATGAAACATTGAATATATATCTAGACTAGTTATTATCTTACATCCCTAATTAAATTCAACATCTCGACTTGTGTTTGTGCTAGTCTATTTGCCAAGCAGGTCTGTAGATCTAGATCAAGTTATAAAACTATTTAGTTATGATCTGTAAATGCATTTTACGTCCTCTTTTGGAGGTTATTACTTTAAATAATTCTAGAAATATAGGCCTAATAATACATGTGATTAATAGAAAATCAATAAACCAAAATCAATGGCTAAATATATCAATGTGGGCCAGAAATTAACTTTAAACAGCAGTGTTTGCGAGCAAGATTTGCTTTATGAATATCGGTCATCTAAGTAGAAGTGGTTTCCCTTGAATCTCTTACTATAATTTTACAAAAAAAAAACTTGGTGGCTGCTAAAAGTAAATGAGCTTGGCTGCATCTGATGAAATATCGCTAGTTATTATTTTTTACTGAAAATGTTTCATACAATTGTTTAAAAAACATGTACATTAATGAAACTTTGAAATATTTTTGTAACTTTCAAAACATAAATCCTCCTAAAAATGTGAAATAATTAAAATTAATAGAATTAAAAGTCACCTTATTTTTACACAATATACTTCTATTAAAGCCTTAACTATCAGGCAACTTTTTTGCACATTACTAGCCTCGGACGATTTTACGCACCTAAAACGATAGATTACACCCTGGTACTATGATACGCCACGCAAACCTGTACTAACCCTAATTGAATTAATTAGTAATAATTTCTAACCATAAAATTAATTGAGATTACAATACTACTAACAACCCCATGGTAAAACTCCATTTTAGCGTATTTTATTCGCTGCTTCACGTTCACCTCCAGTTGAGCGTATTTTATTATAAACACAACTGAAACACACAAAAACGTTAGGGAAACACTAGGATTAAGATTAGAGGTAGATCTACTTATTTTTTTTTAAATGTGAGTTTTAATTAGAAAAGGTAAAAAAAAGAAAGAACATAAAAAAGCATTAGGACAGTTACAATTAAATAGCGTGTGATCGTCAGCGGGAGAAAAATCCCTACACTCCTACAAGGTCGAGGGTTCACTGACAGTATAATTATCAGCATACATCATAGTTTGGGCAACACTAACAGCTATTTGAAATGGTGTTGGCCTCAGTTTTGGGGTCATGGTGAGTTCATACAAGTTTATTTATTTATTTATAGTATGATGCGTAGGCTATATATTAGGCCTATATATTTTATTAAATATATAATATAAGTATATAACTACCTCTTTGCATTGTGAGTTTTGTACTTCACCCATGCCCATTGCCATTGAATATCTTAAATTTTAACTGACATTCGAACATTGAACATTTTATTCAATTTTATTGTTAACAATAACATAGCACATTCAACATTCCAAATTTGGATTTTTCTCAAGTTTTGACAAAAGTAAATTTACAGTAAATTATCAAAAATAAACTTCATAAAGAATTAATTAATAAGCCCAATGTTTTCCCAACGTTTTTGTATGTTTCGGTTGTGTTGATAATAATTTAATTTAATAAATATTATAAAATTAATATTAATTTAATTATTAATTAATAATAAAATAGAGTCTAGTTAAAAATACTAAAATATAATATACCTACTCAACTGGAGGTGAACACCGTGAACGTGAAGCGAGGAATAATATAGATCTAGATTCTAGATCTACACTAAAATGGAGTTTTCTAGTCAGATTACCGTTACTAGATCTAGTTACTAGATCTAGATTTTCTATACCTTTCAGTTTTTATAAACATTCACTTCACCTTGTTAGGGTCCGACCCTATAAATAATTAAACAGCGTCCATATTGAGAAAACATTTAGATCTAGAGATCTAGAGTAATTTCCCTTTAATTTCTTTTTGCATGGAAATGTATAAACTTTTCCAAGCTTTTATTTAACTAGATCAGGGGTTCCCAACCTTTTTTTTACTCTAGAGCACATTCTAAAATATCGGTAGGGTGGCGGGCACCACCTATTTTAAATCGACTAGATCTAACTCCTTCCAGAGGCGTAGCGACCCTTCCCGTCACCCGGCACAAAACTTTCGATTTGCACCCCCCCCCTCAAACTTTCGATGTGCACCCCCCTCAAATTTTCGATTTGCACCCCCCCCCCTCAAATTTTCGGTTTTCATCCCCTTCAACCTTTCAATAATGTTTATGAAAAAAATTCTGTCTCTGTCGAATAGTGAGAGGCGGGCACATACGAATCGTTCGGCGGGCGCCATGGCGCCCGCGGGCACGGGGTTGGGAACCCCTGAACTAGATTCTAGATTCCTCTGAATAGATTCGGTTCATATTTTGGTACGTGGGTCAAGGCATGAAGACAATGCAACATGACATTAAATTTGAATTAATTGGATGCCTAATTAATTTTTTATGAATTAATTAAATTTTGTCCAAATTAGTAGGCTGTCATCAAACTATTCCACAGTATTAGACACGACGCATCATCACGTTCCTTAGGTGCGCAAGGGGATTTAGTCATAGATCTACAACTATTGTAAATTTTAAAAATTTAAAGTACTGGAATTTTTTTTACATAAAAAATGTTTTAATAACAAGGTTTTATGTAATAATGCACTAAAAAGAAGAAAATAAATTATACACAACTATTTAAATAATTCTAAAGAAATTATAACATCTATCACTAGGCCTAACTAAATAATATTTGGGAGTTAAGTTAAACTTTTTAAAGATGTCCGTAAGTCTACGACGTGTAAACTTACCTTGTGAATGTGCTAAATAAGACTATCTAAAATAATTCTTTATTGAAAGTATGATATCGCGCAGGGATGCCTCTCTATTTTAGAGGATGGTGGGCCGCACCGGGTGACACCATTTAGGGGGGCGACACCAAGGCAAAATATATCAAAATGTACAGAAGACAAATGCCTTTTGCCAGTTCCATTAATGATCAATTAAAGTTAAATAGTCGTTTAAGTACAAATTACAACTATTACAATATATATATATATATATATATATATATATATATATATATATATATATATATATATATATATATATGTATATATATATATAATTCTCTTCTGGGAGACGCTAGAAAACAAGCTGTAAGCGCGCTCCCTACCACCCCACCCCTACATGGTCTGGTGAGCTGTGGTTCACGCTAAATGTTTACAATCGTAGGGCCGGGTTTTGTGACGGCTATTAGGGGCAGATAATTTAGTTGGAAACGATTTTAAACTTAGGGGAGGTAACTAAGAGGAGGCTGCTTTCACGGGGTACTGTCGAATTCACAAATTATGAATTACTGAAAAGTAGAAAATAAAACAACTAAATAGCGGCGTATGATATGCCGCGGGTCGGCTCGTATACTTTATTTCTGGGGGGGGGGGGGGGGGGGGGGGGTGACACCACGAAGTGCCGCACCAGGTGACACCCGACCTATACGCCACTGAGTCGGAGATTGCAGGCAGTCATACATTTTTTATAAACTTGAAGATGCTGTGGACCGAACTTTTTACTGTCATTTGTGGCTGTCTAGCTATCAACGATTATATGGGTTCGGGTAAATTCGGCTAATCAACGTGACGTCAATATATTACTTTTACTCAACATTACGCTGCATGGGTTTCCATAACAAACCGCCTCTCCCCTTTTTTTTTGTGTGGTCGCGCTTGACCGTTAGCCATACACACCTGACCAAGCGAGCTCATTTACACACTCTGTTATTTAAATATCTAATTGTAACGTGGTTATTTTGAGTTTTTTACTTGAAAAAAAAATGACAAGATCTACAACATCTTAGGCTTTGACACAAAATAAAGATATAGAACTTGTCTAATATGGTTTAGTTCCAATTGTTTGAAATGTTAAAAAAATAAAATTGAAATACCATGAATTGTTTTAGAAAATTGCCACGGTCACTGCCCCCATCCCCTGCCGCTTATAAAATAAAATCGCTTTTTTTTTCGTAGGCGGGCGGTATACAAAGCTACATTTCTGATTCTTAATTTCTGATACACCATGTGGACGTCATAAATATATGACCCCAACTTATTTCAGTTTTGTGACCGGCCATTTGTTAGGGGAAAAAAAGGTTGATCTAGGCCAGGGGTCGGCAACCTGCGGCTCGCGAGCCGCATGCGGCTCTTTTGATATCAAGATGCGGCTCTCCAGCTCCTTGCACAAATACTAATAATCTTAATAAAAAACTAAAATATTTGCAATAAAAAAAATCTTAGTGGCTCTTTAAAACCAGGGAAATTTTGAAAATTGTAACTTTTGGCTCTGCCGCTTCAAAAGGTTGCCGACCCCTGATCTAGGCCTACTACAATGACTGCCATCACTTAACGTGAATGATGTATACTTTAGGGGTCATCCATAAATGACGTCACGCTTTTTTGACGATTTTTACCTCCACTCCTCCCCTCCGTCACACGTCGTCACAAAAAGCCAGACCCCCCCTAAGATGACGTCACACCTCAACCTACACCCCCCCCCCCCCTCAAAATTGCAGTTGAATTTTTTTATAACATCGATATTTTTCTAAAATCTTATCTAAACTATTACAATTTATTAAAACAGTTATATCTAAAACGCGAAATAACGTCTAAAATTCGTTTTCTAACATTGCTTTTTTATAATGCAAAAGTGTGACGTCGCAACATCTGAACCCCCCCCCCCCCTCCTCCCCACACATCGTCACAAAATTACGGATCCCCCCCTCCCCCTACGAGTGTGACGTCATTTATGGATGACCCCTTATAGAAAAGGAATATTAAGATCTAGTATCATTTTATAAATTATTACGATAGATTTTGTTTTTACTTCATAACTTTTCGCTATGGCTGGACATAGTGCTGTCTAATCCACGCTACAATCCCCCCTCCCCCCAGTATGCAGAGGTAATTAAAACCGTGCGGCGTCAAAACGGCCCCGTAAAATTGACCCCATCAAAAGGGCCAACGACATATGGACCCCGTCATATAGGCTATCGACAAATAGGCTCCCGTTATTTAGGCACCCGATAAAAGGGCTCCAGTCAATAAGGCTCCCGTCATTAAGTTTCTCCACAAAACGGCCCCCGTCATTACGACAAATAGGCTCCCGTCATTTTGGCTCACGACAAATAGGCTCCTGTCGATTTGGCTCCCGACTAAAGGACCACTGAAAATACGGTTTCTGTAGAGACTAAGGCTCCCGGCAAAGTAGTCTCATTGAATATGACAAATCCAGTGGGGCCCCTTCATCAAAATGCATCTCTTGTTCGGCAGGCCTTATTTTTATTAAGTTTTTCTATTATAAGAAATGGAATGTTTTAATTTATGGGTCATCTATCTATGGCTTCCATAATTGAATCGGTTATTATAGGCTGTTCTAACTCAATGTGTGGGGAGAGTGGTCCACGCTGTACATTTCTACCTGCAGTATGCTTGTATCAAAACAAAATGCCGTTATACTGTAAACATCTTGTACATCATACATTACACTTCTGTGCTCGCTTTTAAGCAACATATCTTTACTGTTGTAAATTAAACATTATCAACATTTTAGAATTGGTGGAATTTAGCTTTAAGGGCTCGATTTGTTTGTGAGTTGATTCATGAAAAACAATTTCATTCGGCGTTTATAAGAGGTTATAGTGGTAGTGGAGGTAGGCCAAAATGGTTATTTTTATGCCAATAGTGATCATACAATTCATTTTGTCATGAGCCCTTATGTCGCAAGCCTTTTGACAGGGCTATTTTGACTGGGTCGTTATGTCGGGGGCCAATTTGTCCCGCCCCGTTTTGAGAGTGCACCCATTAAAACAGGTGAACTCTGCTTCATCTGCCCCTGTATTTCTTGGACACGAACTGGCAAAGATGATTATGCAGCTTACTATTTATTACTTTTACAGAGTAGAACGTTAACCAATAACTGAATACAGGATCTGGAATATTAATCTACTGTTTACTTTGCATGCAATTTAATCATTAAAGTTGTATATTGACTTTCGAGTTTTAGAGAGTAGTAATATAATAGCCTAAAAGGAGATACTGTATTTAGTTTTACGTTCCATCATGAGGTGTGACACTAGTAGAGGTTTCAAATTTTGCTTTGCAAGCATAAAAAAATGACATCAACAACTAGAAGGCAATGATTAAAACAAGTCCTGTTACAATATAAACATCTATTTTAAGTGTCAGTATGACCACTTCACAGAGATATAACACTGTCTTTCAGCCACAATCATATTCCTGTAAGAAACAACAACATGCACACAAAGTTGAATCTATATGTGAGTTTGTCCTCTGGGGGTTTATTATTCCTTGGATACGTCAAACTGTGAAATACTAATCTCAATTACAAATTTTATTCTATATTTATATTTATCAAGATCCATAAACAATACAGTAAGTAAAGGAAAGTGTAAAAATATGTAAAGAAAAATTTGACTGAAACTTTAAGAATAGCAAAAATATTAATAGCATTAAAAAGTACACAGTAATGCAAGGATGAATTATCGTTTATCTCTACACCAAGATAATTAAACAAAACAAAGAATACTCACTCTCAGCAAATAAAGCATTTTTTTCTTTTATCTACAGTGCACAATGGCATACATTTAATAAAAGAAACATGAATAGAAATTCTTGTTGCTATACATTGTAAGAAATTCACAATTGGAAGACTTGACAATTTTGTGACAATTAAAAAATGTGCATGTTTATTAAAAAATTTGTAACTACTGCATACAGCATACTCATTTATTCAACCTTCCAACAGAAATGTGGTAAAGTACTTTACTATAGTATTACCAACATTTGAAGTTCATGATTACAATTTTATTCAAAATGAATAAAAAAATCCCTGAGATAAAGTACATGAATATAAAGTATTCAACTACAGATATATATATATATATATATATATATATATATATATATATATATATAGATATATATATACACATACACACATTAATGCACACACACACACACACTCACATATAGTCTTATATAGCAGATAATAAATTAAATTTCAAGATCTTCAGACATCCTCATCACTTGTATACTGATCCAATCCTTTACTCCATAGCAATGGCCTCCAACAAGAGTTATCAGCCTTTGTAACTTTGATGGCTATTTCTCCATTCTTGACCTGCAATTCACACAATTGTAAAAGATAAAGCACATCTTCAAACAATAAAATTACTGGTATGAACTATGAACATTTAAAAAATAAGTAAATAGTAAATAGATCAGAAGCTCATCAGCTTTCTTGAGGCTTTGAGGAATAAGAATTAAACTTGGGAATGGTGTTCATCATCTTTAAAAAATAGAATGCAACTACATGGTTTTGTATATAGGTTTAAATTATAGGCAGTAACAAATATTCTTTGCTTTTTATGTAGGTGTTGAGCATGTGATATTTTATATATATATATATAATTATAGTATATAATTAACTGGGTTTTTCTTGGTACATTATGTTTAACATCTTATTTGTTAAACCAGAGAAGAAAATCTGCCCATTTTGCACAGAACAAAGATTTTACTTTTTTACTGGTTGATTGTTGTTTATTTATGTTTTTTACATAAATTAATTTTACACATACCTTCCAGTAAGATTTCTGTATATTTATTTCTGAAGGGAACTGTCTCACTTTGCGAAAAAAGCTGGTTTCTTTATTATTCATATCATCTCTAACTATAACCTGCAGCCAAAATCCATGGCTGAAAAAAACAATTATAGTATTTTTAAATAAACAATTACATTTAATCCTTTGTATCTCTTATCATAATAACATTAAGAGAATATACCAGATAACATCTAAGTAATATCACATTATTTTCCCTCCTTGCAAACAAATTTGACATTTTAGAGTAATTAATTACTAATAGTTAACAAACCTAACAAAGTAACATGCCTTAATTAAAAAACAAGTTAGTTATAAATAAAATGCTAATAACTAAACTTAAGGGAAATCTTTTTAACTTCAAATGACTGATTATACTACCTAACAAAGAGATTTGAAGCAGCAGGCAGCACATAAAAAACATTTTCAAAAAAAAAATTTTCTAGACTTAATTACTCTTGGTTTATACTTAAACTTGGTATCATAACTAAAAATTAAAAGACAAAAAATGTTTTTAATTATGTCTTATTAAATAATAATAAAATTTAAAACAATAATTATTAAGTCCTACTAACTTATTTATCCACCAAAAATGAACATCTCCATTTCTAGGACTATGTCTGGTTGATCCTTTTTCCAAGCCAGGGGTAAAAACTGTAATGCTTACTGTGCCATCAGTATTTTCACAAGAGCGAACTGTAAAGTAAATTAAATGTTTACATTTACAGGCCACTTATGATTAAATAAGCATTTTAGAGTAACGCTGAACAGATACTGGATAATTTAAAACTGATATTGAAAATCTATAATTTAATTTTAAAATTTAGGAATGAATCCTCAACAAAGTACTGTGTCCAATACTAGAATCTGGTAATTTTTTACTAATTTAACAACACGGCCAACCGGCCCCTGTGTTCTGTCGCCCCAAGGCAAGACCTGTCAAATTTGAAGCGCCTGCGGCGCCGGGAAGTGCCCTATCAGGCACCCAACAACTTAGCTTTATATATTAAAGAGATTAGCAAATTGCATAGATAAACAAAGATTTCAATAAAGTAATTAAGGCCTGAAATACTTTAGTATAGAAATGTATTATTTGAATAGATTCTAGATCTAGGTAGGGTCTACATCTCTAGATCTAGAATCCAAATAGATAAAATAATTTTTTTAAGTTTAGGTCGAGAAAATCGTATTGTATACATTTCATAGCGTACATAGCTCTAAATCATATTTGAATGAAATAGTTCATTTCTTTTTATTCTAAACTCGGAAGATGACGTCATCAGTTTCGTGCTCTTTTTTTAGTGTAAACAATAAGCAACATCATTGTTAAATGCGTTCTTGTCCCAAGTTTAAACACTTTTCCGTTTGCATAAATAAAATTGTTTTTCTACATTCGAATACGCCTTTATTTTTTATTTTTCTTCTTTAAATAAAATTGTGGTTATACATTTAAAACATCTAACATATTATTTTCAACAAAAGTCCGTATAAAGTTCTTCATATATCGCTGCCGTTTCTGATGTGATGTTTTGTGGACAGACAGAGAGAGAGAGAGAGAGAAGTGCGCACAGGGGCTTTTATATATTAGGATGTTTGTGGCAGTGTGCACACTTGAGAAGCATTTCTGGCGACTGCAGACCATTATAATTATTACTAAAAATGGATTAGGCCTAGGTAAGGCCAGGTGGGGGCTTTCTGTCCAGGATTCAAAGGGACGACTTAAAATATCTTCCAATGTTTCAAGTAGCCCCCCCCCCCCCCCCTATCTGTTTTAATTGATATTCTCTCTATTTTTTTTTTTATTTAGTAAAATATTTAGCCTAGTAATATTTTTTATTGGTAATCTATCGTTTTGGGTACGTAAAATCGCCCGCGGCTATTAATGTACGAAAACGTTACCTCATTGTCAAGGCTTTAAGGGGATATGCGCGGAAAAAAAAATCACAAAATTTCTTGTTTTTCCTCAAGATGGGTTTCTTACACTTTTGGATACTTTGTCCATTTTTGTATATAGAAAGTAATAACTTTAAAGAGAAAAAAATATTTTATGTGTTTGAATAACGATTTTTATGACCCTATTAATTAAAAAATAATTTTTCCCAATCTTACAAACTCTCTATGAAAAGTTTTATATGCGTCATCATATTGTATTTGACATCATTGGAAAGCTGGATTTCTTCTGTATTTAATTAACTTAATTTCCTACATCTCGGAAACACCCAAAGCTTACAATCGGCTTTGCAGTTTACACAGATATGGTACTTTCTTGACCTAATTTTTGTTACTTTCGGCTGTTTTTCTCAGTTCGCAGCTTTTTAACACTAAAAAGCCTACTACTTTTTTATTTATTAAACAATGCCAACCATATTTTCAGTAAGTGTTATTGATGCGAAAATACAACTTTTGTCACGAGGGAATTGTGATTGCTTTCATAGAAAAAAAGTATTTGGTAATTAATATGCACATTTTGAAACTTTTGAATACTAAAAAGGGTACGATTTTTTAGACCTTGTAAAATTCTTACTAGTAATTATTTCAAAAAGTTGTCGTGACAAAAGTTTTAATATATACTGAAATATAAGCAGTTTAAATTTGATTGCTATGGATGCATAAATAAAAAAGCCTTAGCATTTTTAAAAGTACCGAAAAATTCAAAATGGCGGAGGTTTTTTGGTTTCCATGACAACCAAAATTGTTTTCGAGCCTTTTTTTTTGCTGTTTAATACTTACTTTTATATGCCAAATATGATTAAAGTATTCAAAAGTCTTTATATCTTAAACTGTAAAAAATAGAAAAAAACATAGCATATCCCCTAGAGAGGTATATGTTTATGTCAAATATTATAGATAAAAGAATAATAAACCTAAATCAATGGCTAAATATATCGATATAGGCCAGAAATTAACTTTAAACAGCAGTGTCTGAGAGCAAGATTTAACAGCAGCCATTTGTAAAATAGAGTGACTTCCCCTTGAATCTCGCGCTAAAAGCTTATAAAAATAAAACTTAAACAATATGGCTGCTATAGTAAATGAGCATGGTTGCATCTGTTGGAAACATCGCTAGTCTTCATTTATTACGGAAAAGTTTTAATTCAATTGTTTAAAAACAGGTGAGGTAGATCTACTCTACATAAATGAAACAAGGAAACATTTTTGTATTTTAAAAAACATAAATCCTCCTCAAAATGTGAAATAACCTGGTTTTCACATTACAAGTAGATTCTACCTTTTTTTTAAATTTAGTTTTAATTTATTATTTAGGCCTACATTTTGGTAAATTACAATTTATATTTATTTACTAATATAATTTCAGGGGAAGCCAATCTAATTCACAGACGGTAGCCCCCCGCCCCCCCTCCTCTTAAGAAGAGATTCTATTTATTTAAATCTAGATCTCGAAAGGTAGATCTAGACTAGAGATCTAGATAAGATTCTATTATTTTAAAAAATCCCACCTCTTGGGTGCCTTTCTTCGCGGTGTATTTGACGACGGCCAATGACGAGGTTAAGCGCAGAAGTTATTGTTGAGCAGGAATCAGATTCAGAGTTCGCATAACCCATGATGACTTCTTATTCCTTATGGTGTTGATATAAAAAATATAAATTGAAACTACATGCCTATTTTTAAAAAGTTAATGAAACTAATTATAACAAGACGGAGGTTTTCAAAATCTAGTCCCCCATATTTTTTGAAGTTCAAGTTAAAAATCGTGTAGAAATTAGATCTAAATTTAGTTTCGCATTTAAATTAAAAACTCAGGCCTTGACTGATTTTTAGGAACGGCCAATGCTTTAACTTTTACTAAAGAAAGCAAATGTTTTATTTTCTCATTTGAAAGATAATTATAATGAATTTTAAACGTTTGTTTTATTTTTCGGTCACTTTTCAGTTAAAAAATTATGAAAGAAAACCTAGATCTAGCAAAAATGTGTTGTGGGGCACAGAGGCGTAGCGACCCTTCCCGGCGCCCGGGAACAAACTTTTCGATTTGCACCCCCCTCAAGATTTCGATGTGCACCCCCTCAACCTTTCAATTTATTTTCCAACCCATTTTGGCGCCCCCTAAGGTCGGCGCCCGGGGACATATGTCCCCCCACCCCCCCCCCCCTCGCTACGTACGCTACTGGTGGGCATGTTGACATCCAGTCAGTGGCGCAAGGTAGGGTGTTACCCGCTGCGGCACCTCATGGTATCAACCCCCCCCCCCCAAGATAATATATATATATATATATATATATATATATATATATATATATATATATATATATATATATATATATATATATATATATGTGTGTGTGTGTGTGTGTGTAAGCCTACATAGGCCTATAACTTAAATACATGCCATATAAACGTAGATCTATGTGTATAAGCATTTGAAAATGTATTTTATATCTTTTATTTTCTTGTTGTAAATTTAGTAAAGCTACGCACTTTTGGTCTGAACTACAAACTATGTTTCTAATGTTTCTAAGATTTGTCCAACGTTTAAATCCGTTAGGAGCTCGACAATCTTTACCTTTTGTTTCGTTCAGACCAGTACATTACTTGTCTATGAAAGTTGCGATTGGTATAACCCCCTTCCATATTCAATAAAATTTGTTTTCCTCTATAAATTTTGAAGTTTGCGTCACACCTTCCCCACATACACACACCTGGGTGATATATTTAAAGTGTTCACAGTTAATAGTAACGATGTTTGTATATAGTCGGCAATTAATACTACATTAAGAATTACCAGCCAACCCAAAACTATTTTCCAATGTTCTAATGAAATCCATGCTATTGAATTGGATAGATACAAAAAAAAATCTATTATGAGAGGATTATTGACCTAAGTGAGCAAATTTAACAACGACGTGTGAAACGTTGTGGATAACAATTAAAAAAACTATACAGAACCAGAATTAATAATTGTCCCCCCCCCCCCCGGGGGAAGAGATGCCTGGAAGAAACTGTGTATGCAATACACGTCTGGAAAGAAAAACTCGGGGGGGGGGGGGGGGAGCTACTAACTGGAATAAAAAAAATCTATTGGAATCCGGTAAAATTGAACCATCAGATATGCCAAAGTTCATACATATAGCACAAGCACATTTTTCCCCCTAAGTTCGATTTATTTAAAGGTTCCAAGTACAGAATCTTCCAAGAAATCTACTGCTGTTGTGACACCCGTTTGTCTGTAACATTGGATTTTTATAAACTGTGGTCTTATTAATGCCCCGACTACTTTTAATAGATTATCGAGGCGGTTTTTATTTTGGGGGGGGGGGGGAATTGGTAAAAGTATATATTTTCTATATAGATTCTGTTTCGTTCGGGGGTGAGGGGGGTGTCGGGGTGCCTGGAAGAAACTCTTCTCTGTAAATATAATAAGAAGTTTATTCTAAACTTCGATGCACTGGTACATCCAAGTACAGAGTTAACTCAAAATAAGGGTGGATTAAATTGAATGGGCTAGCTAATAAATGCGACAATACGTTTTCATATCTTTAGTTGCATTAGAAATTAAATTTAAAAAATTCTCAATACTAAATTCACTTAATGATAATGGGCACTAATTCTACAATATTACACATTTGAAATTGTAGGCCCCTACATATTCCTGGGGCTAAAAAAATAATCGCATTTTATGCTTATTGTTTAAAATAAATTGCCTTAAATATAACTTGTTTTATGATTGGCCTAGATCTATATGCTATTGTGTTGGTTATGTTTGATTCATTATTTCATATGATTGCTCCATTATTAATTTAGAATAATTATGTTATTTAACAATATGTGTTTGAAGGAAAAAGTGATACACATTTGATGTGCCTTTCGGACTTAACCATTAATGTCCCATTCATTCTACCAAAACTCCACCCATGACGGCCCAATGTAAGGAGCATAACTCTGTATGATCAAGTGAATAGTTTCACAAAATATTTGTTTTTGTCTAAATGAAATTGAAAATTAAGATAAAAAGTACTGCTTAATGTTGGGAATAAACCTGGCTTTCCAACAGTATTAAATAGAATATATTATATTCGGTAAAAGTACAGTATAAAAATAAAAAATGTCTGAGAAAATTCAAAACAGGTCATTTTCGGTAGTCAACTTTATTTATTTTTGTCTTAACAACTATGCATCGAATTTAACAGTTAAATATCAATTTGGTTATGTTTAACATATATAATTCATAAAATACATGCCTAGATACGTTTAGAGGCATTAATTTTTTTTATTTTTAATATTAAATCTACTAAAAATACGACAGATGAGTCGAAAATTTCGAGATAGAAAGAAACTATTATTTTTTATCTTTCAAAAGCGCCATTGAAATTACAAGACCGGAAAAGGATGCTGAAACCATCCGACTTCCTGTTTAGTTAAAAATTAGGATTTGTAGGCCAAATTTTAATGAAACAAATTTAATTTTTCTATGCTTATTGTAAGCGGGCGGCAGCGGGCGTTACGGGACATTAACGGTGTCGGGCGGCAGCGGGCGTTACGGGACATTAATGGTTAATATTGTTTAGCTTGGTATATTTAATTATTCTTATTTTCTACAACAGGTAACTCTACTGGCTCAAGAAGAAAGACGCGATTTGTCTCGTTTTGTTGTTGTTTCTATTATATCTTAGCTAATAACATTCGGGGTATATCAGCTATTATTTGGAGGATTCAGCAAAAGGTTATTGATGTATATTCAACAACAAATTAAAGCAGTTAGAATCCCACACAGACTTTGTGTTTAATTAATAAACGTATTCAAGTGTCGACCCATTCTCAAACTCACCTGGCAACAACTATCATTTTTATCTTCAGATTTATAAAATGAATGATCATTTTACTTGTCAATTGGTTATAAATAGTGTCATTTTTTGGCCAGTTTTTAATCACCCTCTCAGCAAAAACAACACCACACTTCAGCTTCCATGATATTTCCTTTTTCATTTTGAAACATTAATTTTTCTTTATACATTACTAATTGCATTATTGCCGTTTGATAAATGGATAAAGTCAGTAAATCCTAGATAAGCTCCTAGTGTTAGCAGTTTCAGTGTTTGCTAACTAGATGGATTTTATTAAAATATCACTATTTGAAATATAAAAAAAAAAAATTAGCCAATCCTGGTGAAGAATGAATAAAGTTTTTACCTTTATCAATTCAATTTAATTCTGCTGAAGACTTTGCTTTTACATTCATTTAGACCTATTACAAACGCTACTTCACCTGAATTCTTTTCTTTAACGTTGGTTGTTCAAAGTGGTTTATGCTAATTTAAGTTCTCTCCCATTTTAGTACATTTTATACAGATCTAATCAGCTGCTCACACACATATAAATACAACAGTACACCAGTTTAAAGAAATGAAGTAATTTATTATTAAAATAATCAATGTGGTCACCATTGTTGGTGCATTTAAAATAAAAATGTTTTTTATCAAAATAAAATAGAGTGAAGAGACTTTCTTACATTAGCCATTTCTTGTTGTTGCTAAAAGAAAATGAAAAAAATAGATTTTGTCATTTTAAAATGCAACTGATAATAAGTTATAACTAAAGTTAAGAAAATTAATAAATCTAATTTTGATGTTATTATTTTTAAATAATAGTAATAGGCAATAAACACTAACATAAAATTAATATATGCAAGTTTTGGCATTGATTATGTAGTGCACATGTCAAATAATATAGTATTTGATAAAGTTACAAAATAATTATATTGCCAAACGTACTGTGTCCATTAATATACGTTTCTGTAACAGTTGCATCTCTTTTTTGAGCTCAGACTGAAGGGATGTCTGTTGGCTTAGCCTTGATCGCTCAAGTTCCTCAAGTCCCTTAAAAAAGTAATGTTTACATTTTCTACTGGATGTTAAAGTAAACTTTCATTGAGATGTCTTAATACAAATATTATACTTACAATATACAGCACAAAAAGAACACTTTGTAAAGTTGATAATCTTTATGGCTTTTTTAAATGAAATATATACTTTATTTTAAAATGGCAGTCTAATGCTTTTTTTTAATATTCACATGTTTCTAACTTTATCACCAGAAAAAAAGGTCAAGTTTAGAAAATATATTAATATTACACAATATGATAAAAGAAAACTTAGATAAGTTATTGAATAAATAAAAAATTCTATTAATTACCCTGACAAATTGTTCACTTAGCTCTCTTATAGTTTTAAGTCTTTGACTTTGAACTATTCTGGACTGTTGGAAAAGCTTTTGCTGTTGTTTGAACAGAGTCTGAAATTTTTTTACAACTGTTAAATGGGATATAGATCTAATTTAAAAAAAAAAGTATTTGTAAACATACCTGCATAAAATGTTTACTTAAGTTATAATTTAGAAAAATGTAAATGTAAATAAATAAGGTATAAAGAAAAATAACATAAATTATAAAGCAGCTATTCATGATTTGAAGGCTATTTGGGTAATAAATGCTTACATTTAATTTTTCTTCTTGTTCTTTTGTTTTTTCTATGTCAGATTCCCACTGTTGGTATACCGAGTTAATCTGTTTACCAAACTCTTCCTGCAATTTGGCTCTGAAAATTAAAAAAAAAAAATGTAAAAAATAAAGCCCTTTAATTTATGATGAACGAAATTGTGACTTCTTTTATAATTAATACATGTTCAATATATTAGTCAAATACCTTTTTAATAAACTTTTGAAAATAAGTATACTAAATAAATAAGTTCATGTTGGGTGTACATTGAAAACTATTGTACAAATAAATTACCTGGCTGTTTGCTGATTCTTCCAAATTTCTTCTACCTTTTTATTTGTATTTTTTAGTGAAGCTTGGGTCAACTGTTCCATCCTCTTCTTCTTGTGACTTAGTGTCTTAGAAATGTCAGCTATGTTCATTACAAGTAAAGAGAAAAAAAAAGAATTACTCACAGAAGAATTAAAAAATAAGTTGAATGTATTTTTTTCTATGTATATATTTGTTATAACCTTAGTTAATAACATTATAAATAGAACAAAGAAATATAATAATAACACATGTTACCTCCAAATCCTTCAAGCATTTTCTGCATTTCATTGCTAAATTTTGAAAATAAAAATTTAGAAATTAAAACGTTTAACATCTAGCAGTGAAGTGGAAAATCATTATGAAAAATTATTATCTTTTTAAAAGATGTTAATGTAGGAGTAGGAGTAATTTTTTTAAAACCTGTTATTTAAAGTTTATATTATTTAAAAGCAAATTGGAGTAACCAATGATATTTACATTTTAAAACAAATATTTTTATTTAATAGACATTAAATTATCAAGTGTGCTGATTAGGAGAAAATAAGGCCTGTATTACATAGAAATTCTAAACTAATAATACGGCAAGTATTGTAAGTAAAAAAAAAACACCTGAAATCTGCTGGATCATAATCCATATCTGCTATTCTCTTTTTTGCAGGAGCACTATTTACTTCAATTAGTGTTTCATTATCTAAAAAGAATGAATAAAACAGGAATAATAGCAAACTCCAAAATTAAGCAAACATTAAAAAGATGAGTTAAATGTAGTAGGTTGTGTATAGATTTAGCTGGGGGGAAATTGGTGGTGGTTTGAGGATGGGGAAGGAGAAATGAGATACAGTGGTACCTTGACATAGTGCCCTAACATATGGTATTTTTTAAATACGAGCAGCCTAGTGAGCAAAATTTTGTTTGAAATTCAAGCCAAATTTGAGATATAAGTAACTGGATTAGAAGCTTTAGGGGTCATCCATAAATGATGTCACGCTTTTTTGGATGATTTTTACCTCCCCCTCCCCTCCATCACACGTTGTCACAAAAAGCCAGACCCTCCCCCTAAAATGACGTCACACCTCAGCCGACAACCCCCCTCAAAATTGATGTTGAATTTTTCTTAAAACATCGATACTTTTTATAAAATCTTGTCAGAACTCTGTCAACATTGAGTATTTTGATCAATTCCTATTACAATTTATTAAAACTGTTTTCTAAAACACGAAATAATGCCTAAAACTCGTTTTCTAACATTTTATTTATAATGCAAAAAAGTGACGTCACACCATCTGAACCCCCCTCCCCCTCATCACACACAGTCACAAAATTACGGACCCCCCCTACGAGTGTGACGTCATTTATGGTCGACCCCTTAACAGTTTGTGGAAAAGAAACACCTTGAAAAAGTTGCAACTGATTGTGAATCTGAGCTATTTAATGACACTTGCGTAATTAATTACTGAAAATTCTGAACGGGAGTAAAAAACAAACCTCCTTGGAGTAGTTTATTTTAAGATCTGAGTGGAAAGTGAGGAAAGCGTGACAAAAAAGAAAAGACCTGCGAATAGAAAAGCAGTGATGAAATTAAGCGAAAGTAATAAAATATTTTATAGTAAAATTTAGGTTCAATTATGTTTTGAAAAGTTTAGTTCTGTTACATTTAAGGTTAGAGTGTAGCATTAAGAGTGTAACAAGTAAGTGAATTGAAGTGGCTAAAAGTGTTTAGCATTAACAGCATGAACATCTTACATAAGCTTAAGATGGCTGGTTTCAAGGTGATTTCACTTTATAAAAACATTTGCATTTTCTTATATTATGTTATTAAACAATATTTGTCATGTATAAATACAATTTTCTTACTTAAAAAAACACAAAACAATAGCAACTGAGGTGGCATTTTAGGGGCTGGAATAGATTCATGACATTTTATAGCATTTATTCTACAAATATAAGATTTCTAAATTAATTTTAGGCTTTTTTTTACGATCTAAATCTAAAACAGCACGTTTTTATTCCATGTCAACAACATTATGGAAGGATTCTCGTCAACTCGCTTTTGTCCATTAACACATGCTTTCTTGAGGTGTGGTACATTGCATGTATAATATTGTATAAATACAATTTTCTTACTTAAAAAAACACATAACAAAAACAACTGAGGTGGCATTTTAGGGGCTGGAATGGATTCATGACATTTCAATTAATTTCAATGGAGAAAATTGCTTTGACATATGAGGAATTCAACATATGAGCAAAGTTTCAGAACATGTTAAACTCGTATTTTGAGGTACCACTGTAAATAGAAAAAGGATGAGAATGTCAGGGGGTTAGAGACGTTGTATAGGTATTTTTGTGTGGTTTTTAGCTGAATGGCATTATTAAATTAAAATCATGAGTCGTTATAAATATTATAAACTAAAGCTTATGGCGAAATTAATGTCTCTAATTACTAGTTTAGACTAAACTAGATACTAGATTATTACACCCTGAGAAGAGAGAACGTCAAAATTGCAAGGCAATCGATGTCAGGAATCACCAGGGGAAAAGTGGGATAATTAAAATTAAACCCATACAAAATCTTTGAGAATGACTATGGTTAGGAAAGCAACAAGGGCTGTGGGAGCTTACATACTACATAGTATTATTATTATAGTAACATACATGGGCTCATTTAGTAGATAAAAGATTATAGATTCTAGGTCTAGATTTTCTAGATCTAAATCTAGAAAATAATAATAATATTAATAATATAAAGATTAAAGAAATAAGAAAGAGTAGAAAGACTAACACTTTTTAATTTTTTTACTAACCAGAGCTGCGTGAAACAGAGCAGGTAGATTTAGATCTAAATCTAGACTAGATCTAGCTGAAGCTTAAGGGGGCTTACAGGATTAAGATCTGATTAAATTTTGTTAGATCTAGCTCTAGCATCTAGAAAATCTAGATTTAGATCTATACTCATCTCAAATTATTACCTTTTCCTTTTGGTACGGTGCAAGGCGGTCTTTGAGGACTTTCCTCATCGCTTGGGAGATGGTAATCTTCATCATCATCTCCTTTAAATTTTTGTATTCTACTTAAAACTGCCTGATTTTCTTCCGTCTTCTTTGCTCTAGGCATAATTGAATATTGTTATTCAGTTTAATGAATAATATAGATCTATGTCGCTAAACTTATAACTGTTATCAATTTAGTAGATAGATCAACTTGAAAGCGCTAGAGCTTTGCAAAAATTAGCAGACGATACATTTTTATCAAGGGCGGCTACTTCTAAATACTAAATAGACCTACCGGAAATTAAAAAGAAATTATCGTTCTTGTTGGCATGTTTAGAAATGGCCGCTTCGGTAACTGCTGAAAAGGCGAACCAGATTATTGATGACCAAACTCTAGCGGAAGATGTAAGTTAAAAATAAAATGAAATGTTGAAGAAAAGTGTTCTGAATAGATTGTTGAAATATGTGTCCGATCTAATCAGTTTGGGCTTGTAATTTGGTGTTTAATTACCTTCAGAAGGAATGAGTCTGGTCAGTCTGGATAAATACTAGCTTTTCTTACTAAATCTAGAATTTACCCAAATTTCAAATTAAACATGACTACTGAATGATAGACATCCATATTTAATCCATTAGGGACTAATTTTGAAGTTTTTAGTTCGTTTTAAACTAAATTACTTAATTTAATATTTATTGACACTCACTGCCATGGACAACACATCTCTCCATGACAACTCTTCTTACCCCTGAAGGCACTTGAAGCTAAAGAGAACCACAAATGCGGTTAGACTTTTTAAGTGGCCATGTACCCAGAGTTCCCCACTAGTGATCATCAAATAGAGGTCACGTGGTCAAAAAAATAAAAAAAATTTGGTTGTCATTTTTTGGCCACTCTTATTAAAAAAAGGGTTGAAGATATTTGATTTATTTTTTCATATAATGATAAAACTAATAATGCTTTACTAGGGAAATCAATTTTGTGATAGGGAGATCTATATTTAAAAAGTTATATTATTTTGAATGACCCCATTTTTAAATTTAGCCTACATTCCCCAAAGCAATTTCTGAAAATGCTTTTCTGGCATATTTAGCCTTGCCACCTATAGCATGTTTTTATAACGTGAAAACCCGCCATTTTACTCGTGATAAACATTTTTAAAAGTAATTCTAAGAAGGTCTCTGGAACTAAGTCGAAAAACTCGCCGGAAGTCATGGTCCGATCCTTACGCCATGTTCTGGTTAGCAACCAAGGACGCGTTTAAGTTAGTGAGCCTCCCTAATAAATACGCATGCGCAATGGAGAGAAACTACGACTTAGCGGCGATGTTTTCGATGGTACTGCGCATGCGTGTGTTTACAACCGCAGAACCCTAATACCAACCCTAATCCTATCCTTAACCCTATCCCTAATCCCATCCCTAACCCTAACCCTAGCCTAATCCTATCCCTAATCCTATCCCTAACCCTAACCCTAATCCTACCCCTCATTCTAGCCCTAACCCTAGGTCACTGCGCATGCGCAGAACTATCTTTTGCCGAAAAATCTTATTCCGAGTAGACACTTCGTAAAAAAAAAGTTGGGTAATCTATCGTTTTGGGTACGTAAAATCGCCCGCGGCTATTAATGTACGAAAACATTACCTCATTGTTAAGGCTTTAAAAGAAGTATATTGTCATATGTTTGTGTCAAATATTATAGATAAATTAATAATAAACCTAAATCAATTGCTAAATATATCGATATAGGCCAGAAATTAACTTTAAACAGCAGTGTCTGAGAGCAAGATTTGCTATATAAACAGCAGCCATTTGTAAAATAGAGTGGCTTCCGCCTGAATCTCGTGCTATAAGCTTAAAAAAATAAAATTTAAACAAGATGGCTGCTATAGTAAATAAGCATGGTTGCATCTGTTGGAAATCGCTAGTCTTCATTTATTACGGAAAAGCTTTAATTCAATTGTTTAAAAACAGGTACATAAATGAAACAAGGAAACATGTTTGTATTTTAAAAAACATAAATCTTCCTCAAAATGTGAAATAATTATTGAAATTTAAGGAGTCACCTGTTTTTCACATTACAAGTTGTGGGCGATTTTATGTACCTAAAACGATAGATTACCAAAAGTTGTAGCCTAGTAAAAGCTAATATATTAATATAATACATAAGTATAAAAGTACGGGGGAAAAAAAACAACTGCCAATACACTCAATACACGGATAGGTATGTTGATGGAAATAACAAAATTATGGGTTTACTCTTGTTTGCTTTTAAATTTAAGTAATAATGTGCTGTAGGCCTAATATTACTAATAATAATAAAAATTTGAATATTAACAGTGTGATTCACTGTGATAAACAGTTAATTAAACACTTAGTTAATTAAACACAATGGACGCAAGCGAGAAAAGTCTCAAAGGTATTTGAGAGGCCCATTAATTAATTTAAAAAATCATGCACGGCATAGTTACAATTAATGTGGTTATAAAATCCTGTCTGTCTAGTTTTTTCCGGACTTTACTGAAGATTGGATGTATTTGATGTTTTTAATATTTTCGGTAACTAAATAAAAAAAAAAAGCAAAAACAATTTGGTTTTCACATGTAATGGCGACATAAACAATGGCATCCTGCTATTCGGTAGGCTGCCATAAATTTTATTGTACACATTGTAAGCTAAAAACAGAAAAACTAGGTCATGGGGTTTAAATTTGCATTATTATTTAAAAACTTGATCTGCAAAGTTTTGTAAACAAATAATTATTGATCACAGAGTTCCTGTACAGCCAATCAATATGTGTCTTACGAAAGTGAAACATCCGGTTATAACATAGTAAAAAGTAAAGTTTCCCTTTCAAACCTGACAGTCTATGGGGCAAGTGAAGTAGAGTTCACTTGTTTCTGTGACCTCGGCATATGAAGAGATAGTGTGGTCAGCACTATGCCCAGCCGCCTTTACTTTCCCCAACGTGAGTTAGGTACCCATCAGAGTTGGGTGGACTCAGGGACGGTCTACTGGCTTGAACCCGGATTCGAACTCGAGACTTACGGGTTAGCAGTCCAGCTGTCTACCGCTAGACCACTCCGTCCCATAGGTTATAACTTAGGCTAGATGAAAATAAATAGAAATGTAGCCTTAAACTCAACAAATTATTTTCAAGTTCTCTGGATTTGCAACTTTTATAGAATTTATTCTATAATTATAAAATTTCTAAATTAATTTTAGGCTTTTTTTTTTTACGGTCTAAATCTAAAAAAGCACGTTTTTATTCCATGTCAAGAACATTATGGAAGGATTCTCGTCAACTCGCTCTTGTCCATTAACACATGCTTTCTTGAGGAGGTGTGGCACATTGCAATTTGAACTTGATATTTTTGTGTTTATGACAAAAATTTGTACACAATTAGAATGCCATGCTTTTTAAAGTGACAGAAGTGACCAAATTACAAAAACTGCAATCTAAGTAATATTAATAATACTTTCTTTAAAAAAAATAAAGTAATCATCAATGGGGAATGTGTGATGGATTCTATTTTTAGGTATGACATAAAATACAGCCATAAATGCAGCTAAATGGTTTTGCATACATTTTCCTGGGCCTCATTTTCAGCAATAAAGATTATAATAAAATGGCATTATTGATGGGTGATATCAGGTCACTTAATGACAGAAAATAATTACCAGATGTTTGCCGTGTGTATATATTAAAATTAAGGCTTTCTAGTATATGATTCACATATGCTGGTTTCAAATCAGAGAGGTATTCAAGAGTTATTCGTTTTGAAAGACAAGAATACATAGAGCTACTTTCACTTAAGTACTGCTTGCTAGAGAAACAACAAAACGACATCAAAATACATCCAACAATTCTTCATTAACAAACTTTAGATAAAAAAATTACTAATGAACCTGGAAGTTGTGAGTTGAATGATGGTGCTGGTTCCCACCCTAAAGAGATGCTTGAAAGAAATGCTGGCTACTACCCTAAAACAACAGATGGTTTTCTACTCTGCTGACTAGCAATTAGCTACTGATTTGATGAATTCATAGGGAGACTTAAACCTAAATACATATTTCAGCATATATATATTTTTAACAGCTGGTAAAACCAAACCGGAGTAGTAACAAGCATTGATTGATTTAGACTAAAATGTACATTTAGGTCTTCAATTTCATTATAGTTTTTAAGATAGCTTTTGCATGGCATTCTTCATTTCATCTCTTCCTCGTTTTTAATGCTGGTTTGTAGTAATAAAATTTCTCTCACATTAACTGATTTTGAAATTATATTTGTTTCAACATATTTTGTATGTTAAACAGGATCTTATTGCTGAGTTAGAAAAAGAAGAAATACCTTCCTACATTCGAGAGGCAAGGCTACAGTCCCTTAAACAACAAACTCATGAGTTTCAAGAACTCCGAAAACTCTCTTTTGGAGAATATACGTATGTATAAAGACACATTTTAACATTATAATACATTTTCAAATATCTTTTTCAAACAATTTAATCAATACATCATAAAAGTTATGTTAAAGCTTTAAAGTACAGTTTTGAGCATTTTAAACTTATTTTTTATTCATAAGAAAAAACATATATGCATTTAAAAATTACTGATATTGATGCATTGATTTTAATTTTCTGTTTGATTAAAAAAGTAAGTTAGCAACTATCTCCACAGGCTTATCCCAGATGAAAAAAGTTTTCTTGATCTGACAACATCCACATCTGTAGAGAATTGCATTGTGCATTTTTTTCACCCTGATTTTCGGCGATGTGCAATCGTAGATTCACATTTCGAGGTGATTCAAAGTTTCACTCTGCTCAATAAAAAAAATATAAAGAATAGCTGTTGCATATTTAAATAATTAACTATTTGAATGATGCAAATATTATTTATAAAGTTATCAAATTATACTTATCAATATTTTAAAAATTAAATCACAGTATCCTAAGCTTTTTCTTAAAAATTGAAGCAAAATTATTATTTCCTCAGATACTTTGCAAAAAATATTTCAAAACAAAATTTGCTAAGCTGAATGTTGAAAAATCAAATTTTTTGATCACAAAACTGAAGATACAAATGCTTCCAGCAATTTTATGTTTCAAGAAAAGCCTTGTTGTTGACAGGTATTGATATATAAATTTCTACTTTTCCAGCTTATACATTTTCTTAAAATAAATTATGCAAGTCTTAAGAGTAGCCTGTATAGAAAGCTAATTTGGTTTTTGGCAGAAAATTCATTAAAAAAAGACCAACAATTTTATTATCATGTTTTATATTCTTAAAATAGGTATGAATACCACTATGAAATTTAAAATTTATAAATTGTTATAAATATTTCAGGATCATTGGGTTTGAAGAACTTGGTAACACTGATGATTTCCCACTTGTGATATTGGAACGGAGACTTGCCAGATCAGGTAAGACTTGCCAGATAAGGTAACATGTTTCTACATAGTGGCTTGTTGCAAATTTTAAAAAATCTGGCAATTAGTTCTATTAGATTTATGTGTTTCAAGGATTTTTATTCTTTTGTTAATTGTTTTTTTCATCTAAACAAAGTTGAGACTATTAATAAAATGGAAGTTGCAATACACATCTTTGTGAATTCATATTTTTATGAAAATGATTTTCACACAGGTGTTATTCAGCTCCCTGAAGGTGAAGATCCATCAAAGAAATCAATTTTTGGTGCAAAAAAAACAATCAGAGAGAGAGACAATGATAGCAGTGAAGAAGATGATTAACTCTAATCAAAGATCTGTTAAAAGTGAACATAGCATTTAAAAATCTTATTCTGAAATTAATCTGAAAGGATTTTAGAAGTATGATTATATGACATTGATGAAATAATTAATATTTACTTACATTTAAATCATTTTTAAATTATTTAATTACAGTAATTTTGTTCTGAAATAAATACACCTTTGTTTTATATCTTGCTCTTTTTCCATTATTTTTTAAATCATTTCAGATTTCTATTAGTTTATAAGTTATAAAGCCTGGTAATAATTTCCAACTGTAATGATTTTATCATTAATGAAAGTTGGCAAGTTTAAAACAGATTTTTATAAATGTACTTCCTTACAATCTGGTTCATTATTCTCAATATGTCCTTTGAAAATATTCAAGTACATCCTGCTTCAACATAGGAGAGAAAACAAACAACTTATGAATTGATTTGAAATATTAATATAGAAAATAAAGTGAAGGGAAATATTTATTGTATGTCTTTAAATTAGTTTTTTTGTTACCATAGAAAATGTAATCACAATATATTTAGTCTCAGAAATGTTGTGCTAAGTAAAGGAAATGGAATAAAAAATATGTGCCTAATTGGTTTGGCCACATACTGAAAGAGCTAAATAGTAAAGACACTGCAGTGTGATGGACTACAGGGGAAAAGTAAATAAGTTAAAAAAATGCTACCAAGTGTAGAGAAAGAGTCAAGAGTAGAGTGGACTGGTATTCAAGTAATCAAAGTTGTAGTGAAGGATAGGAAAGATGGTAGTTGCACTGTCAGTCCTGGATGTCAAGAAAACAAGCTTTTTACTTTAAAAAAAAAACAAAGCTTGACAAGTTACTTTACTTATATTAAGTTATATTTGAAGTTATGATATTTGACCTTTTTAGGCTCTTAAAGTCTATTCTATTTATTCTATTTTGTCCTTTAAGGGCTTTAGAATGATATGGACACATAGATTTATCATTAAGAAAACATCTGTTCTAATGATATCAGTTCAGTCCAGATGCGTAGCGAGGGGTGACACCAAGGCAAAAAATAGCAAAATATATAGAGAAAAATGGTAATTCCACTTAATTAAGTGATTAATTCAAGTGTTAAATTGCCAAATCAAAAGTTTGAGAGGGGGGGGGGGGTGTAAATAAAAAATCGAAAGTTTGTCGCTACGCCTCTGGGGAGTGACACCATTAAGTGCCGCACCGGGTGACACCCGACCTCGCTACAGCACTGGTTCAGTCATCCCTCAGTTATAAAGGTTTATAGAGACCAGATATGGCTGCTATGAGTGAAAAACCTCTAAGTCGTGTTACCCTCTCATTTTTAACATGTTCCATTTGTATATGTATAATATCAATCAGTGTTTATGAAACCATATAAGTGCATATGTTTTCATTTGAACATTAAAGAATAGTTTCAAACATGTAAATAAAATATTAACAGGTTCAATAACATAATGTATAAGTATAAATAATATAAATATGATATGTTTTTGTGTAACATACATACATGTAACTAATGTATATATACTGTAAATATGTTTTTAGAACTCTATTATTCTTATAACATCTTATAAACAAGAAACGAAACACATATCTGACATAAGCTTCTCTTCGCTCGATTTTTATTAATGTCTATGAAATACCTATGCAGTACTTTGGAGAAGATAATTTACATGTCAGGTGCTTTGAGAAGAGACAAGGGGCATGCTGGCAACTTACACGCCATAGTTCCTCAATTTTGAATTTTTAATGAATATTTTTTTAAGGAATATTTTTTTAATGAATATTTTTGAACAATCAGCGATGTATTGAGGCTGCAATAAATGAACCATGAAGTAACAAGGGACTAGTAAAAAAGTAAAGTTTCCTTTTCAAACTCGATGGTCTAAAGGCAAGTGAAGTAGAGTTCACTTGTTTCTGTGACCTCGGCATATGACAAAATAGTGTGGTCAGCACTATGCCCAGCCACCTTTACTTTCCCTAATATGAGTTAGGTACCCATCAGAGTTGGGTGGATTCAGGAACGGTCTACTGACTTGAACCCGGAGTTGAGCTCAAGACTTACGGGTTAGCAGTCCAGCTCTCTACTGCTAGACCACTCCGTCCCCAAGGGTAACTGTATAAAAATTGATCTCACAAGCACGACAAACAGCTGAAACTGAAATTTTCAACACAAGCAGCAATTACAAATTTTTAATGTTTATTTTGGTGCAAAAGCTATCAAGACCTAACACAGTAACAGCAAATAATAATTGACAGAAAAATTTGTTTTCTAACAAAAATTAAATAAAAAAAATACATCTAATCTTGTCAATCAAGCCTATGTAAACATGATATGAGTACCATTTTCCCAACAGAAATTACATTTTCATAGACATTTAATGTATTTAATACATCCACTTCCAAAAACAATCAATTCCAGGAAGTTTGAATATAATAATATTATTAATATAACTAAATTTATAAATATCAAATAAAGAAATTATAATTAAAAAATGGATCGAAATAAAAATAGTTCTGAAAAAATTATTTGTTATAATTTATAACATCAAAAGGCACTAAAATTGTTTTGATACTTATTATACTGTCTTTATATATAAATTATTTAATGTTACAACAAGAAGTATTAAAGCTTTGTGTATAATGTGAAATATTAAGCAGATGGCTGAATACTTTTATTAAGGAAAGAATTATATCTTTAAGGTACAAAATAATGAAGGGTAATCCATAAATGACAACTTTCTATCCTCACAGAAACCCAGATTGTCTCCCATCCCTCCCCAAAAAAATTTTAGAAAAAAAAATCCTAAAACCCTCCTATAATCATTATATTAAAAAACTTTACTTTAAAGAAATAGATTAAAGAAATTGTGTGATACATTTTATGTCTTAACACTCAACACTATCAGAATCCACCAGATGCTGGATATTTATGGTCAGCCCCTTACACAATAATATTCCATACTGCCTAGCCATTTATAAAGATTATACATACAGTTCTTAATACTTTATTAATGTTTTATAGCATTTATAAATATGATAGTAAATAACGTTTTTAAAAATGTATAGAAACATTTAGATATTATTCTTGAAAGTTAAAGCATTTGAATACTAGATATCACAGTCAAAATAATACAATCTTGTATAACAATACTTAGAATGTCAAGGAGATCACCCATGAAAAGCTTTGATTATAAAATATACATATATGTAAAATATGGAAACAGCTACAACATAATTAAAATAAAAACAAATAATTTATTAAAATACTAGTATATTTGTCAGTGTAATATATTCAATCTTAAAAATAAATTTTTTGAGAGTCAGAAAAAGCCATCTATTGATTTTAAAGGTAACTTATTATAAAGCAATATGCCTTCAGGTACATAAATTATTTTATTTTTATAACAAAAAATGTTAGATTCATATGTAAATTGAATTTGCTGAATAAAATAAATATTTATAATAAAATCAATGTATACTAGACATTTCAAAATTTACTACAACAAAAGCGGTGTGTGTGGCATAGGGGGAATAAATTGTAGTTGGTGCTGAGAGCGGATTTGTTCTAATCCTGTAGCAAATCTGTTGTGTGGTCTCATAAAGGGACTTGGGGCATCAGATAAGCTAGTCTGAGGATATGAACAAAAATAAAACTTTAAGAACACAGAAATTTTTTAAAAATTGTATGTGCAAAGAATATTAACCTACTATTTACAAAAAAATGATTTTGAAAAAGAAAAAGTTACTGTTCTACGCCAATAGTACAAGTTATTTCTATTAGAAACTTAAGAAACTGATATTTTTAAACTCAATTTTAAAAATACTGACATTGTTAATCTTTAAAAAAAAATATATCAGTTAAATAAATATGTTGAGTTTCAAGTTAATAAATTTATTCATTTAGTTTTTGAGTTAATTATACAATATAAGAATAGATTATAATGATAAGGTATACATAAAGTTGTAAGAATAATATATAAATAGGACATTTGACATAAGGTAACATCAAATCACTCAGAAAGACTATAAGCTATGAATTTAATATTGCAAGACTAATCTAGCACACACCTATGCTGCGAAATGAATCAAGGATCTGGGGCGTTCTCTTGAATCATCTATTAACTGCTCTTGTAGGGGAGATAAATATGAGGGAGGTACCAAACGTATTGTGCCAGCCTAGAAGAAAATAGTTCCAGTTAAAATATTTGTAACTCTTGTGTAATTTTATGAGTTCTTTAGAGTATGATTAAATATAAACTTTCTTCAGTAACTGTTTTATTGGACTGTATAAAATAATATCTAATTTTTGCAAAATGTAAAAGTTTTAAGTCTTTTAACAGCAGACAATGAGCTTATATGTTTAACAGAGCAAACACCCTAGACGTGTAGAAGCAAGGTAGTACATTTTTATTGTTTATAGGCCTACTTAGGAATTTTAAGGAATTTAATGAGGTTATAATTTAAAAGCTAGTGCAGTAAATATAAATCATAATTAACAAAATAAAATATGGTTTAAAAAAGAATTTTTTTTTTTGCCATGAACAGATAATCCCTTTCATATGATTATGGATTATTAAAATTCTAACAATTATTTTAAGATTGTTAATATACTTAAAACTGATGTTTGAGAATTTAAATATGGTTAAAGGGTTAAACATATTAAGTTATTAATTTATATGTAAGCTTGAGTTGAAACAAAACCTAAGAAAAAAAATTGACAAGAATTAGGGCCTAATAGCCAATTTATTATTTAATTAAAGTATTTGAGTTTTAAAATCACTATGATAAATTTCTACACAACAGTAAAGGTTTGACAAAATACCTAAACAGCTTTTTGATTTAAGTTTATAGATTTTATTTATTGGAAAAAATATTATTTAGTAAGTATAACATTTATGTTAAGCATATTTAAAAAAAAATATTTCTTTTTGTAAATATATGTTAATTAAGATGACTCTAAATGTTTGCTAATGGTGTACATTTCACAAACAATTCAGTATAGGATATTTAAAAAATCACAAAAAAGGTTTGAAAAAATAATACTTATATATTGAAAAGTTTAAATGATTTAATTATGAATAGCTATGGATATATTATATTAATCTAACTACAAATCATAGGGCATTGTATATTTGCCTAAAATGTCTATTTGTAAAATGTACACATTTATAAATTATAAAAGATGTGAGCTAAATCTAACAAAATCTAAATCATGTAGGAAGGAAAACGGAAAAACGATAATGTGCAATTAAGGATTGTTAATAAAAAAAAAACAACTTCAGCTCACTGATTTATTAGCTAAGGTTCCATTTCCTCGTATAGTTGGTGGATGCTGCCCTTGGTTACCTCCCATCATTCTTAAAGGGGCGCTACCCATTCTTTGAGCAGGTGCTCCACAAAATGGCTGGCCTAATAAAATGTATAATGTTCTCATTTATAAAAAAAAAATCAGTTTGGACTAAGCCAAATTTAAACATATAATAAAACACATTCTAATATTTTTTAACAGAGTTAATTTTTCTAAGGTCAATGTTTTCCAGTGAAAGTGCTCCACTACAGTGAGTGACATAATTGCTTAATTTTGTGAAACAGCAAAGTGTCTTAAAAATGCTGAAGGGAGATTATTTTGAGACCTGTAGCTGCAATCCATACGATCCACAACATACAAACTTTGTGGAAAAGATTTTAATGCTCTTTACCTTTCTGAAACAGTATGCAATTGTTAGTAAAATACAACGTCTAAATGAGGATATCTAGACTATTTAGTAACATTTCTTTGTTACAAACTTCACATATTATTGCTTTCTTGTTTGTTGGGGCTATACATTAAAATGTTTAGTTAATCTTTTTAGATGACAAAAAAGACAAATTAATTTTGTTTTGATCATAGAATAGATAGTAAAAACCTGTCTGGGGCTATGCCAATCATTATTACACAAACCTGGGATCGGGTCAGGTCGACATGACTGGGCCCTAGACTGACGGCTGATGGTGCTGTTGTCGTTGCCAAAGTAGACTGGACGCTCCACTCCTGTATGAGGGTGGACGTATGCTTTTGGCTGGTGGCCATGTGGATGCTTTGAAGCAGACAGGGTGGGTGGTTGTTGTTTTTCTCTATCAAATAAAAAAAATAATTTAACAGTAAAATACTTCTGTAAGTTTTTTCACAAATAAAAGAGTTATTCTACTTTTATTCTCAGCAGTAACATATTTTTGTATTTAAACAAAATTAAAATTAGTAGATTAAATAAGTAAATACATTAGTGTTAAAGATAAAATTACTATTAAATATAAAATTTCACAGGCCATCAAAGTAATAAATTAATGTGCTTGTCCAGTGTCCTATACCAGATTAGTTATTGGGTGAATTTTGATATATTTCCATATATATATATATATATATATATATATATATATATATATATATATATATATATATATATATATATATATATATATTATATATATATATATGTCTGTATGTATGTATGTATGTATGTATATTCATACACATATAGAAATTATAAGTATAAATAGGCCTGCATTTCAATTCTATAAGTTTTTTGAAATTTTTTTTTAAAGCAGTCCCAATATGACATTGAAAAGTTAACATAAGAGTCCTGTAAGGTTGGGGGTCATGGGAGGGGAAAGGGTGAGGTTAGGACCCCTCCTCCCAACTCTACCCTGGTTACGTCACTGAGTCTGTTATTATTTGTATTTACCTCCTCAAGTACACTGGCTGCTCATGCTTAATGCCAATGATGTCCGTATTGTATTCAGTCAAACTGTCTTCATCGTCCCTGGGTTCAGTTTCTTCTTTCTTGTTGGTTTTGACTGGAAAATATTCAAACAGTTTAGAATTTCTGTTTCAAAAAGATTTGGTAATAAAAGTAAACAAAGATGTTAGCATGAATCCGCTTTAGGATTCACCTCTTTTGCATTAATTAATTCACAGTAAACCAATGATTAAGCTTAGTTTTTCTATCCCAAAAATGTTTGTCGTATGTCAGTTTGTGGGATTTAAAAGCAAAGGAAGTTTTAATAATAAAAAATTGCAACACAGTTGAACTTTGATCTGGTTAAAATGGATTTTAAAATATTTTTCTTTATCAATCAGATTTTTATGAAGCTAAAAGCATATCCCATTACAAGATAAACATTTATTTAATTTAACGTAGAATAAATAACATTTCTTGAACAACAGAAATTTTAGATCAACAAAATCTACCACGTCATACAAAAAAAAATAAAGCCCAACTTTTCATGAAGTTAAATATTTCAATACATCTTCCTAAATGTATTGAAAACATATAAATCATTATTTATGTGAGAAAATGCACTTTCAAATCTATAAAATTGTAGGTGCTATTATATTTAAACAATGGTATCTTAGGTATTGCTAGGTATGTACATTTCAGATCAACAAATTTTAGGTGCTATTATATTTAAACAATGGTATCTTAGGTATTGCAAGGGTATGTACATTTCAGATCAACAAATTTTAGGTGCTATTATATTTAAACAATGGTATCTTAGGTATTGCAAGGGTATGAGAGTATGTGTGCTGTGGAATGATTTATATTAATAAAAGATTGTGGCTGTGTGATGAGGCACGTAAGGATGTGACGTGTATGTAGCTAGTGCAATAAACTATGGATTAAAACCATCTGGCCCTGTTCAGTCATTCATATCAGATCATCATTATTGATAAATCCACATTGTCATATAAGGTTGACCCAGTCCTAAACTCGCATCGCAGCAATGCTCCCAACTTACATTCAGTATCATTCCTGCTCACAGGCTTCTCCTCAAACGCGTCTTTCTTCACCCTGTGTGCAGCCGTAGACCAAGCAACAGCCTGAAAATAAGTACTGGCTGTCAATATATGTCAAAGCTATATTAATTACTAGGGGACGGAGTGGTCTAGCGGCAGAGAGCTGGACTGTTAACACGTAAGTCTTGCCATCAAATCCGGGTTCAAGTCAGTAGACTGTCCCTGAGTCCACTCAACTCTGATGGGTACCTAACTCAGGGAAAGTAAACTTGGCTGGGCATAGTGCTGACCACACTATCTCTTCATGTGCAGAGGTCACAGAAACAAGTGAACTCTACTTCACTTGCCCTATAGACCGTCAGGTTTGAAAAGGGAACTTTACTTTTACTTTTATATCAATTAAAATAAAAATGGGTCTATTACAGTAATTTAAGTTCGTAAACAGAATGTTAATAGCAGGTAATTATGTTGTTGATGTAAAAGTGTCAGATTTAAAGGAAATGACACCTAAAAATTAATAAATTTGACTCATTTAGACGTGATTATAATAGATTGATTTCTCTTCATCCATTTCTATTACAAATTTTACTACACAAAAGCTTTTAATTAATATTGGAGCTTTTTTTAAACACTTATGATAATAAAGTGTGTACCATTGTTTAAACATAATGTCCACTTCATTGTCTATGCTCTTCATTTTCAATGCTTACCTGGCCATTTGGCCTGCATAATATGGTTGTGCATTCTGGCCCAGAGCCCCATTTCTGATGTTCTTTCCAGTAGAAGTCTGTTGGTGGGTTGTTCAGTCTGGGGTCATTGACCCCAGCCCAGACTGTGATAGTGGAGTCTGGCATGAATTTAGTGCGAGGGGGGAACCGGAACACAGCAACTGGATGACCCCCAACATTTTGCTGGATCATGTAGCCTCCGAATTCAAATTCCTAAGGTCAAGGATGTTTTGAGTTAATGAAAATTCTACTTTTTAAGTTTTCAAAAAAATGAATCGAATCTTTGTAAATATTTTAACCTTTTTTTTAACATGTAACATTTTAAAATTAATAAACAACATTATTAATAGATAGTTTTACTAGAATATAGAAAATATCACATTATATGATGATAGAGTGAACATTATGTGTTGTCTTTCAGTTTTTAAATTAAATACTTTCTTAATTTTTGGATAAAGTAAATGGTATGAGATTTTTTTTACAGGCTGATTAATGTAATATTTTTAGAATTTTTAGGTTTGCTAAGTCTAACTGATGTAATATTTTTTGGAATAACATACAGTTGGTCCATCATTTACAAGCCGCACATATTTCCCATCTTGGTTCACTTCAAGGACTTTCAGATCACCAATAGCACTGTTCAAAGGATAAATTAGTGATTTGAAGATTGGAATGGCCAATAGCATTGAAATTAACAACAGTTTAGGGCACTAAATTTTAAATGTATTTACCGTATCATATGCTCCAAGTGATGTATTGTTGCAATAACAACACAACACAATTTGGTTTTAGGAAGTGAATGAAAAAATAGTTATCAAAATATCTAGAAAAAATTAAGATGATGTAAATATATATTTTGAGATAAAACATCATGCATCTATTTTAGAAAATAAATAAAAACAGGTTAATGAATTCAGTGGCATTTATCAGAATTTCAGGAGGGGAGTGGGGAGGGTGGGGGGAAATAGACATTTTAAGCCAATTTCTTGGGTTGAAAAAAACTAACCTTGAGGTTGTTACGCTGTAATCTTGGAAACTGGATGGCACAGATCTCTCAAGGGGGCTGCTCTTTGGACGAGATTTGGGGAAGAGTGTGTCTCGCTTCAAGTCATGGAACATCTCATCAAAGTAGTCCCGTCCAACACCCAAGGCTGTGGTGGCCAAACTGGCACTTTTTTCATTTAATTCTGTCTCAGCTTTCTCGTCATTATCAGTATGGTCTGTATGGAGGAGAGAAATTTCTTTGGTTAAAAGTAATTTGATTAAAATATAACAAATTATACATCACAAATTAAACCAATTTTGCATTTTTTTTTCTCATGTAAATATTAATGAATTTCGTTTGTTAAGAAAAGTTTGTTTATAATGTTGGAGGTCAATTCAAGAAGGACCTATATTTTTATTTTACTAAGAGATTACTTGATCTTGTGGAGAAAAAGTATTTTGATTATTAAACATTTGATAAAATTTAGTGTAGAAAATTGAGTGTATTTTTTAAATAAAATCAACATAACTTAACATATACCAACATTTGGTTAGTTAACTCACTTGGCGCTGATTTTGACCTGGCTGGAATGGGGCCAACAGCCCGGGGCGTCTGCATTGATGTGGTGTCCATCATCACTCGGCTGACACTAGGTGTGGCCTCGTAGGTGTACCCTGGTCCAGTCATTGGTAGGGCATACCCTTGCATGTAGCTGCTGTATTCTGGGTAAGAAAATCCATAGTCTGTGTCATATTCTACTTGACCTTCTTCTGCTGATCGTAGTGCTTCAGGGATGTACAGAGTGTTTAGTGGCATTGGTGGCTCGTATTGGTACGTAGAGGTTAATCCTATTAGAGAAGAAACAATAACTATAAACAATGTTGACATTTTTTTTTACAGAATTAAATATATTTTGATGGTAATAAATTATTGTGATAGATTTAAATCAGACGGTTCAATATCAAATACAAGCAATTGAAAAAATATATAGTGAAAGTCTTTAGTCTGCTTTACCAAATTTGAAAAATAATACAAAATGAAATTAGTAAATTTCTGACAAATTCAGATAAAAGCTAGGCCTGGCTTCTATCACAATCTTTACCTAATTCTCACTTAAAGGAATAATGGCATTACAATTTTTTTTTCACAGTATAACCTTACCAGTGTTTTTATTTAAAAAAACCCCACAAAATTAAGCAGTTTGCATGCTTACTTTCAACAAGGTCTATTTTTATTTTATTAATAGTAATTACCCAAAACATGAATACTAAGCACATAGGAAACAAAAAGTTACAACTACAGTAATAACAATGTTATCAATTATATCCTACAGCATTTATGCATTTTAATATTTGGTCCTATTATTTATACTTGCAATTTAATTATTTTCACCATGAATCATACTAAATTACAAATTATGTGGAATTAATTATGGATCATTTCAATGGCCACACAATATTCTATTATTCCCTGGAAACAAAAACAAGTGAACTCTACTTTAACTGTCCTGTAGGTCAATAGTTCTTAAAAGTAGTACTTTTGTTGTTTTACTATATAAAGAATTTAATAAAAAAACTCAATGGAAAAATTAATTCGCCATCTAAGCCATTTAAGTAGCTGACCTGAGGCGAGAGGTGAATTAGAGCTGTAGTTAACAGCTGCTGTTGTATTTGTCTGCTCAGCAGACGTTGCTGCACCTGATGTGTACAGGTGAGTTGACTCAAGCAGTGGGCTCAAGGCATTGGCCACAGACCCCAGTGACATAACATCTTGCAAGGCATTCGCCTTTTTGCTGTCTGCAAGGCTCTGCTGGTTGACTTGTCCTTCAGAAGGCTGAAGCTGATTGGCTACTGCCGCTTTCAATGCATTCAGGGAGTTGGTAGAGAGAATCTGATTGGTGGTTGGAGGATGGGGCACCTGTGTTTGGACAACAGATGCTGGGACAATGCCTAAAGGGACTCTGAGCCTGTAAAATACAACATTTTGTTTATTGCTACCTAATTCTAAAGAAATTTTAGCCTGTAAATTACACTTTTAAAATTAATAACTAATTAAAAAGTAAGTCTAAACCTGTAAAATACAACAGTTTATTTATTGACATAAAATTCAAAAGGAACTCTAGACTTGTACAACACAAAATTCTATTTATAAATATCCAATTAAAAAAAAAAAGAATCTAAAAAATAACATCTTCTTTTGAATGTTTTTGCAGCTCTTTTGTTAGAATGTTAAAATCTACTAGCTATTCTCTAAAACCTTGAAAACTACATAGGTGTTAATAAAAGGGCTAAGCTGTATTAATGCCTTACAAAATCAATGTTGAGTGTTAAAGTGCATATTTTAAGACTTACAAAATCAGTGTTGAGGGTTAAGGCGCTTATTTTCTAACCTGCGTTCTTCTTCCTCTAATATTGCCTTGAGAGCCTCAATTTCAGCTTTGAGGGGGATGTTGGCCTCCCTGGCATTGGTCACTTCCCTCATCTTGGTGACCAGCATGTCCTGGACCTCCCTGAGCTTCCTCTCCAGCTGCCTGATGTTGTCAGCAGCTCTGTTTCTTTCCACAGACACAGCGTCTTCTAAAGTCTCTTTTTGATGGTGCAAATTGGCAACCTGATGATTTATTTTAAAAAATAGTTTGATCACAATTTTAAAAATTAACAAAAGAAATAACAGTGGCCAAATTTTTTATAGTTATATGATTCGGTTAAGTACATGCTATATCTAAGCTAAAAATCTAATCTTTTTATCTTTGTTTTCACTTAATGAAGCTGAATTACAAAGTTTCACAACCTCATCATTTAAATGTGTTTTTTATTACATCTCTCATATGTGAAAAAAATGTGTTTTTATGACATTTTTCACTTAAGAAAAAAAAATTATAATACAAAATAGTTAGTTACCTGCCCTTCAAGATTTCTAATTTTGGCATGAAGTTCCCCAACTTGTCCCATCATCTCACTCTTCTCCTGTGAATACCTCTGTAGGGTATCTGCATCATGATCAATCTGGGCCTTTAATGCTGACAACTATAATTAGCAGAAGACATCCTAATTAATAGTAGCATCAAAAACAAATATAAAATTAAAATTGGACATTGAAAAATGATAATTTTCCAATATTTAAATAAATGTTGCTATTTTAAAAAAAAAAAAAGTTTGATCAAAACAAAATTGACGAATTAATTTAGATGTGATTCTACTTACATTTCTGCTGTACTGCTCCTCCGATTCAATCTGGAACTTCTTAAGCTCCACCTCTGCAGTGTCCCTGACCTGTTTCAGCATCTCTGCCACAGAGACATCGGCCTTGCTCAGGTCTCGTACCCTGGCTTCAAGGCTCAGTATCGTGGCTGATGCTGTGTCTAGGCGAGTCTGATGACAATTTTAACATTTTAAACTTAATTAACACTTTATTAAAATGCTAATTTCACAGTGTACAATATATCATGCTATGAATTCTGACTAACTAGTTAACATGGTTAAATTAAACTCTAGAAATATTTAAAAAATATAAACTATTAAAATATAATAAACCTTGATAAAAATGTATTGCAATATATCTTGTAGTTTTAGAAATTTAAAATATATTTTAAAAAAGGGGGGGAAAATTAATCAGTGTGGAACATATAAAATTTATTTTAATTATATTGTTTTAAATTACTTCAAAATAATATGTAACAGTGTAGTAGCTACTACTCCTAATATTACATAAGTGAATTTTTTTAATATAATGGATTAGCAGCACAGGTGTGATATGATGATGTTAGGTCATGGTTTGTTTCATTTTATGATTGAGCTAGACTTGTTGAAAAAACAGAGAATGCTATCTTTATGTGTAGTTAGGCAGACAAGTGTTCTTGTTGTAGCATTTGAAGAGTCGACATAGTGTCAATGATGCTTATGGACAAGCTACCAGCCAGATGTGTCTAGATGGTGTCTAAAGCAGACACTTCTAGGCAACCTGTCTAAAGCAGACACTTCTAGGCAACCTGTCTAAAGCAGACACTTCTAGGCAACCTGTCTAAAGCAGACACTTCTAGGCAACCTGCCTAAAGCAAACACTTCTAGGCAACCTGTCTAAAGCAGACATAATCTACCTGATAGTCTGTGATTTGCTGCTTGTGTATCTGCTCAGCAAACTCCATTTTCTTGAAAATCTGTTGGACCCTGTCCTCAGCTTCTTGCCGAGTAACTTGTTCATGTTCATATCTGTTCAAGTACAACATAAAATATTTTTTACATATTTTTTAACATAATATTAAAAAAAATATATTTTCATATCCACTGTTATGGAATATAAATGTACTATTCTTCCAATATGCTTTTTAACAATTTTTTTTGTAAAACTGACATCAATTTTAAGTGAATTATGCAATTTATGAATGTTAACAGAGTTTATTCAGAAATGTATTTCTAAATATAAGAGTCAGCAACACATTATTTGAATATATTATTTTAAAATAAGTAAATTTAAGTTTTATGACAACTTTTATTTCTTTATGTTACAATAAGTTATTTGAATAATATACTTAGCATCCTAAATTCCATCATTATTATTTTAATTTTTTTTTAATGTAATTGTTATATTTCAAAATGTAAGTAATAAAGAAACATGGGTCCAACCTGTGTTTCCACTGGTCCACCTCACGCATTAAGTTTTCTATACTTCTGTGCAAGTTGTCCACATTCTCCTGTGGCCTCTGGGAAGCAATCCTGGCATCCTGTACCTCTGCTTGCAGGTTGCCAATTTGCCTCTCCAGCATGTTTATCTCATCCATTAACTTGTTGGTTTTCTCTGTTTCAATAGACAGCCTAGTGGTGGAAGAACATTGTTTTGTTAAGGATGGGAATAGTCTTAGTTTTTAAATAACCAAACTCCTATCCGTGAACTATCATCTTGTTATGATATGTCATAGTCAAGGCAATAACCATGATTTTTTAGTGAACAAAATCCCATTCATCAACAAGACTCAATAATAACTTCAAATCTTGAATAACTGATCCTTGACTAAAGGTAGATTATTATCATACTTAAGCAAAACTGAATCCAGATTATCAAATTTCATTTTTAAAGCAAAAACAAGGAAGAAATCTTTTATTAATATGATAGCAGTTTCACAATGGGTTGTTTGCAAAAGTCGTAAGAAGCTAATTAAATCAATTAGTTAGTAATTTAAAGACAATACATTCACATACAGTGATACAATTAGGTCTTTACTGACTACCAGTTTAAATAAAATGAAATTTGTCTATATTTTTAATAGAGATTATAACATTAGCTTAACTCAACTATTTTCTTTAAGATTTACAGTGCCATTATACTAAAAACTGAAAAAAAAACCTGTTAAGAATTATTTTAAACTAATGTACTCTCAGATTACTGTAACATTATATAATAATTTGTACCAATATATATTGGACTAGAATAGATTTAACTTGAAATGTTGTCACATACCTGTCTTGTAGTTCACCAACATACTGCTGTTGTTTGTTGTGTTGGACATAGAGGGTGTTTCTTTCATGGCTTCCTGCCTCTATTTCATTCCTTTAAAACAATGTAAAAATGTATGTAGTAATTTGGAGGTTTAGCTAATTTATCACAATGCAAAAATGTATGTAGTAATTTGGAGCATTAGCTAATTTAACACAATGCAACAATGTATGTAGTAATTTGGAGGTTTAGCTAATTTAGATGATTTTCTAGCACATAAAATGAATTTGACCCAAGAAAATTTGCTTAAATGTTAGTAAGTTTCCTCAAATGCCAGTAGAAGTATATCTTACACTCTATTTTAAAATTGGGGGTTAATACACTAAAAAATACAGCATTATATGCAGAGTTTCTTCTAGGCATCTCTGCCCCCCTCCAAAAAAAGTCTACCCTCCACTGAACAAAATTGAATTTATATGAAAATATCAAGTGCCCCCCCCCCCCCCCCCCCCCCACCCCCGGAGAAAAAAAAAGTCTGGAAGAAGCACTGATAATATGTTGTAAATTTAATTGCTAGAAATAGTTATTACATTCAATAGCTATACAAAAATATAATTATATCATCACTCACCTCAACCTCTCCAGTTCACTTTCATACATATTTTTCAGGTTGACAATTTCCTCTTCCAATATTTTAGTAGATCGAAGAAAGGCAGACGTGTCGACATTATTGACCTGCTCCCCTAGCTGTCTGACTCGACCTACGTAGGCAGAGAAGCGATCATTCAATCGCTGCAGCTCTTCCTTCTCCTGGACTCGAGACAGTGAGGTCACGCTGTTGTAGATGTTGGATGTTCCTCCGAGGTAACTCATGTTTGCAGAGTTGTGAGAGTTGTGTAGAGTGGGTATCGGAGCTTGGCCCGATGTTTTGACAAGATCTGAAGGTCTGGTAGCTCTTTGTTGGTTTGGTGTAGAGGGAGGTGTAGGAGCTGGAGAGAAAACAACTTTTTTATTTCCACTATGCTCTTCTTTAAAATTCTGGGCTTTCTTTATGTTTTGTGAGTTGTTGTGAGGGTTGGTGTCAAAAAACAGGAGTCTGGCCTTGGGACCTGGAGTTGGGTTCAAGAAATTGTCTCTGAGAAATTGTAAAGACGGGGCAGGTTTTTTCAGCCGTGAATTTACCTCAGTGTCAGAAGAGCTAGATTTTAATTGATAAGCGGCACTGCCGTTGAGCTGAAAAGATGGGGGAAGATATGGATTTACTGTACTAATCAGTTCTGGGTCAGGCTTGTAAAAGTCTTTTCTGTTTAAATCTGTTTTCCCTTCTTCAACTTTTTGAAGAGTTCTAGTACTGTTACATGAATCACCTCCCTTTCCAGCTGGTGGCATACCAGATGGAGCTACTGTACTGATATTGTACAGCCCAGTTCTGTGCAAAATGGCCGACCTACGAGTTAAGTCAGCAAAATTATTCCTTGTTGACGTAAATGAGCGCCCTCTATCTTTCCCAGCATTTGGATTAATTCCACTTGATGAATTCTTTTTAGAGGCTAATCTTTCTAACTTAGCAGCTTGCTGAGAAAGGAAAATATTTCTGGAAAAGTTGAAATAACTGGCATAATCTATTTGTTCTCTTTGATTATTTGGTTCTTGGGTCAATGAAAGTGAGTTAAGATTTTCTTGCTCAACAAGGGAAGTGTCTATGGGTATATCACCATCAGCATTCTGATTTGGTTCCTGAAATGAGCTGGTGGGGTATGGAATTTGTGGTACAATTAATGTTAGTCCTTGGTCATCATTGTCTTGCTCTTCCTGACTGGCATTTACATCTGGGAGCCTGAAGACAAGATAAAACACAAGAATAACTATACTAGAATAACAATACAATAATAACAACACAAAAACAACAATACAAGAATAACTTAATTATGAATGAGTCTAAAATAAGCCTGAAGACAAGATAAAATATAAAAATAACTACTAGAATATCAAATCAATATAAGAATAACAATACAAGAATAACTAAAGTATGAATGAGTTTTCCAAAAAAAGTGTGAGGTACTGAACTGGTGCTAAAGAAATAATCCTTTCATAAATGATGTTAAAATTAACAGATGAGTCATACTTCATATGCCCAAGGACCATCTAGTATAATGGATACTTGAACTTCTATTGTAAATACTTTTGAAAAATCCACATCTAGTTTATTCAAACATTTTTTTTTGAGGTCTAGTGGTAGAGAGCTGGACTGCTAACCAGTAAGTTTAGAGTTCGAATCCGGGTTCAAGTCAATAGACCGACCCTGAGTCCACCCAGCAGTGAACTCTACTTCACTTGCCCCATAAACCGTGAGGTTTGAAAGGGAACTTTACTTACTTTACTAATATTTCAACAACTAGAATAATAAAGTTTAACTTCTGAATTTTTTGAGTGCTTTTACACTCTTGTTATTCTAGAGAGGTCAAGATAACTGGCTAATAAAACACAATGCACATTAAAGGCCTGTACGTTGAAACTGATAATGAAAAATAAAATGTCTTCACTGTTTGAACCTAATGATAAAAACACAATGAGCATTATAAATGTTGACAATGAAAAGTTTCTTCACAGTTTGAAACCAACCTAATATACCAATAAAGATAAAAGTCTATTTAATACAAGCACTCATTGATAACATTTCTTAACATGCAATTAAATTCAACATGTATTAGTAAATGAAAGAAACAAAAAGACCCAGGTAAAAACTATAACTTCAGAATAAATAGTATAAAATAAGAACAACAGCTACATTAGAAGCTTGTAGTTTAACAATAAAAGAAAATAAAGCATTTTAAAACTTCAACATTTTATACACTAACTTGTCCATATTGAACAAAAATATATTCAAACATCTAATCCTTTCCTTTCAATGGATTACAAGTCAAAAAAATTCCAGGTAGAATTAAATTTCATTAAAAGTTGTTGCATTTTGTAGATCTATGTAATAAGGACACTGTTATTGATTTTATAGTTGCTTTAACCCAGTCCAATGTATTGATTATATATATCTATATCACTTCACTGATAAAGAAACGTGTGTTCCTTTTAACAGGTTTTCTTTAATCACAACACTGAATACATTAGTGCTTACAAGTTTAAAGGCTAGGAGCTTTCATGTGGATCAATAAACAGCAGATAAAAGATTTATGTTGGCGTACCCGTACAAGGCAAACAAATTTGGACTTTTGTGATCTTTTTCCATGGAGATTAAAAACATGGAGTATAGGTCAACAAGCCAGATTTAACTTACTGCCTGTTTAGATAGTTAATTTGTTACGCGTTATTGAGATATCTGAAGGAATTAAAGAGAGTTACGTTTGTTATTTAATCTTTAACAGAATTAAAATTAGGTTTGTTGGTTGTTTATTCTTATCTAATTGACAGTGAACAACCTCCCATGTTTGAACTTGTTTAAAAAAATGTGATTCACTAGTATGTATATATATGTTGTAGACAGTGCTATCTATAGACAGGGAAGGGGTCAATAAATCTTGAGATATGAAACTGTCAGTCTACACTTAGCAAGCCATATTTAAAATGTGAAATGTCAAATCTCATAGCATATGATTAATTAAGTGACAACCATCCAACTTTGATGCTTATCAACAAAAAAAACTTAAATTATATGATACTAAATGTACAATGAATACCAAGCTTTCAATTAGCATTTACATAGCTATCTTTTACTTATACATGAAAATAAAGATAAGTTTGCAAGGTTGCAGTTAATATCAGACATAGTTTAGGGAACACTATCCCCATGTTAACTGAGGTCTTTGAAATAGATGAACTTAACTTCATCTGCCCCATGTGTCTTGGGCACAAACCAGAAGAGATGATGATAGCTTAGGGAAATAATACCGGCTCATGAATTATTTTTAATTAATAGAACTGCAAACAGTAGCAATGTTTAGATTAATCACAACTAGGTATGTATTGCACAGAACATTATAAAAACAATTCAGCTGCTAGTTATTTTCTAGTGATAAACTCATTTAGTAAAAAAGTTTAAAAACATAAATTAATGGTAATTTGAAAATGTAATTTTAACTTCCAATCTAGTAAGCTTTGATTTAGTAAAGAGTAGATCTATATAACAGTATGTGAAATAATGAAAAAAAAAGATGGCGCTGGATGAATTCAGATGATATTACAGGAATGGCAGGTAAATGTGACCAAGGAAATGAGACCAAGGAAATGAGACCAAGGAAATAAGACCAAGGAAATGAGACCAAGGAAATGAGACCAAGGAAATGAGACCAAGGAAATGAGACCAAGGAAGACATTGAGGAGCACAGTAGAATAAGCAACTGACAAAGGCAATGATTAAGGGATGAAGTGGTCTAGCGGTAGAGAGCTGGACTGCTAACCCGTAAGTCTCAAGTTCCTATCCGGGTTCAAGTCAGTAGACCATCCCTGAGTCCACCCAACTCTGATGGGTACCTACCTCACATTAGGGAAGGTAAAGGCGGCTGGGCATAGTGCTGACCACACTATCTCTTCATATGCAGATTTCACAGAAACAAGTGAACTCTACTTCACTTGCCCTATAAACCGTCAGGTTTGAAAAGGGAACTTTACTTTTAAAGGCATGATTATCTTGGGGAACTGCAAAGAAAATGGCCAGGGACCATCAAAAGTGGAAAGAGCTTTCTAAGGCGGTCCCATGTGACCTGGATAAAAAAGTAAAACGATGATGACGGACAAACCCCATCAAGAAAATTGTATCCTCAGTTTCACTCTATTTTAAACTGAAAAATATTCTACCCATAATTATAACACTAATTCTATTAATCAACATTATAAATTAACTGGTGATGTTACAAGTAAAGAGGATATTCTATTCATTCTATTTAATTTTATGGTTTAGTTCAAGGTCATGTCTGGCTCTGTATTATAAGTTTGTGTTTAACTTTTCTCATAAAAGGTTACATTAGTTACACTCTAATTTGTTCCTATTGTTATGTGCTATTTCTATAATTCCAGGTAGCAGGGACATAATAATATATTAAGTTATTTCCCCTTGCAGTTGTGGTGTTACAGCTAGGGTTAATTTAAGGGCTAAGGCCAGAATAACCAAGCAAATCAAGAGAGTAGTACTTTTTGCTAAGAGGAAACTGCTGGTAATGATATAAAATGCATGAAATAAGCTGAAAGTGTATTAAATAAATCAGATTTCATACTTCATGTTGGAATTCTATAGAAAGTCAAGCAGGGCAGCCAGGAGAGTGTAGAAAAAGTTTTTTAGATTCCTTTATTTATATCAAGCACTTAATAATAAACCATGATCAAGTAGACCTAATTAAAAAAAACACAGGGGTCGGCGTGGTCGAGTCGGTAAAGCTCATGGTTGCTAAACCGAAAAGTCTCGAGTTCGAACCCTCGGGCAGATGAGGCTCGTTAGCTGGGGACAGCCACTCTTCTAGGAGAGATAACTCCAAAATTAAACAACTGCTGCCTTGTAATTTGTTTCTTGGTTGGACAAAGGCTATGGAAGCAAATCCAAAAAGAAAAGCAGGCTGAAATCGGAGTCAATGGCCTCAATGGCGCATAACCAGTTGACACGTAACGCTTAATTGTGTTGGAGGCGTGGTCGAGTCGGCAAAAAGCTCATGGTTTATAAATTCGAACAGTCTCGAGTTCAAACCCACTGGCAGATAAATCTCGATCCCCTTCAACACTAATAATTAAGAACGAAGAAGAAGAAGAAAGAAAAAAAACACAATGACAAAGCTTTAACAGTAAATATTATATACTTATGTGAGAATCTAACCAAAGATCTTGATAATATAATGCTGCTAATTTTTTGATCTACTTAAAAAATATTTCTTGAGATTGGATTTTTTCTTCATTTTTCTAACTTAAATGATAAAAATTAGCCCTACATAAGAAAGGTAATAAAATAACAAGTCAGAATTTACAAAAGCTAATGTTTTCACTAGACCAAGGTCCTTAGCCACTGATCACTAGTTAGACCCGGCACTTGATTTGGTTTTAGTTAGGGGTCTAAATTGTCAAGTAAAATCATAATACTGGCAAAAATATAAAAAAGAAATCACAACTAACAGAATAGGCCTACATAAAAGTAAATATTTTAAATCCTGGGTTCATGTTAGAAGAACTTTTGTGAGTCCACGAACCCAGCTCTGATGAGTACCTGACTTGAATAAAAGCAGCTAGGCATAGTGCTAAACACACAATCCATGATATAGAAATTAAAAGTATGTTCATAATAGCACGTAAATAATACATATGCATTGACAAGATGATTCATGATGTAAGTGTGATGACAAAGGTTTCGTTATACACTACAGAAATATTACAATACCGATAGGTCTAAAACTCTTTATTACTGACTCACCAAACCCATGAGGTTTGATTGAACCCAGGTTTAGAAACACTGATCTAGATCTAGGCCTATATTTTGCATTTTAATTAGTAAATTACTATAGTAATTATTAGGCCTAATTTACTTAATAATGGGCCTCTAATGTTAAAAATAAATATAATCATTCTTTAGGCCTAATCAATCACTATAGTATAACTATAGTTGTTATAAAATCCCTATATTAAGTGAGTTATTATTTATTAGCAATTTATTAAATGCCTAAATAAAAAATTCAAACTTAAATTTTAAATTAAAATAAAAATTCAAATTCAAATTCACAAACTTAAAAAAAAAATTAACTTACTGATCTTGCTTGTCCTCTTCTTTAGTAAGAGTAGCAATGATTGCAGTGCCCTTTCCAGGGGCATATAAACACAATAGGATTCAGTTTATCTTTTTGATCTGGGTCT